TAACCCATTGATCATTCAGTAACCTATTGTTCATTCTCCAATTGATGTATGCTTTTTCCTTCCTTCTTTTATCGTTGATTTTCAGTTTCATTCCATTATGATCAGATAAGATGCATGGTAATATCTCTACTCCTTTATATTGTCTAAGAGTTGCCCTGTGACATAATATATGATCTATTTTTGAGAAGGATCCATGTGCTGCTGAGAAAAAAGTGTAACTGCTTGATGTTGGGTGGTATACTCTATATATGTCAATTAGGTCTAGGTTATTAATAGTGTTATTGAGTTCTATAGTTTCCTTATTCAACTTTTGTTTGGAAGATCTGTCCAGTGGCGAGAGAGGTGTGTTGAAGTCTCCCATGATTATGGTGTGGTGGTCTATTAGACTCTTGAACTTGAGAAGAGTTTGTTTGACGAACATAGCTGCACCATTGTTTGGGGCATAAATATTTATGATTGTTATGTCTTGTTGGTGTATGGTTCCCTTAAGCAGTATGTAGTGTCCCTCTTTATCTCTTTTGATTAACTTTGGCTTGAAATCTATTTTATTTGATATGAGTATGGACACGCCTGCTTGTTTCCGAAGTCCATATGAGTGATATGATTTTTCCCAACCTTTCACCTTCAGCCTATGTATGTCTTTTCCTATCAAATGCGTCTCCTGTAGGCAGCATATTGTTGGGTCTTGTTTTGTGATCCATTCTACTAGCCTGTGTCTCTTAATTGGTGAGTTTAAGCCATTAACATTTAGGGTTATTATTGAGATATGGGTTGTTCTTCCAGCCATATTTGTTTATTTCTGTTACTAAACATTGTTTGTTTTCCTCTTTGATTGTTTCCCCCCCCCCTTTACTGTCCTACCTCCCACTGTTGGTTTTCATTGTTATTTTCCATTTCCTCTTCCTGTAATACTTTGGCTAGGATGTTTTGAAGAGATGGTTTTCTAGCTGCGAATTCTTTAAACTTTTGTTTATCGTGGAAGGTTTTAATTTCATTCTCCATCCTGAAGCTTAATTTCGCTGGATACACAATTCTTGGTTGGAACCCATTATCTTTCAGTGTTTGAAATATGTTATTCCAGGATCTTCTAGCTTTCAGAGTCTGTGTTGAAAGATCAGCTGTTATCCTGATTGGCTTGCCCCTAAATGTAATCTGCTTCCTTTCTCTTGTAGCTTTTAAAATTCTCTCCTTATTCTGTATGTTGGGCATCTTCATTATAATGTGTCTAGGTGTGGATCTCTTATGATTTTGCACATTCGGCGTCCTGTAGGCTTCTAGGATTTGGGATTCTGTCTCATTCTTCAAGTCTGGGAAGTTTTCTTGTATTATTTCATGGAATAGACTGCTCATTCCTTTGGTTTGGAGCTCTGTACCTTCCTGTATCCCAATGACTCTTAAGTTTGGTCTCTTAATGTTATCCCATATTTCTTGGATGTTCTGCTCATGGTTTCTTAACAGTCTTGCTGAGCTGTCTATGTTCTTTTCCAGTTGAAATACTTTGTCTTCATTGTCTGATGTTCTATCTTCTAAGTGTTCTACTCTGTTGGTAGTATTCTCCATTGAGTTTTTAAGTTGGTTTATTGCTTCCTGCATTTCTAGGATTTCTGATTGCTTGTTTTTTATAACCTCTATCTCCCTGTATAGTTGATCCTTTGCTTCCTGGATTTGTTTGCGTAATTCGTTGTCGAAGTGATCTTTCATTGTCTGATTTTGCTGTTTAATGTCTTCCTTGATACTCCAGATCATCTGAAGCATGTATATCCTGAATTCTTTATCTGACATTCCATCTGCTGCAGCTGTTACCTCTTCTAAAGTTGCGTTGACCTGCATTGCTTGTGGTCCTTTCTTTCCTTGTCTTTTCATACTGCTTGCGTATCTTTCCTGCAGGTGCGGGCGGCGGCTCTGCTCTCTCCTTATTCCAATTGGGGTGTCGTGGCTACCACGCCGGCAGGTCACTGGGCCTGTTCTGGGAGCTGGTGGCGGCTCTGTTCTGCCCCTACTCCAATTGGGGTGTCGTGTCTGTCGTACCAGCAGGCCACTGGGCCTGTCCTGCTGGTCGGTCGCAGATCTGCCCACCTTTCGGGCACGAGTGGAGGCTCTGCTTTGCCCCTACTCCAATTGGGGTGTCGTGACTACCCCGCCTGCAGGATGCTGGGTCTGTTCCTGGCAAGGGAGGCGACTCTGCTCTGTCCCTACTCCAATTAGGGTGGTGTTTGTACCCCGCCGGCAGGCTCCTGGGCCTGATCCGCCGGTCTGTTGTAGGTCTGCCTACCTTGAAGGCGCTGGCGGCGGATCTGCCCTGCCCCTCCTACCACGCCTGCGGACCCCTGGGCCTGATCTGCAGGTTGATCACTGGTCTGCTCACCCTGCGGGCACGGGTGGCGGTTCCGCTCCACCCCCACTCCAATTGGGGTCACGTGACCACCACACCGGCAGGGCCTGATCCGGGCGTGGGATAAGGATCTGCTCTGCCCCTACTCGAGTTGGGGTGACGTGTGTACCACACTGGCAGGCCACTGGGCCTGACCCGCCAGGCTATCACAGGTCCGTTTACCTTGCAAGCGCGAAGGGCGGCTCTGCCCTGCCCCTCCTACCACGCCCATGTACTACTGGGTCGTGGGTCTGCCCACCTGGCGGGTGTGGGTGGCGGCTCCGCTCCGCCCCCTCTCCAATTGGGGTCACGCGGTCACCACGCTGGCGAGCCGCTGGGCCTGCTCCGGGGGCTGGCGGCGGCCCGGCTCCTTCCCTCCGGCTCGAGGACAAATTGAGGAGACTCGGGTGACTGAGCCTCACCCCCCTTACCAGAAGACCAACTGCTTATGTCACCGCTGGTATTGATGAAGATCTCTCCTCCACCGCTTTCTGCTGACATCAGATCTCTGCCATGTTGGTATCCTATGCGAATGGCAGCATTTCGTTCCCCTTGCCAGGCAACCCAAGCAATGGGTGAGACCTGACCTGCCCTCAGCAGGACCCGGACCGAGACACAGTTTCCGCGGGCTCCTAGCCCCGGTACAGGGAAGTTCCGGGAGCCGGAACTCGGCCGCTCCGTGCTCGGTGTAAGCTCCTATAAGTGTAGGCTCCAAGAAGCAGCCCCCGCGGGCTCAGTTCCGGGAGCCGAAATTCGGCCGCTTAGTGTTTGGTGTATGCTCTGATAGTATCAGGGTCCAAGAAGCAGCCTCCGCGGGCTCCGCAGCCCTGAGCCAGGGCGGTTCCGGGACGGTTCCGGGAGCCGGAACTCGGCCGCTCTGTGCTCGGTGTAAGCTCCTATAAGTGTAAGCTCCAAGAAGCAGTCCCCGCGGGCTCAGTTCCGGGAGCTGGAATTCGGCTTCTTGGTGTTTCGTGTTTGCTCTGATATTAGCAGGGTCCAAGAAGCAGCCTCCGCAGGCTCCGCAGCCCGGAGCCAGGGCGGTTCCGGGACGGTTCCGGGAGCCGGGACTTGGCCGCCCCGCGCTCCGTGTTCACTCCGATAAGATCAGATTTTAAGAAGCCCCCAGGCGCTGAACCCTAGCAATCTGTCTGCAAGCCGCAGGCGAATTGCAGCCTGAAATTACCTGTTCTATGGCTGAATGAGCTGCGGTCAGTCAAAAACAGGTGTGGTGACGTCAGTTTACCAAGATGGTGGCTGCTGGCCTCCTCTGTGGTCTGACCGGTGTGGAGAACCGAGATGGACCGCTTCCTTCCCCGTCTCGAACCCAGAATTCAGCCCTGAGTGCGGTGCTTGCGCGTCTGGCAGAAACTGCAGCGCTGTAACTCTGCGTCTCTATCCCAGCGCGCCTTGCAGACTCTAGCCGCGGGGCGATTTGCTGAATAAGCAGTGTTACCCTCCGTGCGACAAACCTCTCGCGTTTGAGTCCCCGTAGCCGATCCTCATGCGATGGAAATCCTTCCTCCAGGTTCCGGTGCACCCCACTATTGCTGGAAATTCCTAACAAGATATCCTTTAGCCGTCCTGACTTGTCATACTCCCACACAGTGAAGCAGCACACGGGGGTAATCTATAATATATTTTAATGGTTGCATAATACTCAGCTTTTTATTTAGGGTTTTATACTTTAAAAGTTTCAGTTTCTATCTCTATCTACATATACCCCTATATGTTGAGATAAATATTTTAATGTATTGTATGAGATCAGGAACTAAATAATGCTTATATGCCTGCAGATAACCTGCCTGTTTCCTATAACTATTGATCTAATTTAAGGAACAAGAAATTTGAAAAAAATTTGATGAGTAATAATCCCACTCATTCATTTAATTCAGGGACAAGGTGAAAGAGTATTTAGAGACCTAAGAGGAACAATAGAGTTAACCAGTTATCTAATTTCTCCAAGATTCAGTTTTCTTATTTCCAATATGAGATGATAAAAGTTTCTGTGCCTTAGAATTATTGTAAGGATTAAGTAAATTAACTTGAATAAAATATAGTCGAACAGTCCCTGGGTACACAGTAAATTGCAAATATGCGTACGTTATAATCAGTATTGTGAATGTCATTTCATTCTCTTCTGGTGGATATTAAGGCAAGAGATTCTGGTTTGGAAATTCAGATGAAGTTTTGAAGTCTGGCGACCTGGAGATCAGTCCTGTCTGGCTTTTGGTAAAGGGATAATACTCTGGACAGTGGGGAAGAGGTCTTAACTGTAATTGATAAAAGGCCACAGGGAAAGAGGCCAGCACATCGCTGGGGTACATGGGCTTAGAAGATGGGTTCACAACTACAACTGTGCACTAGAATCATGTGGGAAGCACTTAAAACAATACCAAAGCCCAGGTCCCATTCTCATTCCCTGGCATTTTGATTTGATTGTTTGAGGAGGGATCCTGGCATCATTATTTTTCAAAAATGCCACTGATGCTTTTCCCCACGTGCAGCTCAAGTGAGAATTTACACCAATATAAGAGAGAAAATTCTCAAATTTCTGTTGTGCTACAATTTACCTTTAGGAATAAAGGAAGCAAAAATCAATAAATGCATAATTCTCTCTATATTAAGTTACCGGAATGGTTCTTTAAGCCACCATTCAGAAAGAATGACTTCGAGAATTTCAGGCAGCAATGGCTCACTTTCCACTAGACTTGATTTGATTATTTCTTCTTCTTCTGTAAGTTGTACTTCTGGAGGCTACAGAAAAAATCAGAAAATAAAACAAGTTTTTAAAACTCTACATTCATGAATAATATTGTACCACATAATTGATTAGGATAAGACCTACTTTTTTCTCTGAGGTGTTTTATCATTCTTTTGCTTATAAATATTTAAAATTTTGAGTTCATTTCTTTTTAAAAATTTATTTATTTTTATTTGTTCTAATTAGTTACACATGACAGTAGAATGTATTTTGACACATCATACATAAATGGAATATAACTTCTCATTCTTCTGGTTGTACATCATGTAGAATCACACTGGTCATCTAATGACATTCACATAGGGTAATAATGTCGGATTCATTCTACTATCCTTCCTTTCTGCATACTTCCTCCTCTCCCTTTATTCCCCTCTGTCTAATCCAAAGTACCTCTACTCTTCCCTAATCCCTCCATTGTGAATTAGCATCTGCATATCTGAGAAAACATTGGCCTTTGGTTTCTTGAGATTGGCTTATTTTGCTTAGCCTTAGGGGTTGTAGCTCGGTAGTAGAGCGCTTGCTTAGAATGTTCGGGGCACTGAGTTTGATCCTTAGCACCATATAAAAATAAATAAAGTTAAAAAGAAGATATGGTCTACTTCTAAGGATCCATGTGCCTCTGAGAAGAACGTGTATTTGCTCATTGATGGATGAAATATTCTATATCTGTCTGTTAAGTCTAAGTTATTGATTGCATTATTTAGTTCTATAGTTTCTTTGTTTAGCTTTTGTTTGAAGATCTATTCAATAGTGAGAGAGGTATGTGAAAGTCACCCAATATTGTTGTGTTGGGGTATATTTGTTTCTTAAAATTGAAAAGGGTTTGTTTGATGTACATAGATGCTCCATTGTTTGGGGCATAAATATTTATGAGTGTTATGTCTTGCTGATTTATAATTCCCTTAAGCAGTATGAAATGTCTTTCTTTGTCCCTTCTGAATTACTTTAGCTCAAAGTCCACTTTATCTGATATGAGAATGGAAACCCCTGCTTGTTTATGTGATCCATGTGAGTGATTTTTTTCCAATCCTTTCACATTCAGTCTGTGGATATCTTTGCCTGTGATGTGAGTCTTTTGGAGACAGAATATTGTTGGGTCTTGTTTTTTAATCCAATCTGCCAGTTTATGTCTTTTGATTGATGAGTTTGGGCTATTAACATTCAAGGTAATTATTGTGATATGATTTATATTCCTGGTCATTTTGGTTTATTTCTGGTTTTTAATTTGACTTTGTTTCTTATTTGATTGACTATTCCTTTAGTGTAATTCCTCCCTTTGCTGATTTTCACTTAAAAAATTTTTTTTTTCATTTTCTCCTCATGGAATATTTTGTTGAAAATGTTCATTAGTGCAGGCTTTCTAGTTGTTAATTCTTTCAACTTTTGTTTATCATGGAAGGTTTTTATTTCATCTTTAAATATAAAGCTTAATTTTGCTGGATATAAAGTTCTTGGTTGGCATACATTTTCTTTCAGAGCTTGATACATGTTGTTCCAGGACCTCCTACCTTTGAGGGTCTGGGTGGAGAAATCAGCTGAGATCCCAATTTGTTTCCTCCTATATGTATTTGACATTTTTATCTTGGAGTCTTTAAAATTCTATCCTCATTCTATATTTTAGCCGTTTTCATTATAATGTGCCTTCATGTAGGTCTGTTATGATTTTGTACATTTGGGATCCTGCAAGCCTCTTGTATTTGATTTTCCATTTCATTCTTCAGGTTTGGGAAATTTTCTGATATTTCATTGAAAAGATGTGATTCCTTTGATTTATACCTCCATGCCTTCATCTATCCTGATAAATCTTAAATTTGGTCTTTTGATATTATCTCATAATTCTTGTAAGTTCTCTTCATGGTTTCTTATCACCTTTTCTGTGTGGTCAACTTTATTTTCAAGAGAATATATTTTGTTTTCATGCCTGAGGTTCTCTCTTCCAAGTGGTCTAGTCTGTTGTTGGTACTTTCTATTGAATTTTTAATTTGGTTTATTGATTCCTTCGTTTTGAGGATTTCTGCTTGACTTTTCAGAATCTCTATTTATTGAAATGATCTTAATGAAACCTCCTTAAATTTATCTCTGATTTCACTCCTTTCATCATCCTTTATGTAACAGATCAGTTTAACTATGTACATTCTGAACTCCTTTTCTGACATTTCCTCTACTGTGTTGTTAATGGATTCTATTATTGGAACATCTTGATATGTTTGGGGCTCTTTGTTCCCTTGTTTTTTCTTCATATTGTTTGTATGTGTTTTCATCTAGCAGTGTGGATCTGAGGCAGTACAGTTTCTACCCTGTAGACTTATTATGTCCCTGAGGTTTCTGGTACCTTGCCTTTAGGGGAAGACCAATATTAACAGCACCCCATGCAAACAATATACAGCCTTAAATCAAATAGCTTCTATTAAAATGTCTACAGTTTTTCCACAACAAACAGAAGAGATGTGTTCAATTATTGTCTATAATATAAATAGTAAATTTGCAAAAGGGTTTACAATTTCAAATGGTGGACAGAGAGAACAGAAATGATATAGGATGTGCTGTTTATGAGGAAGAAGGTGAGAAAATATAAGTAAAAAATTATAGGAAGCGTGAAATAGGAATTAATAAAGGTTGGATGTTAGCAGGAAAAAAGAGAGAAAGAGAATCCAGAAAAATAGATAGGTGAGAGAAAAAAATATATATAAAATAAATATATATATAAAATATATGAAGAAAAAAGTAAAAATAAAAAGAATACACAACAAAACTGATAATATACATTCAGATATCCTAGTCCTCAATAAGCTGGTGCATGAAAAATACTTGGTTTCAAAAATGGTAGAGATGTAAGAGAGGAAAAAAATAAAAAAGGATATTAATGGAAAATTAAACAATTGTTTCTGTTGGAATTCAAAAATTTCTCAGTTTCCCTTCTTAGCCGATAGGTGGGGTTGTCTGGAGGGTGGTTGTAGCTCTATCTTCAGGATGGTAAGAAAAAAAACAATTTTATATATATATATATATATATATATATATATATATATGTATATATATATATATATATACACACACATACACACACACACACACAATTGCAGATTTAAATTGGATGACTGCACCTCAGGAATCTCCTTTGGGTTCCACTCGTGTGGTGTAGGGGCCTATTCTTAGCCCCTTACATTGCCTGTGGACCCCACAATTCCTGGTACTTGCTTGCAATGGGCTGGGTTGGGGGCTAGGGACAGTTTAGAAGATTGGGGATCAGGGAGCTGGAGGACCCTGTTGGATGTCCGACTGTTGCTGGACCTGGTGGGATGAGGGGATTGGTGGATGCGAACGTGGAGGGAGTTGGGGACCAGGCTGGTGCTGGGATCTGGTGAGTGCTGGCCCAAGTGGGCCTAGGAACCTGGAGGGTGCCAGACCAGCTGGCTGTGCAGGCCAAGAGCAATTTGCCCTCATCCCCTCTTCCAACCTTCTGACCCATGGTAGCCAGCCCCATCAGTCCCTGAGCACTTCAGAAGTCTTGGAGCTGGGGAGAGCCCTGTTCTCTCCAGCCTCTCTAACCTGTGTTCTCCATGGAGAAATGTCTCCAGTTTCTGAATTTCCACAGGATTGTTGGGCTCAGACATTCCCACACAGACCTAGCTGCAAACTCATGCATCTGGGTTTCAGTTTCTGTAGGCTCTGCCATGCTGCAGCCCCAAGATGGCTCCTGGATTGCAGATAATTGATAAACTCCAAACTCCAGTGGAGAGGTGTTTTCTTTTTTTGTTGTTGTTGTTATTTATGTCTGATTAATGTCTGTGGTTTGGCTAGGGCAGACTGCCCTTCCTGTCTCAGATTTTTCACTCTAAGCCTCCGAGAGATGTGGTATTCCTGCTGTTAACTTCTGGGTAGCAGAGCTAAGACAAATGCTGTCTCACACTATTCTCAAATCTTTTTTCCTCTGCTCTTGAGCTCTTTTCTTTATGCTAATATTCAATGTGATTATAAGCAGTAAATAGCATCTACTAGAGCTAAGAGGAGTGACTAGTGATAATATGATTAATTTTCACATGGCTTCATGTTATAATTCATCACTTTTTGCAAAAACCTTGTTCAGTTTTCCTCATAGGTCTATATAGCTTAACTGATTTTTTCCCATTTATCCTATAATCATACAATGTTATCTCTCAAATCAAGATCCTGATTAGGATATGTTCTCACCAGGCAGCCATCAGAAATATAATTTATAAAGGGGATTACAATATTATAATAATAGAAAATATTGTGATAATGAACTCAAATCATCTCTTTCTGTAGTAAGATTATCATTAACAGGAGAGTTCTTTCTAGAATGAAACTGCTTTTGTTATCCCAAATTCTAAAAATGAGTAAAGTATTGAGATAGGGATTTAGGATAAAAAGAAAGAAATACTGAATCATAAAGGAAATATTCTCAAGCTATTGAGAGGTAGAAAGCACAGTTATAAATCTTGAGCAACTTGCCCTTGGCCCATGCCTTTGTAAAATGAGGAAAATATGCAAGTGTAGGGAAAACTAGTGTGAAATTGGGCAGCTCCACCAGGATCCACCTCCATTCCAGCCCCCGATACAGCCCTTCTATAAATACTGGACCCCAGTCCAAGTCAGGGCTGCTTCTCACTCTTGAGACAGCCTGCATTCTTGCTTGAATGTGTATCCACCTTCCTAAATAAACCTTTGTCTATGCCTTTGTCAAGCTTGTGCTGAAATTATTTTCTGTCGCTATGCCAAGAACCCTGATGGACCTGAGTTTAGTTCCCCCTCTCCTCTGGAAACTCCTTGGACCCTTTTCCAGAGACATCTATTCTCCCATGACAGTAAGAGAATCTGTTGATTACCAGGAGGTAGGATTTAATTTTATTATCTAAAAAGAATTCCTCAGTATACCTCCTTAGAAGTCAAATGATTCAGAAACAGCAAAAGAGAACTGAGTGGCTATAGAGAAGCAGATAATATTTTGTTGCATTAAAAAACCTAGACTCTGGGGCTGGGATTGTGGCTCAGCGGTAGAGCGCTTGCCTAGCAGGTGGGAGGCCCTGGGTTTGATCCTCAGCACCACATAAAAATAAATAAAGATATTGTGTCCAACTATAACTAAAAAATAAATATTTAAACAAAACAAAACAAAACAAAAAAACTAGACTCATGGGTCTGGGGTTGTGGCTCAGCGGTAGAGCACTCGCCTCGAATGTGTGAGACCCTGGGTTTCAAGCCTCAACACCACATAAAAAAATAAATAAATAAGTGCAAAAAAGGTGTTGTGACCAAATACAACTAAAAAATAAAACATAAAATATCCCTAGACTCATGGAATTTAAAAATCTGGATCAATGTACATTTTTAAATTAATAGAATATCAGCTTCTCTCAGATTCTCCTGAATATAGGTGGAAAACAATTAACAAGTATGTTTGAAGGTATGCCACATACCTTCACTTTTTGCTTTGAATATAGCCCTTACTGCTCTGCCATTGCAACTTCTTTTTTGGTATTGAGGAGTGAATCCAAGTGCTTAACCACTGAGCCACATCCCCAGCCCCTTTTTGTAAATTGCTGAGGCTGGCTTTGAACTCTCTCAGCCTCCCCAGCTACTGGGATTACAGGCATGCACCACCACACTGGGCATTACAATTTATTTTTAAAATGGCCATGTCTCTTTCTCTTCCTCTCTCCCTGCTCCTCCCTAATCTCCCCCTCCATAATCTCAGGGGGAAAAGGATCACCTTTCTTACCAATTTTAGGCAGATTTATCTCTCCTTGAGTAAATACCCACCTTAGGAAGGAAGTAATCCAGACTTTGTGGATAGTACCAGAGGATCTTGGAACTGACTATCTCCCAAATTAACAAGTGAATGACAACTCCAACAGAGAACAAGTGGGATGTGGCCTTTGAATCACCTCTTTTAAAGCACCCTGTTCCTGCTGATGGGCAGAATCACAACCTTTGGGACAGGAGTCCCCTGTATTTCTCCTTTGCTAGCAAAGCAATAGAACTTCTTTTTCTCAAAACTGTGTCCCCCTTGGCATGGAGACAAGGACTATTAGGATACTACACATCACTATCCAATCGTGTTCCAATTTCAAGTGTTATACATAACCATACCTGGGTTCCTTAATGGGGGCTCATTTGAAAAGAAAACGGTCTACCCATATCAGAAATAGTGAAAAAAAACAATAAGGTAGAAATAAGAACTTTCTTTTTATAACCTCAGACACACGCCATCTAAGAGATACACACAAACTTTCTTATTAGGGATCATTGCAAATTAATAATTTGAGATTTCTGTTGGCACTGGGGCAGATTTTTATGCTATTTTTTATGCATATCAAAAATATAATCACAAACAAATGCTACACAATAGTCTAATTAGAGAAAGCTTTTCTGATTTTTATGGGAGTCATGTAAATCAGTATCTTATATTCCAGATAAGTAGTAAGATTTTATTTAGCCTGGGGGGGATGACTTTTATAGGCGAGTTCTTTTTCTTGTTTTAAGAACTTTATATATAGAGAGAGTTTTATACTACTTCAGATTCTACATCCCCAAAATGACACCAGTAAGTACAGCTATGTATGAAGGAATAAATAGGGTTACCTGAGTCTTTGCGTTTTCATCCTCAATCTTAACATTGGCCTGAGCTGCAAGTTCTTCAAGTTCTTGTTTTGCAACTTGTTCCTCATCAGAATCTTCCTCATATTCAGGTCCAAATTTCCTTTCAGTTTTGAGTAGTAATTTTTCTTGAAGAACTTCTTCAAACTGAATGTGAAAAATGCCAAATTTTTCTGCCACATGTCTTCCACACACAGTTTTGCCAGAGCCACGGGGGCCCATAAGGCATATTCTTGGTGGAGGAGCCTGCAGGGGTAGGGGGGCAGGGAAGGAGAGGGCAGAGGGAGAATGAAGAAGTTCTGAGTTATTTAAAAAACATAGGCTCATTAACTGCTTTCCCTAAGCCTGATAAAAATGATTACTTTATAAGTTCAAAGAGGTATACACATTAGAATATCAACTGACATAATTCACTGTATCTACCAACTAAGGTCCTAGTTGGTGGGAGGAGTATCAACAACAACAAGATTATCTTGATATCATATGCCAAAAAGCACTTAATAAAATGAAATTAGTTTTTTTAAAAAAGTCTTAATGTTAAGAAATAATGAAAACATACTTTCTTATGATAATTAAAAAAATCTCTCTACCCCTCTACAAAAAAACAAAAACAAAAACAAAAACACAAAACCCTAGTTCATTAATAATGAAACATTAGAGTCCTCTCTACTATTCCTTTGATCTTCATACTGGAGATGAGGAAGGCTAAATTCAGAGAACCCATGGTTGTAGGAATTAGCCACCAGGTACATCATTTGAGAAAAATAATAAAACACAGAATGATGAATAATGAAAATAGGATGGTATGAAATAATGTAGGGATAGCCTCACACTAAACTTTTGGATTACATTTTAAATCCCCAGTGATTAAATTATTAGAGTAGTGTAATAGTAGTTTACTCTGAATATAGCCCTTGCTGCTCTACCACTGAAACTTTTTTTAAAAAATGGACATGTTTCTTTCTCTTCCTCTCTCCCAGCTCCTCCCTAATTTCTCCCCCTCCCTAATCTCAGAGGAAATAGAATTACCTTTCTTCCTCATTTTAGGAAGATTTATCTGTCCTTAAATAAACATTCACAGTAGGAAGGAAGTAATCCAGACTTTGGGGACAGTAGCAGAAGATTTGGAAATGACTATCTCCCGAATTAACAAGTGAATGACAACTCCAACAGAGAACAGGTGGAATGTAGCCTTTGAATCACTTCTTTAAAAGCACCCTGTTCCTGCTGATGGGCAGAATCACAACATTTAGGACAGGAGTACCCTATGTTTCTCTTTGCTAGCAAAGCAATAAAATTTCTTTTTTCCTTTTTCTCAAAATCATGTTCTCATCATTGGATTGGCATTGGGGCCGGGGACCCAGCTTTTGGTAACAGTAACACTTCACTTATTCACAATTCAGATGCCTGGCAACTAGGGCTGTCTGGCATCCAGAGGGTGTTAAGGTAGCTGGGTGGTGACCTGCAAAGTTCCTGGCAAATCCAACGCATTTTATGCTTTGCAGAACTGTGTCTTCAGGTTTTTAGGTTGTATCCATGTGAATTTGTGTAATGTGTAAAACAAGGCAAAGTTCAGCAAATCTATAAGAAGAAGTGACTGCCAAAAGCAACAAGAAAAGAAGAAAAGTAGCCACAGTGCTTAAATGACCCTTAGCACCATTGCCTGGGGATTCTTAGGCACAATCATCCACACACTACGATAGTCCCTGCGGGCACCATGTAACTAGGCCCAAATTATCCATAAGAGTTCTGTATGTTCAGTTTAAGAAGGCAAAGGTGTTATCAAAAAGTAATAATATAATGTATTGTGATTTATACATCTCGATCCAGTTATCCCATTCCAGAGAATTATAGCAATAAAATAATTGAGGGAGAAAAGGAGAGGTATGCCCCCAAATTACCTAAATACCATTTAATAGCCATAATGCCAGAATCATTTTATAAAAAATACTGTGAAAAAATGTCTAATGATAAATTAGATGTTAAGATGTTATATCAAAATATCTAAGCATTATTAGATCTATGTAGAAACATAAATTTTCTATGTCATAAGTGAAAAAACATAAAATATGATATATGCTAGAAAGAATATATATATAAACATGCACACACACATATATCTGTGGAAGAATATGGAAAAATAAAATATAAAAATTAAGACTCTTGTTTAAAGCTGGTGCAATTATTTGTGTGCCTTACTTTCAGAAATGAAAAGAAAAAATTGTGCTAATGTGGTGGCATAAGCCTGTAATTCCAGCAACTTGGGAGGCTGAGGCAGGAAGATCCCAAGTTGGAGGCCAATATCACCAATTTAGCACATCTCTCAGCACCTTAGTGAGACCGTGTCTCAAAATAAAAACCAAAAAAGGCTAGGGATCTGGACCAAGGGTAAAGTGCCCCTGGGTTCAATCTTCAGTACCAGGAAATAAAAAAGAATTGCCATATGTCCATTTTTATTCTGGTAAAATATTCATAAAATAACATTTACCACTTAAACCATTTTAAGGGTACAATTCTATGGTATTAAATATATCCATAATGTTGTGTACCTGTCCTCATTATCCATCTCCAGAACTTTTTCATGACCCATAACAGGAAGTTACCTTCTATTCATTAAATAGTTAACTCCCATGCTCCTTCTTCCTTCTCTTCTAAGAATCTGCCTATTCTAGGTACCTGATGTAAGTGGAATCATACAGGGTTTGCTTTGTGTGTCTGGCTTTTGTATTGTTTTAAAGAAGATAGAAAACCGACCCAAAGGTGATAAACAAGTGAGAATAAAAAGCTTCTCATAAACAAAAGGAGAAAATGGGTTATTCTATAGACACAGCAACACTAGTCATTCAACCAGTTTTAAACTGGTTAGATTGGCCAATTCACTTCAGGGAACATGTTTTGTAATCCAACAAGTATCATCCTTCACTCCTGAAAATCAACCAATCAGGGATGGACTTACTTGGAAAACAGGTTCAGTGTGGTCCCATCAAGAACAGTGTTACTTGCGTAATCACAATTCTATAGATGCTGTCTACCCACTTATTCCTCTGAAAAGGCACCGATCCCAGAATTCCACATTTCCCCCCAACTTCTTTATAAGGTCATTAGCCTGCTCTTCTTAGACCGACGTGCATAGACGGGCTGTAACCTAGCAAGGGGTAATTCTGCCATATCTTTTTATTTCAGATAAAAAGACACTACGTGCTGGTCTGACATAAGACAATTCTTTAAAAACCAAAATTGATAATCATTTTTATGTTACATTGCAAAGAAGTTGATCTTTGAACTTGGATATTTTCACTATATTGTCCTATGAGAGTGGGGACAATACCATGATGGAAGCTGATAATAAGTCCTTTAAGAAGCAATTGGAACGATAATTAGGATAGGAATATTGTTTTCACCTTTAATGGTTCGCTGTGAGCCACATAGTCTTCAGGATTCTCCTGAAACTTTTCTCTAGCCTCAGCACTCGAAAAGTAGTAGAACTTTTCTCGGTATTTAGCTGCTTCTTCTGTGCTACATGGTTGTAAGATGAAGTTTTCTTTGAGAACCACTGGACAGAAGGACTTTGTGTCTCCCAAATGCCTCCTTTTCTCTTTAATTCTTTCTTCACTCTAGAAATATTATTCAATTTAAAGAGTATTATGAAAAGGCATTTGATGTAATAATAAAAAGGAATTAAAAATAATCCTCTTGAATAATTTTAATCTATAACAATCCAACTTTAAAACAATCCACAAGTCATTCTTATACTATTTTAATTAATTAAAAAATTAGTTTCTCATATCCCTCTAAATCCATATCCTAAGTTTTTAATTTTTATAAAGAAAATAAATCAGCACTGAGAATGAAGGTGTGCCTAGACCTCTACAGACAGAAACCAACAGAAGTGTAATGAAAACCTTCACTCTGAGTTCAGTTTCTAAAATTATTCCCAAGAAATAAAATTTGAGTCAGGGTGACAACTTTTTGTTTGTTTCTTTGTTTTACATTACTGGATATTGGATCCAGGGGCACTCTACCACTGAGGTGCATCCTTAGACCTTTTTATTTTTTATTTTGAGATTAAGTTGCTGAGGCTGGCCTTGAACTTGTGATCTTCCTGACTCTGTCTCTTAAATAGATGAGATTACACCCATGCACCACAGTGTCTAACTATAAATTCTTTTTTTTTTTAACTATCATCATCAACTTCTTTTTTTTAAAATTTTTATTGTTGGTTGTTCAAAACATTCCATAGTTCTTGATATATCATATTTCACACTTTGATTCAAGTGGGTTATGAACTCCCATTTGTACCCCGTATACCAATTGCAGAATCACATCAGTTACACATCCATTGATTTACATATTGCCATACTAGTGTCTGTTGTATTCTTCTGCCTTTCCTATCCTCTACTATCCCCCCTCCCCTCCCCTCCCCTCCCATCTTCTCTCTCTACCCCCTCTACTGTCATTCATTTCTCCCCCTTGTATTATTTTTCCCTTTCCCCTCACTTCCTCTTGTATGTAATTTTGTATAACCCTGAGGGTCTCCTTCCATTTCCATGCATGTAAATTAAGTTTGAGATGCCTCTGGATTTGCTTTGCTTTCTTTTAAGTGGATATAATCAGATAATAATTTCAAAATATTTTATTTAGCTAATAAATATTTAGTGACAGATTTTCATTTGTGATAAATAATTTCTATGCATGGTATGTATTATACTAAAAATGATTAGTATACTAAAATGATTATAATGCTACCAACATACATATGAAAACATACATATATATAGGTGCAAATATAATTATCCTATAATATGCTTCTCAACAAAACAAGAAATAATAACTTTCTGTAAAGGTACAAAAATAAGACTAATCAATATCTTCCTTCCATCATTCTTATTTAATTTATTTTAATTCCTATTAAGGCATTCAAACTTAAAAATGAGCTGAGAAGTATTGATTATTTCCTATGACATGGAAGAGTTTAAACAACACAGGAATTATTTAATCAGCAAATGTATATTAGAAATGACCTATAAACTTCCTTCTATTATTTTTGTTTGGCTTTTATCTTTTAAGCAAATTTTATTAATTGATTGTTTGGGGGTAAAAGCCTTTTTGAATTTCAAATTTATTAGTATAAAGTCCTCATAATTTAAAATAATTAAATGTTCATTATTGCTTCTTCTTTTTTACCTAATTAAGCTTACAGGAAGTTTGTCTGTTTTCCTTTTGTTGATTGGTCAATTTTTCATTTTGGGACTTTTATTTTATTTTGTTTTCCTATTTTAATAGTTTTTGCCTTTAATTCACCTAGGGATAGTTAATCACTGAGCCACATCCCCAACCCTTTTTTATTTTTTATTTGAGACAGGTCTGCTAAGTTGCTTAGGACCTTACTAAACTGCTGGGGCTGGCCTCAAATTTGTGATCTTCTTGACTCAGCCTCACGAGTTGCAGGTTATAGACATGCACCACCATACCAGGTGAGATCTTTTTTTTTTTTTTTTAATTCCCTTTTTCTCTCTCTAGCTTCCACATATGAGAGAAAACATCCAACCTTTGACTTTCTGAGTCTGGCTTATTTCACTTAGCATGATGTTCCCCAGTTCCCTACATTTACCAGAAAATGCCATAATTTCATTCTTTTTTATGGCTGGGTAAAACTCCATCATGTACATATACCATGTTTTCTTTATTCATTTGTCCATTGATGGGTACCTGGGTTGGTTCCATAACTTGGCTACTGAGCAGTACATGTTTTTGTGGATTCCAATTACATATATGATAGGCTCCTTGTTCCTTAGATCACTGATAATCTCACTTTTTTCACGATTTTTCCCCTTTTGTTTCATTGTAGATAGTTTCTATTGCTTTTTTTTCCAGTTTGCTAATCTTCTAAGTGATTGTTATTCTGTTAAATGAATGTCTCATTTAATTTTTGTACTTTTCAATCCTAACAGTGGAGATTAGGTGTTTATTATTCTTCTATATCTCTGCTTAACTTTTTGATTTATAGAGTGCATTTATGTTAACAGTTTTAATGCTTTTGTCAGGAATTCTGACATCTTTGTCAGTTTTCAATTAGTTTTAATTGACCAAATTTTCTCCTAATTACAAAGTCATATTTTCCTGCTTGTTTGCAGGTCTGGTGATCTTAGAGAGGAGGTCAAAATGTTATCTTGTATTCCCATAAATATTCTTACATGTTTATTCTTGGATACGGTGAAGTTACTTGGAAGAAATTTAGTCTTTTTGACTTTTACTTTTATATTAGGTGGGGCCAGAGCAGCATTTATTTTAGGTTGAATTATTCCCCATTCCTGAGGCTACACCCTGATTAATGCCTTACCTGATGCCCTGTGAATTATGGGATTTGTTAAAATGCATGGATACTGCACATAAAAATATAAGTTTTGAGTATTATAGACATCTTGAGAATGGTCTGAGAACACTAACAGAAGGTGGCCAGAGGAAGAGAATCAGAACATAAGTAGGACAAAACCACATCCTTTGGCAACCTTAATAGTCTCATAAGTTAATAATAAAGTACTGAGAGCTGTATCAAAATCATACTGTGTATTATTTCTTGCCCCCCCATCCCCTGCATATTTGGGTTTAAGTTAGGCAAAAATAACTTAATTGTAAGTGTATGTTTATCTAACTTAATAAGTTATTTTTTATTTATAAAGCCCCAAATTAAAGAAATATTTTCATGTTTTATGATTGACAGATGTCTGAGCTGGGCACTATCAAATGAAAATGTTTATCATGATTCTGGTGTCAAGGGAGTAGAATGGTGCCCCAACCTGTACTGCTGCTGTTTGAGGGTACTGCACATCATGATCATGCAAGCAGCCTTTTTAAGACTCTCTCTCTGTTTTACATACACACCCTACTCTTAGATTTATAAAATATTTACATTTTTAATACCTATATACTTTTTCCATGGAAAAATTTTTAAAAGATTCTCCTTATATTTTTTTCATGGTGTCTTTTTTTTTTTTTTTTAATACTACGTAGCCCTGGTATTTCAGGGAATCAAGTGAGGCTGGGGTCAGGGGAGAACATGAGCAAAAATATTTACTTATAAAGTTGAGCCTGCCTGTTTGTTCACTTGTTAACCTGTTAGTCACCACTCTGCTACGTACAGTTTCAAGGACTTACCAAATGAGAATGAGTAGTAATAAAACAGTCATACCTCTTCCTCTTCTTCTTCCTCTTCATCCAAATCCTCATCAATGTCAGCTTCAGCCTGATAGTCTTCTGTTTCTTCATCATAATCTTCTATAGTTAACTCCCATGCACTATACTGAAAAGGTTCTGTTAAAAAAATCATTGGAGAAAATATTTTTAGAATGAACAGTTATTAGCATATACAGAAGTGAAAAATTAGGAAACTAATTATTATTATTCATCTCTTGGTTTTAATATGTAGGCAAATAGCCCTTTACAAATTCTTTATGTGACAACTGACCAGCATGGCCAATGCTGTGGTGTGCCCCATGGCTGTTCTGATCAGGCAGAGCCTGCACTATGATACTTGTTAAATATTTTACATATCATCCTTAGATACATTGAATGCTTTACTTCATGAACCATCAAGAAAGGTCTTAAAGTTGCAGCATGTTTTTAATATCTCTACTCTTGATCATAAATGTGGCGATCACAGTCCTTACTTTCCATAGTGTTGACTACTTTTTGAAATAGTTCCTTTGGTGTTTTCCCAGAAATCTCCAAGTTTAAAATTTGAACGCCAGCCTCACTAATTGCTGATTCCAGTGTTTTCCAGGTGGTATTGAAAGCATTAATCTGCTCTATAAATGGCTCCATTTCAGGAACATCAGGATAAGTGTCTTCTGGAAACTCAGGCAGTACAACTTTTGAGTAAAGGTTAAAGGAAAGGAAAAAGAGTCTTTAAATATCTTATCTCCAGCCAAATTGCCAGAATAATTTACACTGTTTATAATGTTTTTCAAACATTTGAAAGAAAAGTAAACTTAATAGTCTTAGCAACAATATATATTCATAATTTCATATTTTAATCATTCTTTGTTCTTTATATATTATACATGAATTATTACCTATTAATAAAACTCAAATAATTAGATAATTAATATGAGCTTCATATGAAAACTTTAGCTGTAAATACAATGTGTAAAATAAATTTGATGAAAGTCAGTGTTATAAGGTGAATAGATACACTCTTAATGGAATAAACTAAATAAATATAATAAATATCAGGCTGACATACAGCATAGAAAGAAATAAGTAGAAATCAGGTAATGCCCCAATTAAAGGACTAGATTCTGTTAAGAAATGTGAAAAGCACTTTTATGCACTACTTTTGTTATATAATCTAACCTGTTTCAGATTCTTTACTCTCCATGATCTCTTTGGATTCTTTTGTAATTTCTGTTCCTGTTGTAGTATCCTCACTAGGCTCAGAGGCTTAATGAAGAAATCAAATGGTTAGTGTTTGAATTTTAAAATGTTACTTCTTTATGAAAGCTATGGCACAAAGAAATTCAAAACAGTTTAAATTGTGAATAACATGTCTAATAAAAAATACCGTTTTTGTTAAAGAATGGCATAAAAATATATGAAAATATGAGGCAGAAAATGAAGAATATTCTTAAGTATATAAATGGACATTAACTAGAAATAACTGACACATGGTACATACAATTCTGTTGATGACTATTGTTAAATAGTTTTCAAACTTCTGGTAATATGGCCCCAGACTTGCAGTGCCTGATACTCCTTTTAATTTCTCGTTAAATACTGATGAAGCTTGTAATCCCAGTAGCTCAGGAGGCTGAGGTGGGAGGACTACAAGTTCAAAGCCAGCCTCAGCAACTTAGTGAGGCCCTAAGCAATTTAGTGAGACCCTATCTCAAAATAAAAAATTTTAAAAATGGGCTGGGGATGTAGCTCAGGGGTAACGTGCCTCTGGATTCAATCCTTAATACCAAAAAATAAAATAAAATAAAATACCCATGAAGGGGGCTTTGAGTGTGGTTCAGTGGTAGAGAAAAATCCAAATCTACAAAAGAACCTATGAAGATACACCAAAAGACTGCAAAGTGGCAATGAGAGATGATAATATTGCAAAGCCCCAGTTATGGGCATAGGTATGGAAAAATTGAAGAGAATCCTATCTGTTTCATTGTTGAGGGTACAGACTATAAACTATTTTCCTGGATGACATAAGGCATTAAGACACCCTTCACACATGATCTAGCATAGATGGCTTCAGGGAAGATAGAACTAATTATCTTCTCACCCTACTCACACACTTACATGTATAGAGCCATTTTATAAAATGTGAAAAGCCATCTTCTAAGTTCAAATAATACTTCAGTTCTCCTTTGATAAAATCTATGTTTAATACTTATTATAGCAGGAAGTAGAAAGGGGCATACCCATCCTTTCTTGGCCTTTTGGCTAAGATCTAGTGAAGGAAAGGGATAAGCCCAGGGCTGGCATGGTAGTGACATGTTTAATTGTAAACTTCTCTGTTAATATACGCTTTAAAAATCATGTCAAAGAGAAGAAGATAATTCCAAACTGTGTTAGCTTCTCTGGCTTAATCAGAGACTGCAATGATTGGAGATGAAGACCATCTGGCTTCAGTCTAGAAAAGTCATTAAAGTTGAATACTTGCTAAATGCAACAACTTGAATGCCCCGGTCCAGCCCCAGCAGGGATGCAGGGGTCCTGAAGGATGAGTGGCATGGGGCGAAAGAGAGGAGTCGGACAGGTTGCAAGTTACAAGCAGCCTTCAGAAGGATCTGCTGCCCCTAGAGGGGGGGCCTTTATTTTTATACCTTTTTTGCAGATGTTTTTTTCAGGTAGTAAATGGAAAACCCCAAGCCCTGAAACTTCTTAAGACTTACAATCTTTTTATAATATATATTGATTATGTAAGATATTGAGTACATTGTTTAAAATATTTTCCTGTAACCATTGCCAATCATGAATAAGCCTTTACATTTTTACCTCAATCACTAGGTGCCACACTACACAACTAGACTATATGTCTCCTGACCTATTATTAACTTTTAAATTTAAAGCATACCTATAATTATTTCATTAACCTTTAACTTTAAAGCATACCTATGATTATTGGTAAACTTTCTTACTTCTAATATAAAATTCCAGTAAAACACACTTAAAATACTGAAAGTCTATTACTTAAAAGCCTACTATTCTGAAGTGCCTCTAAAATATATTTATGTCAATTTTACATTATTTTATTTTTAATCTCCAAGGTAATTTCCTTTTTTCATATGACCTATTTAATGGCTTTCTTAAAGAGTTTCTTTGATCCTTCATCAAAGTACACCAATTCTTATATCTTTGTAATCTTTAACTAAAGGGCAGGCTTTATACCTCAACCCACTTGCCATTAATATTAACTATGTGTTTCCCATTTTCATCATACATTCCTATGTAAGGCAAAGGAGGGTCTGTTGGTGGGGGGAATGTATGTTGCACATGTTGTGGCTTTAGAACGGGGTGGAGGGTGGGCTTAGTGTAAATTGTGAACAGTGGGATAAACATTTCTTGCTGATAAGGCTTGAGAAATAACATTACTGTTTGTATCCTGAGAGATACTGAAACACACCTCAGGGCATGAGTTAATTGTACCCTTAGTCTCATTCTGGGAATCTTCCTGCAATCTCAGGTAATACGTACTTTTATTATTGATTGACGGATGTCCTATTATCCATATCATGAGTATCATAAACAAAACACTTAACATTTCCCATGGTTTCAGTTTCCAGATGGTGCGGCTCTGCCGCAGCATCCCTCATGCTGTGACCCTGTCTTCACCACTTGAACTATAAGTTATTGCACATTAACTTATGTCACATATATCAGGTCTATATTGGAGAGTGTGAGGCAAGAAGTTTAAGTGAAAGGATGGGGTGAGGGTGGGGCAGGTTGCTCTTGGAAATACTCCTCTACCTGCCCTTCCTATCATGGTTTTTATAAAACCTATGAAAAGATGTTATGATGAAAGCAAAGAGAATATTAATTCAAAGACTCAAGTGAAGACTTTGCTTTTTGAAAACTTTTTTTTTCTTTACTGGGGATTGAACCCAGGGGTGCTGTACCACTGATCTACATCCCCAGCCTTTTGAATTTTTCATTTTGAGACAGGTCTCACACTAAGTTGCTCAGAGTGGCCTCAAAGTCACCATCTGCCCCATTCAGCCTCCTGAGTCACTCAGATTACAGGCATGCACCACTGTGCCTGTAAATTTTATAAGACCTATGCTTGGAGTACTCAACAAGCAGAAGAGGACAACAGAGTCTATGAAACAGGAGCCACAAGGCATAAAGATAGACCTCTCCAAAATAAAGGCTGAAATGCAAGAAAATTAGCTCAAATAAAACCATGCAAGGAAATCTAAAATGCAACAGCAGAATTAAAATATGCCTTAGGAGAAAATAAACTATTAATATGAAGGATAACAAATCTCTGAAGAATATAGAAGGGAAATACAAAGAGATAAAAACTTCAGGGAAAAGAAGATTAATGTGGCTGAGAAACAGTAGTTATCTAGCCAATAAATAATATATGATCCTGAAAAAGGAATCGAAAGCAATAATTAAAGAAAAACCACTCTGAGCTAGACAAAGACTGGAGAAAGTACAGAATTTGGGAGCAATGTCAATTAAATTATCAATAATCCTACTATCCCATAGGTGCAGAAATCTAAGGACTGTGTCCACACCTGTGGCATTCAGCTATGTGAAGATGCTGTGCCTCCTTCAAAATGATATCTGGAGGAAGTGTGTAAACAAATAATTAATTCTCATATTAATAGCTACTATGTATCAGAATAAATAGTAGTCTTGTATGAGGACTTTAAAAACGTATTAGAGCAAACCTTTCCCTCAGGCTGAAGTCCAATCAGACTATAGTTGTAAAACTAAAATAAAGAACCACATGCTTAGAAATATTGAAAGAAATACATTAGAATGTTAAATATTATTGTCTTTTGCTAGTGATTTCCCACCCCACAAAAAGAAGCTTTGTATTTTAGTAATGCCATTTTTTTCTATTTGTATGAATTCTACATTTCCTGTAACTAGCATATGTTTAATCAAATTGGGCTGGATTTTTGAACAATTTAAGACAGTTCCACATCAATTATATCAGAACTATGATCATGGTCAATCAAATGTCTATCAAAGGATAGACATTTTCCAGCTTTTAAGTGGTCCATAGTCTTTTTAAAGAATCAATTCATTATGACCTGCAAATACACTATGCAGCTGTTATCCTAGAGTTTATGTTTTTAGGATCAGATATGCCTCAGGCATAAATACTGAGCTTTTTTTTTTGTAACATAGGGGATAATTTATAGAACTTTTTTTCCAAGCAAATTTTTTTCCTATGGCAACAGTTTTCAGCTACTAGAATTATCTGGGTTATGTCTTAACATGGAGACTCCCAAATTCTATCCTAGACTTACAGAGCCAGAACTTGCAATGAGATAGAGCTCAATAGCCTTTAAAATAAGAATTTTAGGACACACACACACACACACACACACACACAGAGGAATGTAATATAAAGACAAAGACAGACAGGCATAGTAGCACATGACTGTAATCCCAGCAGCTCAGAAGGCTAAGGCAGGAGAATCATGAGTTCAAAGCCAGCCTCAGCAACTTAAAAGCCCTAAGTAACTTAGTGAGACCCTGTCTCTCTATAATTAAAAAAAAAAGGGCTGGGGATATGGCTCAGTGGTTATGCACCCCTGGGTTTAATCCCTAGTACCAAAGAGAGAGAGAGAGAGAGAGAGAGAGAGAGAGAGAGAGAGAGAGAGAGAGAGAGAAGGAAAGAAAAAGCCACAAGCCAAGAATTGCTTGGAGGCACCTAAAGCTAGGAAGAGGCTAGGAAGATGCGAGGCAGCATTCATCCCCAGAGCCTTCAAAAGGAGCACAGTCCTATTTACACATTGATTTTGGACTGTAAGAAAATAAATTTCTATTGTTTAAAGCCATCTTAAAGTTTAAGATTATTTGTTGCAGCAGCCCTAGGAAACTAATACATTTCCCAATAGTCTGCTTGGAAATGAGCATTAGAGAGCAATGTGAAATTTAGTGATGATTAAGCAAGGGAGAGATGGAGGAGAGAGTTTATGTCACATGCCCTACAGCAGACACTGTTGATAACTCACCAATCCTGTTTTCCTCTTTTTCTTTCCTGGCTTAGTGGGGTTTTGGTCTAGTGTTTACTCCAAACCCATATAGTTGGAGAGAGTGACCTCATCTACAGCTCCAAGGAATTAATCTAAGGTCTAAGCCTCACATGTAGGTTCTATCCCTTCTGATTTTGAAGAAGGAACAGTAACTATTAATTATGAAAGTGCTAAGATTTAAGGAGATGGGCATTACATGCCTGTAATCCCAGCAATTTGGGAGGCTACAGCATGAAGATCTCAAGTTCCAGGTCAACCTCAGCAAGTTAGTGAGACCCTGCTGTAAAATTTAAAAAAAAAGGGTTGAGAATGTAGCTCAGTGGTAAAGTGCCCCTGGGTTCAATCCCCAGTACCACAAACAAAAACAAAAACAAAAAAACAAATTTAACAAGATGAAATAGCTAATTACCCTGACTTGATATGATGCACTGTACACACATATCAAATTAACACGCTATACCCTACAAATGTGTATATTTATTCTGAGTCAAATGTTTTTTAAAAAGTGAAATAAAATGTTTATTCTGGAGCTGTGGGACTAATAACACCTTGGTAAGAATGAAATGCATACACATATATGAGCTACAAAATATGAATTGTGTAAGTTTTGGTGATTTTGCATATGACTTAAATGTTCTTTTATTTGCATTTAAAATGGCACTGCACAATGCAAAGATAAGTCATTAAATTCATGCTAACAAGTTGATTTTTTTCTCTATTTAAAATGACATTAAATAGCAAATGAAAAACACCATGACAAGCTGAAAGAGAGGGGTTGGGGCACATTGGAAGAAAAAGAACTTTGTATTTTAGTAATTTAATGGCAATCTATTCCTGCTTTTGGGAAAATGTGCGCTGCAAATTAAGTCACTGACCCTGTTCCTGAATGAGAGTCATGGGGCCAAGCCCATTCAACTTCCCTATCACATTGCACACCATGTTATTTGGCTTCTTTCTGAGTCTCATCTTCCTATTTTCAGCCAGCTTCCATTTTATTATTTCTCCCACCCCCACTCCTCTTTCTCTCTAATGAACCTGAGTAGAATGAAAGATGTGGCCCTCAGTGAAGTCTAACCTAATTTATGTTCTGTTTCAGGCATTTCCAAATCTTCAGGTACTAATGACGGTCTGTTTTCAGGCACTTCAGATTCTTCATGGACATCATAGTCCTCACCTTCGAGTTCTTCATCAGGATCGTGATAAATAGCATCAATTTCTAGAAAAAATTAGAAGGAATAAACTATCATTCCGTTTAAATCAACAAATATTTATTGGGTATTGATAAGTGCTGAGGCCAAAAGAATGAGTGACTCCTGCCCTCCTGGAGTAGGTGGTTTAAAGGGGGAGACAGATGCATTATCTCTATATTATACCCACCCAACATGGTGGTACAGAATTAACAGACTAAGAGTGTTATGGGAAAACCTGACTAAGGGTTCATTGAAAAGAAGAAATGTTTATAGCAGCCCCAAATAATCTAACAGTATAAGATCAGAAGCAGTCCAATTCCATTCAATAAGGGAATGACTGTCTAATATGATATCCACTAGTCAGGTGCGGCTCTTGAGCCCTTGAAATGAAGTTTGTACAAATGGATATATATGTAAATATGGACACCTAGCCTCATTCCATAGTTTGGCTATTGTGAATTGTGCTGCTATAAACATGGGTATGCATGTACCACTATAGTAGGCTGATTTAAATTCTTTAAGATACTGAGGAATGGTCTTTTAAGGAATTTCCATACTAATTTCCACAGTGGATATACAAATTTAAAACCCTACCAAAGAGTAAAAGTGGATAGATTTTCTTATCATTAAAAATATTAAATAATATAGATTGTTGATCAATAATGTCCATTATAAATTTAGAAAGCATAATTCTAAGTTTTATGTAGTTCCTGATGAACATTAATATATATTGGAGTTTTTCAGGAAAAAAATGGCAAGTGGTATCAGAAAACTGGTCTCTCTAATTCCCTTTCATGTAATATTTTTATGAAAATGGAAAGCATCTCTTTATATGCAGAGATGATATGAAAAAATAATTGTTTTCTGGACTCTTGTGGAAATTTCTTCCCCCAGTAAGTTTCTCCAAGAATTGCATTCTGATGGTGTGATACACCTCTGGCATCTAAATTTTATCTAAATCCAGATGATTAAGCACCCAGAGAAAAACAACCTGAAATATTCTTACATCTAGGTCTGAACCCAAACCACAGTGCATGTGGCTTCTAAGTATGTCACTTGGAAAGTAGTGAATCTTTTTGTGTTAGATTGAGGATTTTATGGTAACACACACAAGTATGAAGCAACACTTGCTGAATGTTACAAGCTTGTTATGTGATGAAGCTATGTGCTCTACATATCTCCTATAATAAAATATCTCCTATAATAAAAAATTTTGGGGCTAGGGCTGTGGTTCAGTGGTAGCACACTTGCCTGGCATGTGTGAGGCACTGGGTTCGATTTCAGCACCACATATAAATACATAAAATGAAGGTCTATCAACAACTAAAAAAAATTTTTTTTAATTGTCATATACCTCAAATATGTGTGTATTCATTTATAGGTTGTATTCTTATCCATATTAGATACATTATAAAATGTACATAAGAATTGATATAAGTATATTTCAGAAAATTATAAAAAGTTTAAAACCTTTTTTCTAAAACCCTACTGAATAATCTATGTCACATATAAATTTGGGATGGTTCAAAGATGTTTTAAAGATCCTTGAACTATTTGGGATTTTGATTGTTAATTATACAGTCATCTGTTGATTCATGACAAATTACCCAGAAATGTAGTGGTTAAAACAATCACATATTATCCTTGTAGTTTGGGAAGGCTTAAATGAAAAGTTCTGGCTCAGGTTGTCTCATGTATTGTAGTGAAGATGCCCATCAAGGTTGTAGTGTTCTCAGGCCTTAACTGGGACTGGAGGATCCACTTCCAAGGTGAATTCCTCAAAGCCAGTACCAAAGTGTTCAGAGAAGAGTCAGCTACTACCACCCTGTCCTATCCAAAATCCTGGCCTACAGAATGGTTTAATGAAAATGGTGGTTGTTTTATGCCCCTAAGTTTTGGAGTGGCCTGTGGCATAGCAGAGGAAAATTGAAACAAATACTCTGCACTTCTTTTGAACTATTATCCTCTTTGGAAATCTGGTGAAACTTATGGACCTCTTCTCAGAATAATGTTTTCAAATTCATAAAATAAAATATATAAAAAACCAATAACATTGAAATCCAGCTATCAAGATTTAAACTATTTTTTGTGCTATAGGAAAATTTTGCATCCTTACTAATGTATTAAAGAAAAAGAACTAGCTGCTGGTTTAATAACTGTTATGATGATGGAACAGTGATAAGCATAGACACAATATATAAAACTACAATATGAAATGAAAATATCTTAATTTCTACTGATAACAAAGTCAAGGTACTTCTAACACTGTTAAGGTTTATTGCCTGTATTAACAGTTGATGGAAATACTAAATTGAGTTTTAAAGGTCAGTGAAACTATAGTTGGAATTAATTTTCCATTGAAGTTCACAAACCCCTGAATTTTACCTATGGATCTCAGTTTGAGAACTACAGCCTTTAAAGAAACTTAAAACTTAGAAACTGAAAAGTAACAAAGTGTAAAGGCACTAGGCAAAGTGAGAGTTTGGCTATTTTCTCAGCCCTTGCAGGATTGTTCTGGGAGAAGTAATTCTAACTGCCATGTGTTACCCATGAGAAGCAACCATTTAAAGACATTCTACACATGCTGTTCCTCTGTATATACATATTCTTGAGATGCAAGAGTATGTATCTATGTTAGGAGTCTTTTTTCTCTGAGTCAATGACTCCAGTAACCATATAATTTATTATCCAAATTTAAATTGATTGATAACAAAAGCAAGTACTACAGACATAACCATAGACATAAACCTGGACTCATAGGCAAACTAGAAAATGTGATTGTCCTGTCTATAATTCACTTCAAATAATGTAGTTGCTTGTAGTAACAATACAAGATTAAGTGACACATTATTAGTCATATCAATCTGTGTTTGCCTTTTGCTTTCTTGTTTATGGCTTCCAATAGCCTTTGCTTTTCTTCTTCTATTCTCAATTCTTCTTCTTTGGCTCTTCTGAAATGAGAAGATCCAAAATTTTATTATCCTTGGAAATTTAGACATCTTACCTTATTATAGAATTAAACGCTTATAGTGGTAAAAATAAAAAGACTAAATTGTTTATAATATTCATTATACTTTTTATGTTACAATGTACAATTTTAAATTACTCATGTTGAGTTAATTTTCAGTTGTTGCGATTGTTGTTTTGGTAGGAAAAACTGGAATGTTATATTTTAAATAACTTTGGCTAGTAACTAGGAAACTTATCAAAAGTAATAAAGGACTACTTAACTGTAAGTTCAAAGGCAAATGGGAGGATTTGTAACATTTTTATCTGATTAAATGAAAAATTTTCACAATATAATGCTAAGTGGAAAAAAAGGAGAATATAAAACAATGTGTAGTACGATTTTAATTTTATATTTAAGATGTATATAAATGAGGACAAAAAGACCAGAAGAAAATAAACTGTTAACAATAACTATCTCTGGGTAGTAGCATTAGAGTTTAAAATTTTCTTTAATTTTTTTGCATTTAAAAATTTTCTGCACTGAATAACTAGAAGTAAGTTGTAAGTTTATCTTTTTCATCAGGAAAAAAAGCTAATTGTTTTCTTTTTTTAACACCATTTTTTGGTATGGGGTTTGAACCCAGGGCATGCCAGACAGGTGCTCTACCACTGAGCTAGATCTTCTGCCCCAGTAATGGTGAAATTTAGAAATCTGGAATATGGAAACTTAAATATCTGGAGGAAATCTATTTCATTAAGGTCAAAGCACTAATTCTGCCTTAACAATGGTAAAAATAGATAAAAGAAAAGTTAGTAAAATGGTGAAGAATTGCAATATTTATTAAAAATGAAAAATTTGTATACTTTTGACCTAGAAGTTCTATGACTAGGTATTTAAACATAGGCATGCTACTGCAGAAGGAAACATAAGCATGTTGATTGCATCTTTTAAAAATTGTATCAAAAAATGATACCAAGTATTCACCAACTGGGGACAAGTTAAGAAGAGTTCATTCCTATCAATAGCAAGGGCTGGAGCCACAGCTTCCCCAAGGCCTATCATTACTCTTTTATTTGGTTCTTCTTTGTGTTCATTTGTCCTTCCTTTGAAAATTAATTACATTTATTCTCTTCAGAAGATATTACTCCTCTTCTCCCAACAGGTCTGCTTTCTGTTGTGGATGATCTTCTTTCATTATATTCTAAATCCTGTGTTCCAGCCAGAAGTCTTGGTGTAATTTTGAATTCTCTGTTTGTGACCCAGGTCTGTGAGCTATAAAGCCCTCTTTCTGAACTCCTTTCCTATTGACTGTCCATGAAGGGGCAGTCATTTGTTCTACTTAGTTCAACAGGATTCTTTTTGAGATCTTCCTTATCTAAAGCCTGGTTAAACTACGTTGCTGCTAAGAATCTTAGGCCTTGCCAAAATGAGGAAGAATTTTGCTTGTTATTAAAAACTTCTATAAAACCATTTGTAAATACAATCAAAAGATAAACGATGATGACAGATATTATCTTGCAATTTGACTAGCAAATTTGGAAATAGATGCTGGAAAAATTGCAGAATTTAGCATGATTTTAGATATCTGACCCAAGATCTAATTCTTAATCCTATTAGATTTATCTTTTTTTAAAAAATTGTTCTTTTTTTGATGAGAGTAGAGATGGAGTTGGAGAAGATAATGCTAAGTGAAGTTAGAGAATCTCAAAAAGACGAATGCTGAATATTTTCTCTGATATAAGGTGACTGACTCGTAGTGGGGTAGGGAGGGGGAGCATGGGAGGAATAGACGAATTCTAGATAGGGCAGAGGAGAGGTGGCAGGGGGTTAGCAATGATGGTGGAATGTGATAGACATCATTATCCAAAGTACATGTATGAAGACACGAATTGGTGTCTTCAACCAGAGATATGAAATATTGTGCTCTATATATGTAATAAGAATTGTAATGCATTCTGCTGTCATGTATTTAAAAAATAAAATCAATTAAAAAAAAGTTATGTCAGATTCATTCTACTGTCTTTCCTATTCCCATTCCTTCTCTCTTCCCTTTAGATTTATCTTTTTTTCTAACCAATTTTAAAGCCATTAACTGAAGTCTCTAAGCATTTCCCCCCTTTTCAATGGTGTTAGTTTTCATTGTACAGTATGTGGAAAAAAGTCTGCTTTCAAATACTCATGATTAAATTTTAAAAATCAACATATAATCATATATATTAAACGCTGGTCTTGTGAATGCCCAGCATGCATTCACATAAAATACATATATATAATCAATAATGTGATTATGTGCATATAACACATCTGTATGATCAACATAATATATATATATATATATATATATATATATATATATATATATATATATACACACACACACACACACACACACACACACAACTAGGAAAGTCTGGGCAGGTATTTGACATTTAAGAAGTTTATAAATATGCGAAAATTTGGAATCAAAAGAATTAAAAATTGAAGATAGAAATAACTTAGAAAATTCCCTCTGGTAAGGAGAGAGTGAAAGCATAGTTGGAAGAAACAGGGGAAGGTATCTTTTTCTTTTTAAAAAAATTACATATATTTATTTTATATCTATTTTAAATTATCAGTCTTTCAGTCTAGAAATCACATGAGCTTTGGTTTACTCTTACATTAAGATTTCATCTGTTCCCAAATATTGAACTATTTCTCATATACTAAAAAAAAAACTAAGTGGTTCCTTAAATATTAGCAGATTATTGCTCCATTTGCCATAAAAGTTTTGAAAGCTAAAAGTAAATCTAATAAATTTGTAATTATTTTTTGAACTAGTAATACTTTTTAGTCAATATATAGAACAATGATTTTATTATTCATCAATTCAACTAAATTATACTTCATGGAGCTTGGGGTCAAGTTCCTAAGGGAATAACTAACTTAGATGAAGAATATACATTAAAAAAAAACGACAAAAAAATACCTCTTCTGAGCTACACAAGTCAGTTTACTACCCCTATACAATTACCCACCTCCCATCTTTATAATTTAAATTTAGAGTTTGATGAGCTCTCCTATATCCAAGATCTAATTGCTAATATCTGAAAAGGAAAAAGAAAATATTTGAGAATGTTCCTACAGGTGCCATCATTAATAAATAGAAATGTACGCTTAAATGTCTATGTCTTATTGCTTCAGGTACAAACTGAAATTTAGTATTTGAAGAGCATGTTTATCAAAGAAGAACAATTAACAAATTAAGTCACTGTTTCTTTTTAAATTTTATTCCTCAACCCGAGGAACTTCATATGTTGAAGTTTAATCTTGATCCTAGCTATGAACAGATAAATATGTATTCATACTTTTTAAAACTTCCATTATACCCAGATACAAGAATAAGCCCTCGGGGCTGGGGTTGTGACTCAGTGGTAGAGTGCTTGCCTGGCAAGTGTGAGGCATTGGGTTGGGTTCTCAGCAACACATAAAAATAAATAAATAAAAATAAAGGTTCACCACAGCTAAAAAAAAAAAAAAGACTTTAAAAAAAGAACAAGCCCTTGATGTTAAAACTGTCAAATGGTCAAATGTAAATAACTAGTTCTTGTTTTTCCTTATGTAGTTTTCAGGCTTTGGAATTTAGACACATCACACAAAGAATATATTTGTTTACTTCCTATCAAATTATTGCTTCAGTTTGTAGATACTTGTTAGCAAAACTAAGGCAGAGACAAATATCATAATATCTCTCTGTAGGGGGTGTGTGTGTGTGTATGTGTGTGTACACATATCTGTGCTCATTGTTTTAAAGCATCTTTTGAGAGTGGATAATTGATTATGTTTGCTATGGGCTGCGAAAGCGTTCACAACTGTGTTCTTTAGAAATTCTGAAAGTATTTGCAAAATCACTGTTTTTCTCAGAATTAATTAGAATCCGATCTAATTATGAGACTATCTTTTTGATATTAGAAATATTTCACAAGTGTAGATTGTAAGAAAATGCAGCTACAATGGATACATTGACCTGTTTCATCATTCTAGACAGATACTTTACCTTTCTGCTGCTTCTTCCTGCTTTTTCTTTTGTAGTTCATCTAATAATCTTTCTAAAATCTTAGCATTGATTTCAGATTTATGCCTTAGATATATTCTGTTAAGTAAACATTTTCCTGAAATATAAAGTGAATAATATTAATTTTGAAGCTGCATAGAGTAAAATACATTTTGGAAATTAACAACAAAAAGTTATTTCTGCCTATATCTAAATATATTTTCCTTTAAAGATTTATCTAAAGAGAACTTAGATTCTTTAAAAAAATTTTTTTGAACTTAGATTATAAAAGACTGTCTTAGTATGTTTTAAAAAGGTATATATTAATATGGTATAAATCATTAAAACATGAAAAAATTTATATTACATTTTTCCCCCTGGAAATTCTCCTTTCAAATATACCTATTTTCTTCAGAGGCAAAGTGACAGAATAATGAAAAATTAACATATTTATGTAGCTAATTGCCCTCGGTCTTACATATCATTCACTTAGAAGTTGTAGCTTCTGATTTAAAGGGGGTGTTAAATTGCTAGCTCTAAAGAACAGTTACAATTACGAGGGCCTGCTGGAATGTTCAGCAAGCCAGCACATCATCCCAGGGCATCTTCTTGGTGGATGGAAACTTTATTTTGTGCACCAGTAGTTCCTGAAGGGATTGCTGGGGCAGTATTTATACTTAAGAAGAATGGAAAGTTCTCCGTTCTGTATTTTAAACAAAACTATTATCAGCAATAAATTTCCACTTTCAAATTTACATGATAAATATTTACCAACCATTGTTTTCTGTATCTGATAAAAGGATTACCAAATCAGGTAAAATTCCTTTATCAATTAAGGCAATCCACAGTTCCTTTATAAGAGGGCAGTTGCCCAAGATCCATCCTCCATTTTGGGGGGCTCCAGAAAACCTATCTTTATTTTCTTCCATCACCTGTGAAAAATTGCACACTGATATTACCATCATAGTTTGACAAGTCGAGGATTCTACCTTGATAGATCATTTTGTGGATCTCAAACAAGTATGTTTTGAGTTCTGACTTTGAGAAGAAAAAAGAAAAGAATATATTAATTTTAAAAGAGAAACAATTTTAAAGCAATAAAATTGTAAGTTTTAAGAGTTAAGAATGGGAAGCAAAAGCCTTTATTAAATAAACAATAATACATTTTTGCTATATATTGTTCAATATCATAGAATACAAATCCTTATCAGAAGGCCTGGGTGGGCCTGAGTCTGCATTTCTAACATGCTCCTGGAGATGATGGTACATGCACCACTCTTTGAGTAGCAAGGTCCTAGACCAGCACCCTCTGCTTTACACCCTTCAATGTGAGAGGGGACATTTATGGAGATGGTTTCTGAAAGCAGTAGGAAGGAAATGGGTCAGAACAAATATTGTGGGTGCTTATTAGGGAGTTCTGCTAACTTCTTACCTCCCTGTTCCAGTAGCAATAGCTTCAACACAAATATGAAAATTAGTAACGTGTAACTGTGAATGCACAACTCTGAGAACTCTAAACCAGCTTGTGTGCCATCAGGTATCATGGAATATTAGAAATCAAAGGGGAAGAAATGTCAAGGGGCCATGAGCATCCAAAATAATTATTATTTTTTTTTTGAAATTTTATCTGAGTAAGCAGTGTTTTGAAAGAAAAAGAATTTCAAACACTTTGAAATGGTTAACATGAAAGGATTAGGAATCAAAAGGAAAAGCAACAAAGAAGAAACAAAAATGACTAATAAGATTTTACTGTCCAAGTTTAGAAGATACAAAATTAAAACACATTGAGATAGAACATAATTTTTCTGTTCTTTCAACTTTTTTTTGAAAAAAAAATGGCTTCATAGTATTTTAGTACATGAATAAATCTTACTTTGTTTAACCATTTCCTTACTATTAAATATTCATCACTTGTACTTTTATTGTAATACTGTGATGAATATCTTTATATATTAAATCTTTCATATTTTTATAACATTGTGATGAACATATTTATATAAAACCTTTAAATATTATGTATTGCTTCAGGTTAGCTTCCTAGGAAACATGATTTTAAGATCAAAAAGATTGCATATTGTAAAGACTTTTCATATGTACTGCCAAAAACATCTATATCAATTTTTACTCTTTCAAACAGAGTTTGAAGATAACTATAGCATAACCACTTCACAAGTATTGTTTTTAAAAAACACTGTCAATTTAATAGGTGAGAAAAGATATCTTATGGTTTTATTTTCATATTTTTATTGAAACAACCATTATAAATGTTTAACCATTTGCATTTCTTCTTTTAAAATGCTTATAGTCCTGGCTTGCGGTAATAGATTTTCCCATTGATTTATAAGAAATTAATTTTATATTTATTTTATCTTCCCCAGTTTCACTTTTGCCTTAAAATTTTGATTTTCATGGTATCGTTTTCTTTTTAGAACCCAGGGGTACTTAATCACTGAGCCATATCCCAGCTCTTTTTAATATTTTATTTAGAGGCAGGGTCTCTCTGAGTTGCTTAGGGCCTTGCTAAGTTGTTGAGGCTGGCTTTGATCCTCCTGCCTCAGCCTCCCAGAGCTGCTTGGGTTACAGGGTGAGTGCTTGCGCCACCGTGCCTGGCCATGATTTCCTTATAGAAAGATTATATATACCTTGATAGATCATTTTGTGGATCTCAAAATAATCTCCCCTTTTTGCATTGCTGAGGATCAAATCCAGGGTCTCTTGCATGCTAGATAAGTTCTCTATCACTGGGCTATGTCCCTAGCCTGAGACACTCATTATTAAGTAGCCTCTCTATTGAGATTTTCTCTAAAGACTTCTTCTATTGCAGTTGCCTAGAGTTCTTGGTAGATATTGGATCTGGAATGTACTCCAAAGGCCCATATGCTAAAGGTTTGGTCCCCCGCTTGGTGCTATTAAGAGGTGGTGGAAACTATAAGAGGTGGGGCCTAGTTGGAAGTCACTGGGAGCATGTCCTCCAAGGGGACTGTGGGATCCAGGTTCTGTCTTCTTTCTTCCTTTTGCTTCCTGGTCATAAGGTGAGCATATTTGCTCTGCTACACACTTACCCTTCTCTTCATGATTTCTTTCCTAACCACAGTACCCAAAGCAACCTGGGCCAACTGATCTTGGACTGAAGCCTCCCAAACTGTGAGTCCAAAACAAAACATTTCTCTTTATAAGTTATTCAAGGTATTTGTTACAGTGATAAAAATCTAACACAATATTTGACCTTTCTAAGATCATTTCAATGGTACTATACTTTCTTCTAGTTTAAAAAAAATGCCATTTTAACATTTAGCTATGGGGTTATTATTTTTATTTTCATATAAGTTGAGAATCTAAGTCCCCCCAACCAAAGCTAACTTTACCAACACTGAATTGACTGAATTTATCAATTCCTTCAGCACATGCTAATGTTTTATCTATACTGAGGTCTGTTCCTGAAGCTTCTCTGTGGTTCTGTTGATTCTTGTATGATGAGCAAATAGTATTAGGACATATTTTAGTAGCTAGTAGAGCAAGGGTCTCTTATACTTCTTTGCCAAACTGCTCTTATCTAATCTCAGCTATTGGTTCTTCCACAGGAACATTAGAGTTTGTTTAAAAAAATGTTTTTTGAGTTTTTTATTACAAATGTATCAAATGGTATGTATTAGAATTTTGAAGGCATTAAAATATTTTTAGTTCTTTACAAAAATGCATCAAATGTATAAATTGAGAAAGATTTTTTTTTAAAATAAGATTTTGTCTTTACATACAAGAAGTTGTTACGTCTCTAGGTGTTGACATCTGCTTATGTTCCCATTTAAAGTGTAATACTTTCATTCATGTGGCTCTCTCATCTTTATTTCAAGTTTATTATTAGCTATTTTACATTTATTTTCCTGTCTTGTGTGGAGTTTTAAAAATTCATTTGGCTACGTTATTTCTGAACATGCTTATTAGCTCTAATTGCTTTTAGATTTTCTTGGATATTTTTTGAATAAAAACAATCAACTGCAAAAATGATTATATTTCTCCTCTGTTCCAATAGTTATTTCTCTTATTTATTACAAGTTATTATAAGATTGTTATAAATTTCCATAGATCACTGAATTTAATGTGATCCTAAACTAGACCTTCTTTATCAGGTTAAAAAGGACATTCTGCTGTTCTTAATGTGATAAAATGATTTATTGTGATAATCATTTGTGTTATTCTTGCTGTATTTTTTCCATTGTCACTCTGGGAAGGAAGCCAACCTCTCTGAACTCCTTTTTGGGAGAAGTTTGTGTGGCAGGGCTAACTGCAGGAGTTGTCTTTCTGACCTTACTTTGTTCCAAATGATTCTGCTGCAGGTGGAAAATTATCACTTACCAAAAACCAGTGGAGCAAAAGAAGGGAAAGGAAAGATTATTGGCTTGTTCACTGATTTCAAGGAAAGAGGTGGTTGACAGGGGAGGTCCTGCTATCACTGAAGTAGCTCAAGCTATTCAAGTCCAGGAAAGTTCAAAATCGAGCCCAGGAAAGGTTTGGGGGATGGGGGATTTGGGTGCCTGAGGTGGGGTGGGGAAGCAAGTTTTGGATGTATCAGTAGTAAGAGCTTTAGTTCAGGAATGTATGCAAGGGAAATCCCCAGTTGGATAATTGTGAGAGAAGATGGAAACCTTCCTTAGGATTTCATATCCTAAAGAATTTTAGGATGTTTGGCTAAGAAGAGAGATGTGAGACTCCAAATCTGGAAACTCTGCTCCTGGGGGAAGGGAACTGGCAGGGACCATCCCCAGGTGAACTGTGTCCACCCAGCTATTATTACCTGAGAGTTGTGGAATTGGGTTCTTAAGATCTGATCAGTTAAAAATAAAGGGTACTTTCTTTAGACATCTTCAGGGGAGGGATGAGTAAGAGAAAATAATGTTTCCAAAATTAGAATAATATTGTAATATATTATTCATCTTTTTATCCTCTTGTGATTTTAATAATAAAAAGTTTATTTTTCTGCATTAATAAGTTATTTCTAGATTCCCTTTTCTTTGCTATTTTATGTTTATATTCTCTCACTTGTGAATAGATGGATGGCAGATGGACATGGAACAGACAGAGACTGAAGGAATCAGAAAAAGTAGGACATGACCCAGAGGAAGAGGGGGCATAGAAGGATATATTAACTGCACCAAGTTTAAATATAAGGCAGAAATGGGTCAGAATAGAGATATAGAGATGTTAGCAAGAGAGAACCATGTGGAGAGGGAAGCAAAGCAAAACATAATGTCTGACACAGAGAGGGATGGGATGATAAGTGAAGCAGGTTGTTGAAGGATCCACACCGCCAGATTTCAAGACTATTGTAGTTAAGATATAAGGCACTGGCAGAGATAGGCAAATAGACCAATGGAATAGAAAACAGAGTCCAGAACAGACCACAGTTGGAAAGTTACTTGGTTTATAATAGTGGGGAAAGCATGATCTTTTCAATAAACAGTACTAGAGCAACTGAATATCTCTATTGGGAAATGTGAACCTTGACCCTCATATTTTGATTTTCATTTGTATTTTTCTGATACAAATGAAAACCTTTCCATGTATTTGTTGATCATTTGGATTTTATGATACATAAAAACTAGTTAAAAATGGACATTAGTCTAAATATGAAAGACAAAGCAAAGTTTTCAGAAGAAAATTTAGGAAGCTATCTTCCTGACCTTGGGTGGGCAAAGATTTCTGCATCAGGCCATATAGGTGCTAACTGTGAAATAAAAAGTTAATAAATTGGGCTGCATTGAAATGAACTCCTATTATTCAAGATAGAAGACATTTGTAAAGATAATTATAAAATGTCCAACAAAGTTCTCATATCCAGAATGCATAAAGAAATATAAGTTAAAAAGAGACAAACAATCCAATAAAATAATAACAATACAATATGGACAAATGGCTTCCAAAAGGAGTAGGCCTTTGTGAAAGAGCATATCTCTTATTTTTAAAAATTAATTAATTAATTAATTTTTATCTCCAGCTTCTTGTGGAAAAAAAAATTCCAGCACATTGTCCCTAGTCTTTTCAGAAAAGACAATCTGATATAAACTTTTATATTAAAATCCCATATGATTTACACCCGCCATTACCAGAACTGCAGTTCATTACCCAAACACACTACATATAATTCTGTATTAAAAATGTTTTAGTAGTGCTTCCTGTAGATCTGTACCCTCCAGGATAAACTTAGAAGAGAATGAAGCACATTTTCAGTCAAGGGCAAAGACTTCCAGAGTTCCAAACTTGTCCCTCACTTATATGTCTCCTCTTCTGGGGTGTTTTGTCTCACCACTCAGGCAAAGATGGTGGCTCCCACCCTCATGGAATCTTTACACCTTGTATATATCTATTTGCCACTTAGCACAGTTACTAGTTTACGTATCAGCTCAGTCTTCCTACCTGGCTGAAAGCTTTTTAAAGGCAACGGCTGTGTGGAATTCATTTTCAGATCCCTGGTATCTAACATAATACTAGGTGCAGTGCTCATAATGTTTCTGAAGGGAAAAAAAACTGATGAAAGAACAATTTGAAGAGGCAGAAGATGTTAAAAGATCTGTATGGGAAGCTCAGAGGGAGTTGAGGAGCCAAGGAACCTAAGAGTCAGGAAGGCTGGTATAGCTGGGAGCTGGAGGAAACCCCTAATGCAAAGTGGTTCTATACGCTCATGTAGTAATTTTTCTTATTCCCACTGTAGAGAGCAGGCTGTGCCCTGCTTTAAGTTACTCCATGAAGAATAGAACAGTAGTTTTCACCCTGAGTTCCTCCATTATAAAGTTACTCCATTATAAAGCAGTAGTTTGCCATGAATTACTTCATCTTAAGTATCAGTGCTGAGGTGGAATGACGCTTCATCTTGTTTGTACAAGTAAACAACCACCATCTGTCTAGCACAACCGTAAGGCACAAACTGATAAATAAATTCATCTTGCTAATAAAAATGGTGAACTGTGAACTTATGGAATTAATCAGAAGTACACGATGCATGGGCATATCAAATTCATATCAGAAAAAACTGGCCATGAGCTTACCAAGCACACCAGACCACCAAATAAAGAAAGCCCCTTACTCAAGGCTCATAATAGGAGGAGCACCCCATAACTGGACAGTGTGGAAAGACACAGATATTTTTGGTCTATGTTAATGACATAGCTCACTCATGACACCACCTAATAATTTAAGTTTAATCACAGAGGAATTCAGAAGTACATTAAGAGCCCTAAAACTGCTTTATTGTGTCTTTGACTATTGCTCCAAATGCTTATGCAAGATCTCAGTCCAAAATCAGACCTTTACAAATATCCTGTCCTTTATAAATGAAAGGTAAGTTTTCTGATTTACCATTAATATGACACAGAATTTGAGGCTTTCTTCCCACCTCTGTCAGTTGGACTGAAAAATTACATGCATGTCAACCAATCTTCTCCACGAACACATGTTCAGGGTGACTGGATAAAATTAGTTAGCCCTGGAGCAAACTTTGTCTAAATCTATGACTAGTTAACTCATAGATGAAATATCTAATCTTGGCACTGGTTTCATATGCACCATCTTTTAGCCAACTGAACTGAATCAAGGACAATCGAAGTTAATGAATTAATTTTGAAGCTATAAAATTAGGTCACACTTTTTTTTAATAATTGAAAATTTACCAAAGAGCATCAGTACTACTTTATACATAACAATGTTGACTACAAAATGTTCATGAGTCTACGCCTTTAAATACTGTCAAGACTAAAACACACTAGAGGGACATTTTCCTAGTTATAGTTAAGTCAATGATAAAAATTAACAGATTGAATTATTACTTCTTTGAGGATTTCCTCCAAGATTTCAGCATGCTTTTCATAGGGATTTTCAAAGTTCATATCCGATGTTGCTTTTAGACTCTCTTCAAGCATGGAAATAACTGCTGGATGATCTGCAGTTACCTCTTCAATTGAATCTTCTATTGTGAATGAAGTAAAATAAGTTAATAAATTAAAGTCATTAGTACTTTTAGTGAACAATGAAACATGGTTGTTAATACTTGATCCAAGAATTTACTATTTTTATATAATTGCACATGCTGGAAGAAGGGAGAAGTATAAGGAGAAGAGATATTAAGTGAATAGGTAAGGGGACAGAAAGCAAGCAAGTTGTAGGGAATTGGGAAAAGAGGGGCGCAGGCTTGCTTTTCAAGTGTTATACTTGATTCTTGGTCTTGTTTGTTGTGGAAGTGCCTCTCTACACTTAGGCTGCACCCATTTAAATGTTCATCTATTCCTGCAGTGAGACAGGACTATGACAGCTCCACCTGACTCCCCTACCTCTGCCTTTCCAGTCATGTTCTTTAGCTGCTGTCCCAGGGATCTAGCCACTGGGACTCTGTCCAGAGCCCAGTTGATATTAGCCCAGAAAACCCCCAAAAGGGCCTTCAAAGAGCAGCTGCCTGTTGTTCTCCTTGCATTGAAGTGTCCTCAGGGAGGGCAAGAGTAGAAGAGTAGAAGAACCCATCATCTTCCTACAGTCATGAGAGAGGGGAGCATAGTGAGTCAAAAACATCTAGGCAAAGATGCTAAATGTAAAGCTGTTAGTTGTTCACTCAATATCCATTCTTCTATTCTTTAGTAATGTAACCCTGATTCTGTGAAGGCCAACAGTATGCCTAGATGAGAAACTACATCTCCCAACTTTCCTTATAGCTTGGATGGTCAAAAAGTTGAAAGCACTACACACACACACACACACACACACACACACACACATATATATATATATATATATATATATATATATTTTTTTTTTTTTTTGCAAATTTCCTATCAACTTTTTAAGAGGGTTAATTCAGATGGTTTGTAAAGTGCCAGATTTTGTCCTTTGCTTTTAACCTGCTTCAGCAGCCATCCTGTGAACTAGTATGACAGCTACATGTCAGAAGAGTATCTTCTCAATACTCTTTTCACCAAGAGCACCTATCATATGCTATTTTACCATGTTTCTGTATGTGCAACTGTTCATAATACATGGAGTAAGTTGGGTAATATTGGTTTTTTTTCCCAAAAATCACACATTTCTCCCAAATTCTGAAGGAGGTATTTGTATTTTTAAGGACCACAATCTAAGAGAACCAAATTACCCACATATTACTTACCTGAGTCTAAATTCAAATTTTGATTTTTAATAGGATCTTGAGAATGCCTTTGCTCTGAAGATGTTCCATTGATTTCTTTCTCATCTGTGAATAAAACATTGTTAACAACAAAAGAACAGTATTAAATGAAAAAACATAGGTGGATTCCCAAGGAGGGCTTGTGATATGGGTCCAGGAACCCAAGATTTGCAGTCCTGAATTTTAATTTTTAATTCAAATGGGTAAACATATATGCCAGGAGGGCAAATAAAGATAATAACCTAACCTGCAGCAAAACTAGTAGTCATTTTAGTTTCATATAATGCCACTGTATCAAAATTGGAAAAAAAAAAGTGCCCTTTCTGAGATGACTAACGATCTCTTAACTCCAAGAGGCTGTGCTTAATTCAGAGACATGAGGCAAAAAAAAAAAAAAATGGGGGAGCCTTTGTATTAATGTACACTGGCAGGACTAGTGTCCATGCCTCACTGGTCAGGCCCTGATCCCTCCTTCTAGCCTAGAATACCTCCCTAAGAGAGGGAACAGGCTGTCCAGGGGAAGGCTCTCTTTGTTGACTAGTGCTGGGGCTTCATAGCAGTAGAGATGGGGCTCCCAGCTGCCACTTGAGAACCAACATTTGAATGTATGGGGCTGCCTTCTGTGAAGGCTGTGTGTATGTGTCAGAGAGTTGGGGTGCCATACACAAGCTTCTGACACTGCCCAGTTTAATTCCTAATAGGATTGAAATAAACAGCAGGAAAATACATCTCTCTGAATAGTAGGAGGAACTAAACCAACAAGCAAAAACAGCTCTACATTCTAAAACAAAACAAATTATAGATGCACTTAAAGACCAACTACAAAAAAGTTGGACCAGTACAAAACCACAAAAAAACACCAGAATATAAGAAGACACACACACACACACACAAACACCCACCCACACACACCCATTGTCTCTGGTTGAGAGGAAGACAGTTTATGTCTAAAAGTAAAGAAAGAAATCAACAATGGAAAAACAATGAATTGATTGCAAAAACTATGAAAAATACCTCTATGTACTTCAAAAACAGCAATGTGATTTAGAAGATAAACTTAAAAAATTGGAAAAAATATAAAAAATAAGAGACTAATATAGAAAGTTTATACAGAGACCATATGATTGATTCAATAATTTAGAAAAAAAGATCAAAAAACAAAAATGGTCACCTCAGAAAAGAAACAAATGGTAAACAAATATCAAAATAGTAAACTTCAGAAGTAAAAATTAAAATAACATTTCAGAGAAAATCTTTAGTAGGAATCAGTAAGAGGAGCCAATGATACATATTTTGTATATTACTGAGAACATAACTTGTAACAACTTTTATGTAAAAAAGACTTTGACTCTGTGTATAGCTCTAAATTCATTTAGTTAGTGATTCCACTTATATTAACATGCAGATAAATCTTTATATTAAAAAAGTTGTTGAAACATAATTTATAGTAGCACAAAAAAAGAAAAGTAACTTAAATTTCCAACATAAAGAATTGATTAAAACTACTACCTATTCATATTGTGCAGTAATTTTAAGTGAAGGTTAAAGTATTTTCCAATGAAATAATATAATTAAATTATACACCTTAAGTCAAAAAAGGCAAAAGCAGTTTGTAATATATAGTTATAATATAATTACATATAGTTATAATTATAATATTATAAATTATAAAATTATAGTTATATTATAATCATATAATGTTATGTAACATAATGCTATATGTTCTCTGTTAAAATATGAACAGAAACATTGTATAAGGGCAAATAGCACAATAGATAAAGGTAAAATTTTACAGCCCAAATTATGTGTTTCTTCTGCTCTGATTCCAATGCATTAAAGGAAGTATAGAGCTTTTAAGAAAAATTTATAATTATACAATAATGATTATATAATGGTTGGAAATATTAAACATTTTTCTTTGGTCTCTACTTATATTATCTTCCCATTTTCTATGTTTTCCTGTTCATTCTAGTCAATCTATTTTTCATCCGATAGCTGTTCAGTTTAACTGCAACAGAGATGCTAACTTTTTTTCCTTTTGAAGTTTTCAATTTTTGTGGTGATTTTAAGCTTTGATATTAAGTATGCATGCTCAAAGATAATTGGAAGGGCTGGGATTGAGCTCAGTGGTAGAGCGCTTGCCTAGCATACATGAGGCTCTGGGTTTGATTCTCAGCACCACATACAAATAAATAAAATAAAGGTCCACCAACAACTAAAAAAATAAGATACATGGAAGTAAGATCAATAAACATGGTATTAGCAGTTTACTTTATTACCATCTTTATCAATATAAGAAAATAAATTACCAAGGGTATTGTCTGACTTTCTTTTGACTTCTTCAGTGTCCTCTAAAGAAGTGCTTGTTTGAGATTCTTGACGGTGTGCTACAGTAAAAGGATAAGATATTTTATCAGCTAATCTACTTCCATTGGGAAAGATGTAGTCAGTAACAGTGGCAACACATTTCTTTACCTTCTTCATTAACTGCATCTCCATCCTCCTTTTTTTCCAATTCTTTTTCGAATTCTCTTAATTTTTTCTCAGCTGAAAGAGTTAATTGGCCTGTGTTAGAAAAAGGTAGCTGTAGGTAGGAAGGCTAGTATACTGACTGACAGCCTCTGCTTTCAAGTCAGGCAGACTTGGGGTTGAGTTCTGACCGTCACATAAGAGCTGTGGGCTTTGGTAAGTCACTCCATCGCTTTGTCTCAAATTCTAGTAGGTAAAATGAGGATCAATCAACTCTAAGCATTGCTGTGAGCATGGCTAGCACACAGGAAGTCTGCTCCACCTTTGCTTCTATCCTCTGAATTATATATTTTTTATGTTCAAAAAACCTCAATATTCTCTCCATTGACAATTTTTCTTAAAAAAATAGATTGGGGAAAAACTGAACAGCAAAAAATTTTCAATGTTTGAAATTTTAAGAATGAAATTTCCTCAAGATTCAGGAACATGGCAGAAACGAGGTAGGCAGTGAGTCCTGATATCACAACACGGAAAGGAGGCCAACTTGAGAGGTGGGTGACAAAACAGATGCTCTAAGACTCAATACTACATACTCTGAGATCTGAAGAGACTAGAAGACAGGTTACCAGAGGAGAAAACAAAACTCAGAGTGCCTTAACTGCTCCTGCGGAGCCGGTGGGGAGGGGCATCAGAGAGAGAAAGATGGTGGTGGTGGAGGACGAGGACAGTTTCTTAAGCTAATCCACTTAAAAACTGTTGCAAAGACAGCAAAATTTAAAACTCAGAAGGCTCCTTAAAACAGCACAAAATGCTTAAAACCAAACTGTGAAAAGAAAACTGAGCCAGGAGTCTACAGCTGTCTTGTGGAGCCCATAGCAGACCAGTCACCCTCGTAAATTGCACTGGGATTCCACTGCCCAGATAGCTGCAAATGTAACCAGAGGGAAGACCCCTGCAGTGGGCCCTCTTAAGAATCTGGCCAGAAAGAACTTCTAGAAGAATGATTACTAGCTGTAGATCTCTAAAGCCCCCTCTCTTCCCCCTCCCCTGAACAAGGGGATTGGAGTGGGCTGGAAGGGACCTGGACTGGGGAGGTGCAGCAAGCCCCACTCAGTTGCTGCAACCCAGACAAGGGCAAAAAGCTCTGAGCAGGTTCCCTCTACTCAGACAGAGGCTGCGATGAAGCAGCTTTGGCCCCAAACAAGGGAAAGTTGATTCACCAGCCCCACTTCCCACCACTGGCACTTGACGGGAGGCACTGTGGGAAGACTTGGGATAGTTTCTAGGATCACAGCCCCACACCAGAGGGAAAGCTGCCTGAATACCCAGTAACATGCAGACCCAGAGGAAATTACCAGAGGCTATGCAGCTCAAAGGGGAGGATATCAGCCTAAATAGGTGCACAGCCTGAACCATGATTGCAACTGGCAAGTGACAGGGCATTGTTTGGTTACTTGTGGTCCCTTGTGTCAGATTTACTAAGCAGAGGGAATCAATGCCCATCCTTCACAACCTGGGGTGGCAGAAACTAGAATCCAGGTGAATGAACCACTAGAGACCCTCTACTACAACATCTCCGAGACCAGAGGCATCAGGGGGAATATTCCTGCACCACAGAACACCTGTGGAAAACCCACAACCAGTGTTCCTGCACACACAGACAGCAAGCAGGATCTTCACTACTGCTAAAAGAATCTAGCAGAAGGGAAGAGGTATACTGATGACCAGCAAACACAGGTACTTTAGAGACTATCCTGAACTTCTGCAACATTAGAATCTGTCAGCTCACAATACTGCACCCTCTGAGACTATAAACAACTCTCATGTTAACCTTGATCACATAAGTAATTCCTTCATTTAAATAATTACTAACCCAATAGCTGTCAGTTGTACCTCAAACCCATTTGAATGTATTTCATCAAATGGTTTAAAGCATTAATTGGAATCAATCTTCCTATCTTTGTTTTCCTAACTGCAGTCTGTCTATACCTGCTTCTCTAACCACTTACTCATCCTCTTTCAATATCTACTACTACCTCAAATAACACACATTAATCTATTACACTAATCTACATTGGTGTAAATTACCCTTTTATAGCCCCCCTTCTTCCTCTCTCTCTCTCCTTCTTTCACCCTCTCCCATTTGCCCAAACTTTTTTCCTACCTCCTTTTAGCACTCACTTAAGTTTATATTAACTTACTAAATTTAACTACCATTTTTTACTGTTCCAGAATTTATTATAGGTTTATACCCAAATTTGAGGAACCACAGAGAACAATTGAATAAGTTTTTTTTCTTACAAGGTTGAATAGTATGAGGCTTGGCTCAGAAGTGATTACTGTAAATAGGGCTCAGTGGTATCTCTCTCTCTTTTTTAATTTGTTCTTTTTAGTTATACATGACAGTAGAGTATATTTTAACATACATATACAAACATGGAGTATATCTTACTTGAATTAGGATCTGTCTTGTAGGAGATTCACTGTGGTGTATTCATATATGTACAAAGGGGAGTTATGTCAGATTCATTCCACTGTCTTTCCTATTCCTATCCTCCTCCATTCCCTTATTTCTCCTTTATCTAGTCCACTGTGCCTCTTTAGTGATATCTCTTAAAATGGAGCTGATATTGGGATCAGCAGAGGCATACATTGAATTAAAATATCATTATCTAGATATTAACCCAACCCAGGACTCTTAAGAAAAAGAAGCTCACATAGTTGTCCTTCACTTAAAAGAAGTCAGAACTATACTGATAGATCAGTAGACAATATAAAAAAGCAAGGGAACAAACCAGCCCATAATGTTTGACAACAGACTTCAATGACACCACAGTTGAGGAAACGTTAGAGAAGTAATTTAGAAATTCATAGTTAAACTGTTCTATGAGCTAAAACACTAAGTAAGAAGTGAAATAAAGGAGAAAATAAGGAAATTAAAGATCACTTCAATAAAGAGAGAGTATGGAAAAGAATTAAGCAGAAATACTCAAAATGAAGGAATCAATAAATCAAATTAAATATTCAATGGAAAGCATCACCAATAGATTAGACCACTTTGAGGACAGACATTCAGGTCTCAAAGACAAAGTATATAATTCTGAAAATAAAGTCAACCCTAGAGTAAAGATATTAAGAGACCATGAACAGAATATTTAATGTTACTGGATAACATTAAAAGGCCAAATTTAAGATTTATTGGGATAGATGAAGACTCTGAAACACAAACTAAAGGAATGCACAATCTTTTCAATGAAGTAATATCAGAAAATTTTCCAAACCTTAAGATTGAAATGTGAATGTGCTGTCTGCAAGAGACTCATCTCACAGGCAAAGACATCCACAGACAGAAAGCAAAAGGATGGGGAAAATATACCACTCAAATGGATCTTGTAAACAAGCAGGGGTTACCATTCTTGTATCAGATAAAGTAAAATTCAAGCCAAAATTAATCAGAAGAGATTAATACTGCTTAAGGGAATCATATATCAACAAGATATAACAATCGTAAATATTTATGTCCCAAATAATGGAGCATCTATGTACATCAAACACACCTTTCTCAATATTAAGAATCAAATAGACCATAATACAATAATACTGGGTGACTTTAACACACCTCTCTCATTACTATATCCATCTTCCAAACAAAAACTAACCAAAGATTCTATAGAACTGAAAAATACAATTAATAACTTGGACAAGCAGACATCTTTAGAATATTTCATCCATCAATAACTGAATTCACTTTCTTCTCAGCAGCACATGGAACATTTTCTAGAATAGATCATATTTAGGGTCACAAAGCAAATCTTACCAAATATAAAAAAATACAGATAATATGTTACATTCTATCAGATTATAATGGAATGAAATTAAAAATCAATGATAAGATAAAAAATAGAAATCACTCTAACACCTGGAGATTAAATAATACACTCCTAAACAATGAATAGATATCAGAAGAAATCAGTGGAGAATAAAAAATTCCTTAAAGGTAAATGAAAACAGTGATACAACATATCAAAATCTTTGGGACAGTATGAAGGCAATTCTAAGAAGAAAGTTCATATGGGGCTGGGGATGTGGCTCAAGCGGTAGCACGCTCGCCTGGTATGCGTGCGGCCGGGTTCGATCCTCAGCACCACATACAAACAAAGATGTTGTGTCCACCGAAAACTAAAAAAAAAAAAAAAAGAAAAGAAAGTTCATAGCACTGAGCTCATATACTTAAAAGAATAGAAAGATACTAAATAAATAACCTAATATTACACCTCAAGGCCCTAGAAAAAGAAGAAAAAAAAAACCAAAATCAGTAAGAAATCATTAAAATCAGAGATAAAAATCAATAAAATTGAGATTAAAAAATACAAAAGATCAATGAAACAAAGATTTGGTTTTTTGAAAGGATAAATAAAATTGATAAATCTTTTGCTAAACTAACTAAATTTGAAAGGATAAATAAAATTGATAAATCTTTTGCTAAAAACTTATCTTTTGCTAAAGAAAGAGAGAAAAGCCTCAGATTATCAAATTCAAAGATAGAAAAGGAAAGATCACCCACAGACACTACTGAAATACAAAGGATCATCAGAAACTATTTTGAAAATTTATACTCCGATAAAATAGAAAATCTTGAAGACATGGAAAAATTCCTACAGACATATGACATACCCAAATTGAACCAGGAAGGAAAGAAAACTTAAAACAGATTAATTTCTATAATGAAATTGAAGCAGCCAAGAAAAACTTTCCAACAAAGAAAAGCCCAGAACTGGATGGATTCTCAGCTAAATTCTACCAGACCTTTAAAGAAGAACTAATACCAATCCTCCTCAAATTATTCCATGAAATAGAACAGGAGGAACTCAGAAAAACTCATTCTATAAAGCTAGTATCACTCCAATACCAAAACCAGATAAAGACACATCAAGGAAAAAAAACTTTAGACCAATATCTTTGATGAACATAGATACAAAAAAATTCTTAATAAATTATTGGCAAACTACACACAAAAACACATAAAAAATAGTGTTCCATGATTGAGTAGGATTCATCTCAGGGATTCAAGGTTGGTTCAACATATGGAATCAATAAATGTAATCCACCACATAAATAAACTTATAGATAAGAATCACATGATTATTTCGATAGTTGCAGAAAGAGTATTTGACAAAGTGCAGCATTCATTCATGTTTAAAATACTATAAAAACTAGAGGAACTAACCTCAACATTGTAAAGGCTATATGAGACAAACCCAAGGCCAACATTATTCTGAATGGAGAAAAACTGAAAGCATTTCTTCTAAAAACAGGAATAAGACAAGGATGCCCACTTTCACCATTCCTATTCAACATGGCCATTGAAACTCTGACCAGAACAATTAGTTAAGAGAAGGAATTAAATGGATAGACTAGGAAAAAAGGAGTTGAAATTATCTCTGTTTGTCAATGACATGATCCTATATTTAGAAGACCCCAAAACTCCACCAGAAGACTTCTAGAGCTCATAAAGGAATTCAACAAAATCACTGGATACAAGATCAATACCCATAAATCAATTTGGTTCCTATACTCCAAGGATAAATCTGCTAAAAAAGAAATTAGGAAAACTATCCTATTCAAAATAGTCTCAAACAAAAGAATACTTGGAAATCAACCTAACAAAATAGGTGAAGGACCTCTACAATGAAAACTACAGAACACTAAAGAAAGAAATTGAAGAAGACCTTAAAAGATGGAAAGACCTCCCATGTTCTTGGGTAGGCAGAAACACTCAAAAGGGCCATATTACCAAAGTGATTCAGATTCAATGACCTTCTTCATAGAAACAGAAAAAGCAGTCATGAAATTCATTTGGAAAAATAAGAGGCCTGGAATAGCCAAAGCAATTCGTGGTGAGAGAAGTGAAACAGGAGGCATCACAATACCTGACTTCAAATTATACTACAGAGCTATGGTACTGGAACCCAAACAGGCATGATTAGTCAGGAGAAAAAGCAGGAAACTTTGGAAATGAGAGTTCAAGTCTTAGCTGGTACTGCGGTGGTTTCAAGGAGCCATTTATCTTCTATGAACCTCAATTTCTCATCTGTAAAATTAGAGAATTTATTAACTGATCTCCAAGGTTTCTTCCAGTTTCACAGCATTATGACTTTTTGAATTTGAAATTAATATTTCCCAAACAGAAAGACTTAAGTATAATCAGGGCTGACATATAAACATAAAACAACAAATTACACTGGAGTCAGGTGTGTCTTGCTATTGTTTTAATTGCCAATATAGATAAAGGTGTGAATACTACTCAAACTGTCTCTACCCAGTGAGTAGATACATAAAAGTAAAGACATTCAAATTTGGAAACTCCTTCTGATTCCTTTCCTTGGAGGTCTATAATTGAATTTTCTTTATTTACTTATGAGTTGGTTTATGTTTACTCATTCCTACCACCATTTTTAAGAAACCATAATGTGCAAGGGGCTGATAGCAAGATGAGCAAAAAAACAGTCCTTGCGCTAAAGTAGCCAGACTTAATAGCTGACCAAAACTTAAAATGCACATTTAAATAAGATGGTTCACCTTGTCTTTTAGCTTGTAGTTCTGCAAGAAGATTTTCTTTCACCACTTTGATAGCTGCTTCAGTGGCCTCGGCTATAGAATTTTCTATTAATGATTCACGGGCTGCATCAAAAATTGGCTGAACGACTGTGGTATAGTCAATGACCTGCAAAGAATATTCAAGAAAATCCACATAAACACAAGGTACTCAATCAAAGATTAGTGAATAAAGGAAAGAAAGGAAGATCAGTAGAGTAGAGGAAGGAGAAAGAGGGAGGGAAGAGGGAGGGAAAAGTGGGGGAACAAGGTGTGGGAGTTCTGTGTTTGGGATTGGGGTTCTACAAACTTTGGGACTGTGACATGGTTGGTGACTAGGAAGTTTCTGTGCAAAGCCCAGCTGCTAGTATATACCTGGCTACTGGGAAATTCCTGGGCAAAAGCACAGGATGCCGGGCTGCCATAGCAATGTCCTTCACAAATTTACCCTGCTTCCCACACCTGGGATGCCCAGCCGTCTCCCTCTGAGGGAATAAGATAACTAGGCAAGCACTATCTGGTCTCCATGGTAATGCCCCTGGAGGATAGGGACCCCATGTTTATTCTAACCTGCACCTTATCTCAGTTAGCTAGCACTCAGGGTTAAAGAAATACTAATTAGAATATAGTCATGGTAACGGGAGGTGTGTGTTCTTGGAGTTAATAAACTCCCAGGCAGGGAGGAGCGGACACTTCACTTCTGCACCTCTTCTTCACCACTTCACTTCACTCTCTCTGCTCCATCCTGTCTGCCCGTTTGTACCCTGTGTCTGTGTCTGTTCTTTTGTGTGTCTCCTCACAGGTTTTCTCTACAGGTGTCCCTTTATAACAAGGAATGAAATATAATTCCATGTATGTACGATTTTGTCAAAATGAACCCAATCAGTATGTAAAACTATAATGCTCTAATTAAAAAACTCAAGGTACTGAGAATACAAAACGTTGTTCATCTATTTATCTGTATCATCTATCTATCTATGCCTATCTTCTAAAAATATTAATACCATTTCAGGTATTTCTGTAATTGTGTTCAGAATTCACTGACTTTGAGTACTTGCTTTAATAGACATTCATTCATATTTTTCATGCATGGACTTCATGTATTTATTCATATATACATGCATCATATGTATGGATATACATGATACACATATATATTATATATATATATATATATATATATATATATATATATATATATTTGGAAATATATATATTTGGTTACATATATATTTTTTCCTTAATCAACAAAAATTTAAATGTATTAAATTAACTTTGTATGTATAACTTACATACAATAAAAGGTACCAGTTTTTACAAATAAATACATACAACAACCACCAAAATCAAGATATAGAACTTCAATATCACCCAAAAATGTTCCCTTTATGTCCCTGTGTAGTTAATACCTTCCCCTCCTCTTCTCCCTTTCCCAGCTTTCATTCCAGGCTCTTGGCAATCACTTTCTGCTTCTGTCACTACAAATTAATTTTACTTTTTCTAAAATTTTAAGTAAATGGAATAATACAGCATATAACCTTTTTCATACTTTCTCCCCTTAATAAATTGGTTAGAATGGTTTTGATGAGTGTGATTGCAGGGGTCCCTTTTTATTGCTGAGCAGTGTTCCATTGTATGAATGTACCACAGATTTCTTTTTAATCCACTCATATATTGATGGGCCTTTGAGCTGTGTCCAGGATTTGACTATCATGAAGGAAGGTATGGTCATCATTTGTATAGAAATCTTTTGTAGACATGTGTTTCCAGGTCTCTTAGGTAAACACTTTAGAATGGAATTATATTTGACTTTATAATTAACCATCAGAGTGGGTAAATTATTTTACATCTCTACCAGCAATGTATGAAAGTTTCAGTGTCTCCATATCCTCACCAACACTTGGCTTTGTGAATTTTAAAATTTTAATAATTTTAGTGGATGTGAAGAAGTATCTCATTATAGTTTAAATTTATATTTCCTTTATCACTAATAATTTCAAACTTATTGAAATTATTAGCTGTTCACTTTTATTTTTAAAAAATATTTTTAGTTATTGATATAATACCCTCATTTTATTTATTCATTTTTAGGTGGTGCTGAGGATTGAACCCAGGGCCTCACATGTACTAGGCAAGTGCTCTACCACTGAGCTACAACCCCAGCCTCTCACTTTTCTTTCTGGGCACATGTTCAACTTTTGTTTATTTAAAAGATTGACTCATGATTCTTTATATATTCCGAGTATATATCTTTTGTCAGGTAGATAATAAACTTAATACTGTATATTGGAATCTTTGAAATAGATTTCTATATTTCTTTTAAGTTGAATGACTATTTCCAGATTCCTAGACTCCATTCTTCTCTTCCATGTACTTATATTGTCTTAATTCATGCCAACAAGTCCACATCGACATCATCATTTTTAAATGGGTACACAGACTTTTATTAGATGAATTAGATATTAAACTTGTTTAAACTAAAATACTGATAATACATATTTAGGTATACATGTTTTAAATATATATTTAGACATAAGTTAAGCTATGATGAATACAATTATGTACAATATTCTTGATATTATAGTTTCTTTAGAAAAATGCATCAAGTTCAATAATTCAAAGGACATGCATGGATTTTAGGCTTGTATATGTTAGTTTCAATTGCTATTCCAAATGGTGATACTATTTTCAGCAACATAAGAGGATGTACTTTCCCCTCTCCTATCTACATGTCAGTATTGGGTGTTAACAGTAATCTTTTACATCTAACAATGAGATTGACATGACATATCTCTAGTTTTTTGGTATCTCTCTGTTTTTCAGGGAGGTGATTTTTTTTTCTATGTTGCAAATCAAAGCCTCTTAAATGGCAGGCAAGCATTCACTGAGCTATGTCCCAGTCCCCTTTTTCTAATGTTTAATGGTTATTTATATCTACTATTTTGCGAATTGCCTGTTTGTTATTTTTTCCCCCTGGGGCTTTGTGCAGAATGGTGATTTGACTCGTGGTCTCTCTGACTGTCTTGTGGCTACATTGTGCTGGGAACTTCCTGTGCAAATGTAAAGGTCAAGATAGCCCAGTTGCTATGGTGACACCCTGCCTGAGGAGGCTCTGTGCAAAGATGCAGAGTTGTATCAGTCAGGACCTTGAGCTCAGGCACCAGCTCCTGGGGATAAAGAATTCTGAGCATAACAAGATAACCCTAATGTCTTGCCAGTCCTGTCTTTCAGATTGCCTGATTTGCTGAAACTTTCCACAAACAACCTTTGATGAAACCTATACAATAAACATGCTGAGCTAGCTTGGGGTCATTATGCCTGTATCAGAGAAAAACATCCCACCTGGCCCCAGCTTTTTCTTTCTATGTGTGTCCATCTGTCTTTTCTCAATCCCCCATCACCCCTCACTAATGTGTCTTCTGAATTAATGCCCTTGGCTGAGAGATGGGGCTGTGGCATGGCTTTATATACATAGTGATTTTTCTCTTTATATTTTAAAATGATAATTCATCTGTCTGACCCATATTGTGCTGGGCTTACAATTTGCCTATACATCTTTTGATATGTCTCCCTTTACAAAGTGAAGCCTACTTCTCTTCTTTAATGTAGGTAGGACTTAGTGTTTTGTTTTAAAAGAATAAAGAACCAATATAAAAAAAAGGATAGAGTGTGGCACAAATGACAGTGGGTGATTTTTGAGAGTAAATCATGAGAGACATCGCAGCTCCCTCCTTGGTTCACTCTCTCTGAGGGAAGCTAGTAGCCATGTGACTGGGACACAAAAGCAGACCTATGAAGAGCTCATTCGTGTGACAGAGCCATCTTCCAGTCCCAGCCAAGCCTTCAGAGGTCTTTGGCTGAGTCAATATCTTGACTGCAATCTCATGAAAAAATCAGGACAGAGTCACCCATCTAAGTCATTCCTAAATTCCTGACCTGGTGAAACTATGCAAGATAAGAAATGTGTATTGTTACTTCAAATCTGCTAAGTTTGGGGTGGTATTTTTTTAAGGGGATAGGTCACACTAGTTTTGAACTCCTGGCCTCATCTGATCCTCCTGCCATGGCCTCCCAAGTAGCTGGGATTAAAGGCATGTGTCACTGTACCTGGCTCAGTTGGGGTAATTTTTAATGCAGTAATAGATAACTAATACACACATATATAACAAATATATAAAAAATTCCCTCCTTGTGCTGTCAAAAGTTTAAACTTTTCTTTTAATTATTTTTTTGGACTTCAGTTTTTTTTCTTTCCGTTTTTACACTTTAATCATCTGGTTATAACTTCTTTTTTTTCAAACAATGAACAAATTAGAAGTCTAAGATACACATGCGTACACAAATTTCTTTTCCCAAATTCCCTCAAAAGAGATAGATAATACTTTTAGAAAAGTATGCATTGTTTATGTTATTAAGCTTATATAACAATTATTAACAGCTGAAGTATATAGACTGTTTTTCATTAAATTTCTATTCTAGTGGGTTGCTTCAGTTTGCTTGGTTTTCTATGTATATATCAATAATGAATTCCCAAACTCTTCCTTAGCAGTATAAATCTCCTCTTGATACACTTGAACACATTCAGTAGCATCTTCTTCCTGCAGTTCTCTCTTTTGGAGACTTCTGATCTCCTGCCCTATTCTGGACTGGTTATTTTCCAGGCTTACAGAACAACTGTCATCATGAACTGTCCCTCCCCACCATCTTGGTATTTCCTTTCCCTCTCTCCTGTCATAAATACCCTTTTTCTTCTTGGCTTAAGCTCTCATTTTGATGGAGCATATCCTCTAATGGCTTCCCGAGAAAGACAACTTGGGAGGTTTTGTGGTTCAGATATGAAATGTCCTCCGAAGTCTCATGTGTTGAAGGCTTAGTTCCCAATGCAGCAATGTTCAAAGATGGGACTTTTAGAAAATGATTGGATCATAGGAACTCTAATTTATCAGTAAATTAATCCATTTGATGGATTAATAATTTAAATGGACTACTGGGAGGTGGTACAAAACATGGGTTTGGCGAAAGAAGGTTCCTGGGGTTGTACCCTGGGGAACTCTATCTTCTTCCTGCTTACCCTGCCTCTACTTCCTGGCTGCTTTGAACTTTGCTCTGCCATGACCTTCCACCATGATGTTCTGGCTCACATCAGGCCCAAAGCAACAGAGCCAGCTGACCATGGACTGAAACCATGAACCAAAATAAATCTTTCCTCTTTTATATTGTTATTGTCAGGCATTTTGGTCACAGTGATGAAAAGCTGACTAACGCAGAAGATAATTTTTTTTTTTTTTGTAATTGCAAGTGCCCTCATTCTCTCATTGGACTTGATTTATTACAATATAAAATTCTTGGCTGGAATCACTGCCCCTCAAAATTGTCATCTGTTTTTCAGAGTTGTGGTTGAGAGGAACCATACTATTTGAATTCCTAGTCCTTAGTATGAAAACTAGTTATTCTCTCCAAAGTTTTCTAGGTTATTTTCCCATAAGCTTCTGGATCTTTGTCCCCAATGTCCTGTGATTTCAAGTGATGTGCCTAAGAGTCTTTGTCCCTTCATTGTACTAGATATTCACAGAATCATTTATTTTTTATTTTTTCTTGTGTGGTGCTGGGGATTGAACCCAAGGCCTCGTGCATGCAAAGCAAGCACTCTACAACTGAGCTATACCCCCAGCCCATGGATCATTTATTTTTATTTGTTTTTTGAGGTATTGGGGATTGAACCCAGGACCCCACACATGTGCCCTACCACCGAGTCATTATCTCTACCCTTTATTTTATTTGATTTTGAGACCGGTCTTGTTAAGTTGTTCAGGCTGGCCTTAGAACTTGCGATCTTCCTTCCTTAGCCTCTCAAGTAGCTGGAATTGCAGGTGTGCACCACCATGCCAGGCTCACTGAGTCATTTGAATCTGGAAACATGTTCTTTAATCTGGGAAATTTTCTTTGATAATATTCTCTCTGATTGTTCCTTCTAGAATTCCTACTGGATGATAGAGTTCATGGTTTTTCTCTCCTATTCTTTTTCTTCATCTCTTTGTCATTTTCTACTAAATTTATACTATAAATTTCTGCTAATTTTTTTAAAATTAAAAAACCCTTCTATTGAATTTTTTGGATCAACAAAACTATATTTATTTTGTCTTTATATATTTTCTATTTTAAACTTAATTTCCTCCATTTTATATTATGTATTTTTTAATTGATTTAAAAAATAAATAAACGAAAGCGGAATGCATTACAATTCTTGTTATACATATACAGCACAATTTTTCATATCTCTGGTTGTATAAAAGTATGTTGACATCAATTCGTGTCTTCATACATTATAGATACATTACATCCACAGTGGTAGAACTACTCTTTTAGTTATAGTTGTTTCAAAGATCTTTTCCAAGGCTATTGTATATCAGTTTTTCAAAACTGAAGCCTTCTATCAGAAATATGTCTTATATTTTGATGAAATAATAATCACTCATCTTTAAAACTGTTTTGGAGTATATTAATTGTTTGATTGCTGAAAAAATATTATCCCCCACATTACTAGCTTAAACAACAAACATTTATTATTTCATAGTTTCTGAGGGTCGAACAAAATAATTTCTCATGATTTTAAATAGTAAGGTCATAATGCATTTTATATTTACTCAAATTCTATCATGTAACTCAAATGCAATAAAATGCCTAAATACAAGCAATAGATAGCTTATCCTGTTTTAATGTAAATGGTTAACATATTACTATGTGATCACCAAACAATATGACTGATAACATACAGTTGCTATGCATGCAGTAATATGAACTTTCTTAGGGCCAACATTTGAGACTCATGATGAAATTTTCTAAACCACTACACATGATTTTGATATTGTAGTTGAAATGTATCATAATACTCTTCCTGCATATTTTAATAAAATTATGGAGTTTTGTTTTGAAGATGTAAATATAAATGGAGTGTGAAAAAATGTTATATTGGGGGATCTGTATAATCTAAGAGGCTTTAAAACCAAGTGAGATTTTACAGGAATATATTATCTGAGGATACATTTTGAGAGTATGTTTGAATTAAAAGACCTATGTACTAAGAAAAGTAAAAAAGACCAATTAATCTTAGAAGCGGTGCTAGGCATTGTGTCTTGAGTGACTCCTTAAAGAAAATCAGTGATGATAATGCAAAACTTTTAATAAGTTAAAAATGATATTATCTATAATAGTATCCAATCCCATCAAATATCTAGAGGTCTATGTAAACTTTTGCACAGAAAACTCTTAAATTTTTACTCATAAAAATTTAAAAAGATTTAAATAAATGGTGGAGTATATATTTATGGACTAGAGGAGTCAATTCAGTGAAGATTCTCCCAACTGATCTATATATCTGATGTAATCCCAATTAAAATTCCAAAATATTTTCTATATAAAATTACAAAGGACCGTGAATAGTTAATGTACCTCTGAAAGAGAGCAATAGGATGAAAGACCTTGCTCTATCTGACATCAGGACTTATTGAAGAGCTAAAATAATCTGTCAACATAGCATTGACAGAACAATAGCAGAAGAGAACAATGGAATAGACCACAGAGCCCCCACACATGTATTTAATGCACATGTATTAAAACATGCTTTAAAACAAAGGGAGCACCATAAACAGTGGATAAAAGACAGGTTTTTTTTCCTTAAATGATCCTGGGATAAATGGATATCTGTATGGGAAAAAGTAAAATTTACTCCATGAAATTTACCCAAAGAAAGTCAATCCTAGGTATAGTTTACATCTAAATGTGAAAGTCCAAAAATTTTAGAAGTTAATATAATATCTTCACGATGCTTGGCAAGTAAAAATTTATTTCTCAAAGGTGAGTCATAAAAGTACTGATAAAAAAGGAGAAGCTTGACAAACTATTCTCCACTAAAATCAAGAACTTGTGTTCACTGACAAATGCCACCAAAAAAAAGCAAAACAGCAAACCACAGGGTGACAGAAAATATCTGTATTGCTTAAAATCAACAAAAAAGTGGTCTGCAGACAATGTAACTCCTACTGACAACATGTAAAAATACACAATAAAAGTGGACAGGACACTTGAACAAACACTTCAGAAAGAGAATATCTTGAATGGCCTGTAAGCATTTGAAAAATGTTCAACCTCATCAGTTATTAGAACAATGTAAATTAAAACTACAGTGAGATATTATTAAATGCCCACTTGAATGGATAAAATCAGAAAGACTGACCACAAGAAGAACTGGCAGGACTCTGGAAAAACAGAACATTCATACCATGCAGATAGGATTGTAAATTAGTAGAACTATTCTGGAATTACCTACTCAAGTTAAACGTATGCACACTCCTGTGTCCCAGAAATTGTCCTCCTAGATATATCTCCAAAACATAAACACATACATGTGTACTCCAAGAGACACATACAAGACTATCTATAGCAGTATTATTCATAATACATCAAGTTTTATTGACACCCAAATATGGATAAATTATAATTCATCTGTTGAATGAATTTTATCATAAAATGATTGAGCTACAGCTATGTATAGAACATGAATAAATATTGCAACCATAATATTAAGTGAAAGAAGCCAGGCACAAAAAATATAAAATTTTTAAGCCCACGAAGCTTAAAAAACATGCAAAACTAGGGGCTCGGCGGTAGAGTGCTTGCCTAGCATGTGTGAGGCACTGGGTTTGATTCTCAGCACCACATATAAGTAAATAAAATAAACATCCATTGACAAGTAAAAAATAACTTTCAAAAACATGCAAAAGTATTCCATGATGTCTGATATGCTAAAACCACGAAAGTGTGGAAACAAATACCATAAAACAGGCAGCAGTTACCTCCTTTGTGGAGGCAGGTTGTCGTAGGGACTTATAATGGGAAGAGACATGGAAAAGTCTTCTGGAGTGTTGGAAACATTTCATATTTGACCTGGGGTGGTGGTTATACGGAAGGCTTATTTTAAAATGATTTAGGGAGTTTCACTTTTCTGTATATTTGTCATATTTCATAATAAAGAAGTTAAAGGCAAATTGAAAATGTCACTCCTGTGCTGAAAAGAATCTAACAGCATTTTGAATCACTCCAAAACCTTCCCATGACCTGCACTGCTCTGACTACGTCTTCAACCACCACGGGATGCTCTTCCTCCTTTCATAGATAACACTGTACATACACTGACCTTCTTATAATTTCTCTACAGTCCAATCTCTCATCAAAACATCTGGCTCTACTTTCAAGTTATATCCCAGATCTGCCTGCTTCTTACTACCTTTACTGCTGTTACTCCAGTCTGAGATATAAATAATTTCTCTTCATTTACTGAGTAAATAAGATCACTGGGGGAGAAGAGGACAAGGAACTGACAGACCAGGGAGCTGGGAGGATCGTCTTTGCAGATGTTGAAATCACTGAGGATCAGGGCAGGAGTGGGACCGTGGGGAGACTGAGAGTGAGGCAGGGGGGTGCAACCCAGGAAACAGAGTGGAAGAAGGTGATAGGTGGCATCATCTGGGTGACAGGACATTCAAATCTGAGGGCTTCTAGGAAGCAGGAGAAGTGCCAATAACCGGAAGGAGGAAAGAAGATGTCTTTCCCACTGGGAGCTCAGTGGAGTAATTTCCCAGCTGACAGTGTGAAATGCAGAAAACAATAGAAATGAAATCCTACAAATTACAGTCAAGGATAGATAGATGAGCAGATAAGTAGGTAGTTACCTTTCCTTTGTAATAGTTTGCAATCAAATGGCTAAGTGTCGTTTTCCCTGAATATTGAGGTCCAAAGATGAATATTTTACATGGCGGTATTGGCATAGGTGGAAGAAGAAATGGACGTGGATTCAATAAAAAACTTTTTAATGTTTCTTCTGATGAAAGACAGTATATTTTACCTAGAAAACTTAAAATACATCGTAACAATAAGCAACTGAAAACATATGTGGAGAAGTTTTAAAATTAAGCTCTGAAAGTCTTACTTACCTCACAGAAAAATCTGGTAATCCTGAATAAATGTTACCTTCTTTTAAAGCCACAGGACATGTGCGTCCCCATTTGCTTCTGCGCCATCTGTATCTTGGTGCAATAAGTTTATAAGCTGAGAGAGTACGAAATAGCTCGTCCTGCAAATCACAAATAATACACTGAAAAATGTGGGCATAAATTGTGCTAAAGGGAGCGGTATCAAATATTTTGATTCTTATTTGATGATGCTTTACTATTTAAGAAATAATGTTGAATGCAAATTTGGACCTTTTTCTTTTTTTAATATTTATTTTTTAGTTGTAGCTGGACACAATACCTTTATTTTATTTATTTATTTTTATGTGGTGCTGAGGATCGAACCCAGGGCCTCACACGCGCTAGGCGAGCACTCCACCACTGAGCTACAACCCCAGCCCCAGGGCTTTTTCTTAATCACAACATTTTGTACTTGTCCCCAGGTTTAATGAGACTAATTTTCATTTCAATTTTATTTCAATTTTACTGAACATTTTTTTATTATGTGGTAGAGTGAGCATGGGATAGAAAGGACATTCTCTATCATATCTCCGCAAAAAATCAGATTCTAAAAATGTTTTTCTTTTATTGGTGGTACTGGGGATTGGACCTAGTGCTTGTGTTTGCTAGAGAAGTGCTCTACCAGCAAGCTACATCCTCAGCCCTTCAAAAATTCTTATGGAAAAAGTTTTAAAATGTACCAGATTTTTAGTCAATTTATCTAAGCTTTTAAATAGTAAGATGTTATATACAGATTGTTTTTGCATTTACTTATAAGGGGTAAAACTTTCATTCTGAAACTTTAAATCTCCCTCAGCAATTGTGGGAGACCAACCTCTCTCTCTCTCCCCTTAAGGTCAGAGGAGCCGTCACAGCATCCCCAAAGAAAAAGGTATTTCTGTCTCTTGTTTGGTTATTTCACGCAGCCAAATTAGCCCAGTTCCCCTGGAGTGACCCCTGAGTGTTTTAGTCACGAGCAACCCGGCAAGTGGTGTCCCTGGGTGGGCAAAAGGTCTGAGTGCTTAAGCCGCTGGGACAAAAGCCACAAGCAATCATTTCTTTTTTTTTTTTTTTTTTTGGATATGTAATTCTTTATTTAAATATAGCTAAATAAAGTAACAAAAGGAAATTTTATGTCCATAATTTCAATTTTTAAGGACATTAGTAACATGCAGATATTTGAAGGTAAGCAATGAACTTATACCTCCTTTTCTTTTACAACTTCCCTCCAATACTAGAAATAAGCAAACAAATAAGAGGGAGGGTCTTGCCATACATCCATGTAGAATAATCTTCTATCACTCCAGGTAATACTTCTCTTTCTCTAGAAACATGACGATAACATTGAGAATAACCACATTGTACAGATGTAGGTAGACATTATCTAAACCAGAGCAACCTAAAGAAATGCATCATAAATGGTACTCCTCTTATATTTTCAAGAGAGAGAATTATATTCCACCTCTTTTCTTTAGAGTAAAAATATGCTTCATGACAGAATCACTAAGATAGAACATAAGACCAATTCATATAAAATGATAGATGTTCACAAACACTATCTAAAATTTTCCTCCTATCTTCAAATATTCCAAAGTGAAAAATTTTAAAGTAAGATACTGCATTTTTCTATTTAGCACATGACTGAAAGTTAAATGTTTTTTTTTTTTAATTTTTTATTGTTGGTTGTTCAAAACATTACAAATTTCTTCATATATCATATTTCACACTTTGATTCAAGTGGGTTATGAACTCCCATTTTTACCCCATATACAGATTGCAGAATTACATCAGTTACACATCCATCGATTTACATATTGCCATACTAGTGTCTGTTGTGTTCTGCTGCCTTTCCTATCCTCTACTATCCCCCCTCCCCTCCCCTCCCCTCCCCTCTTCTCTCTCTACCCCCTCTACTGTCATTCATTTCTCCCCCTTGTATTATTTTTCCCTTTCCCCTCACTTCCTCTTGTATGTACTTTTGTATAATCCTGAGGGTCTCCTTCCATTTCCATGCACTTTCCCCTTCTCTCTCCATTTCCCTCCCACCTCTCATCCCTGTTTAATGTTAATCTTCTTCTCCTGCTCTTCGTCCCTACTCTGTTCTTAGTTACTCTCCTTATATCAAAGAAGACATTAGGCATTTGTTTTTTAGGGATTGGCTAGCTTCACTTAGCATAATCTGCTCTAATGCCATCCATTTCCCTGCGAATTCTATGATTTTGTCATTTTTTAATGCAGAGTAATACTCCATTGTGTATAAATGCCACATTTTTTTAATCCATTCGTCTATTGAAGGGCATCTAGGTTGGTTCCACAGTCTTGCTATTGTGAATTGTGCTGCTATGAACATCGATGTAGCAGTGTCCCTGTAGCATGCTCTTTTTAGGTCTTTAGAGAATAGACCGAGAAGGGGAATAGCTGGGTCAAATGGTGGCTCCATTCCCAGCTTTCCAAGAAATCTCCATACTGCTTTCCAAATTGGCTGCACCAATTTGCAGTCCCACCAGCAATGTACAAGTGTACCCTTTTCCCCACATCCTCGCCAGCACTTGTTGTTGTTTGACTTCATAATGGCTGCCAATCTAACTGGAGTAAGATGGTATCTTAGGGTGGTTTTGATTTGCATTTCTCTGACAGCTAGAGATGGTGAGCATTTTTTCATGTACTTGTTGATTGACTGTATGTCCTCCTCTAAGAAGTGTCTGTTCAGGTCCTTGGCCCATTTGTTGATTGGGTACAAGCAATCATTTCTGTTGGTAACTTCCAGACCTCAAAGACTGTCAAAAGATTCACCTGTCTTTGTGCTATCTTAGCAGGGAATGACAGAACTAGGACAAGATGGCACACCAGGCACCTGGGAGGGGGAAAGGTCCCAGACTGCCTTTGACACTCAGATGTGGATAGCACATATGCCTGCTGGCTCTAGAACTGAGCACAGAGCACAGACGAGACTGGGAACTGTGGTCTTGCCTGGACCATTGTAAAATCTGAAAGCAAAGAGGCATGCACACTGCCAGGATATTGCATGAGAGTCCTCACTGAGGGCTGGAAGTGTTAAGACTAAGAACCTCATTGATGGGGCAAGTGGTGCCAACAGCCTTCTCCAAGGAGCCCATAGACAATAAACTAGGATGGAAACTACCCAGAGGAGTCAAGAGGTGGTCACTCTTTCCTTATCATCCCTCCTTCCTGTCCAAACATGGGAAAAGTGTTTTAATAGCAGACCACATTCCCTTCTCAAATTCCTGTTCCTCAAGCCACACTTATAATAGGTGCTGGGTGGGGAGAAGGGGAGTTTTTGAATGAGTTTGGTATTAAAGACTTAAAACTGATAAGGACTACCTTCTGGTTAAACTAGGCAGAATGGATTCTTGCATTTATATTTACTGCTTCCCTGAAATTCCCTAAAATGACAGCAGAGGCATAAAAAAAGGAATATGTACACAAAGACACGGAGAATGGAAGAAGAGACCAAAATGATGGTCAGAGCTGGAAACTGACCAGCAGTGGCTATACAGTTTTGGAAACTAGAAAGCAGATTGATTAGTAGTAACTGGTTCAGATCAGAGAAAGGCAAAAGCTAAAATATCTGCCGTGGCAAGGATGGATTTGGGGTGGATGGGGATAAGAAGCCAGTTGACTCCAAAATCCTAGAAAGACACCGGCCTGGGTGATACCAAGTACCTCTGAAGGGGGCTGAATGGGAGCATAAAACAGGATAACTGGTTGGAAGTCTTTGAAAAGGGGTGCTAGTAGCCAGAGCCACCTCCCACTCCCCTCAGTTAATTCACTTACCCTTCCCCCCACACTCCCACCATCTCTCTTTCAGGCAGAAAACGGGAGAGACTGAATCCGAGGCTTATGTGAGACCACTGAGGTCAGGGTGGAGGAGGGCATGAGAAATTTAACAATGATAGCCACTGCCCTCAGGAGACACTCCTGCCTAAACCTCTCCTAAAGAAACTCTGGCCCTTCCTATGATCCATCACATAAATAATTATGGTGGGCACAGCAGGATTCTCAGCTCTACTGAAGGCTCTATCTCCATTGGGTGAATGACCTGGCACTGAATAGGCTCATTTGTAAGACATGGGATAAAATAAAAAATACAAGTCCTTGTTCTCAATTTAGTTGAGAATTTCTAGATTGCAACAGCAGAGCATTAAACTAAGAGTGGAGCCCTTCTAAGCAGAAGATCCAGTGAGAGGTCCATGAAGACAGTTCTGCCTCATAATTCAGTTGTTAGATATTTTGAATGTCACTATTGGTCCTAGGTGCTTTACAAGTATGATCTCATGTAATCCTTACAATAACACAATGCCATAATAGTTACTGTCCCCTTTATCTTAATCATTGAATAAAGAAAAAAAATTACAAAATCCCACAGGTCTGGTAGGCTGCAGAGCTGGACTTCAAATCCAGGTTATTCTGATTAGAAACCAATGCTGGTATCCTCCATGTGCATGGTGCCAGCCTGACACTGAGCTTCCTTTACCATGTCCCCAGGCCCACTCCCCCTCTCTACAAATTCATCAGCAGTTATAGCTCCCAAATTCCCCATAGCTAGAGTTCTCATAAAGGTCTTTGCTCCTCTCTTATTCCTTTAAACCAGTGAGTCCCCTGCCCCCTCAGGATCTACAGTAGACTCTCCTAGAAAGTTCTTTTTTTTTTTTTTTGTAAAATATACATAACATAAAATTCACCATTTAGCTAACTATCTTTAAGTGTTCAATTCAGGGGGATTAACTACATTGACAATGTGTACAACCACCAACACTATTTCCAGAACACGCTTTCATCCTCCCCCAAAGAAACTCCACCTATGAAGCATACCTCACTATTCTCCTCTCCTCAGGTCCTGGCACTCTCACTTCTACTTTTTCACTCTATGAATTGGCCTATTCTAGGTATCTTGTGTAAATCATAATATTTGCTCTATTGTGTCTGGCTTGTTTCACTTAGCACAGTATTTTCAAGGTTCATTTGTATTTTATCATGTATCAGAATTTCATTCCTTTTTAAGGCTGAATAATATTCTATCAGGTGTGTGTGTGTGTGTGTGTGTGTGTGTATCTTATCCATTCATCCACTTATGGACATTGGGACATGTTTCTATCTTCTGGTTATTGGGAATATAGCTGTTATAGACATTAAAGTTCAAGTATCTAATAGAGTTCCTACTTTCAATTTTCTTGGGGATAGTACCTAAAAGTGGACCTGCTGGATCATGTGGTAATTCTTTATTTAACTTTTTGAGGAAACATTAAACCATTTTAAACAGTAGCTGTCCCATTTATGACCCACCAGCAATGCAAGAGGTTTCCAATATGTCAATACTTTTTTCCTATTTTTTGGATGAGAATCATCGTAATGGGTATGAGGTGGTATCTCATTATAGTCTTTTCAAAATTATTATAGTCTTGATTTGCATTTCCCCATGATTTTAGTGATGTTGAACAACTTTTTATGTGCTTGTTGGCCACTTATCAGTCTTCTTTGGAGAAATGTCTGTTCAAGTTCCTTGTCCGTTTATGAATTGGATTCTTCTATTGCTGTAGAATTGAAGTTATTTACATATCCTGAACATTAGTCCCTCATCAGATGTATGATTTGCAAACATTCTCTCCATTTTATGGGTTATCTTTTCACTCTATTGATAGTGTCCTTTGATGCACAAAAGCTTTTATTTTTATTTATTTATTTATTTTTGGTGGTACTGGGGATTGAACCAAGGGCCTTGTGCATGTGAGGTAAGCACTCAACCAACTGAGCTATAGCTTTTAATTTTTAAAAAATGTGTTTTAGTTATAAATGGAGACAATACCCTTAATTAATTAATTTATTTATTTTATGTGGTGCTAGGGATTGAACCCTGTGCCTCACTCATGCTAGGCAAGCATTCTAGCACTGATCCACAACCCCAGCCCCTAGCTTTTAATTTTAATGAAGTCAAACTTATCTATTTTTTTCTTTTGTTGTATATGCATTTGATGTCATATCCTGTTTTGTTTTGTTTGATTTAATGCCAGGTTCCTATCCCAGAAATTCTATTTTAACTGCTTTGGGCACTGATTTATTTTAAAAGCTTCCTAGATGAATCCACCATGCAGTCAGGGCTGAAAAATCGCTGCTTTGAACATTACCATTATGCTGTACTGATTCTCTAAAAACTACCTGCCTTTAGCTGAAGAATATTCATCCAAAGTCCTTGAAAACACACAAGAACTATCTATTTATGATGGGACCCTTTTGTTTTATTTTGAGACACAGTGTTACTAAGTTGCTTAGGGCCTTGCTAAATTGCTGAGGCTGGATTTGAACTTGTGATCCACCTGCCTCAGTCTCCTGAGCCACTGGGCTTACAGGCGTGCATCACCATGCCTGGCCCATTTTTGTTTCAAAAATCTTGTTGTGTTATAGTTAGTTATCTAATAGAATATTGTGTTAATATTATAGCTTCTTCCCCAAACCATTTTTTTCTTCCCAACTCCCATTTTTAAAAAGGTATCCTGAAATTTCTTTTAGACCTTGTAAAGATACAAACTAAGGTTACAACACATATTGAACACAAATGTTTTCAAACAGTTAAGCGTAACTTACAGTTTCCGTTATATCATTCATTTCTTCCTCTGAACTCTGAAGTTTGGTCACAACAGCTGCTCTTTTTAGGTTCAGATATTTGAGTCGTTCTATAACTGTCTGGATTATAAGAACAAACATTTGAATACACTGACATCTGAATATCTCAAACATTCTGAAAAAGTGATGGGTTCATTATTGGAGGCCATGCTTCCTCTGAACCTCCAGGTAGACTCCTTGATCACTTTTTCCTGGCTTCTGGTGTTTGCTGGCAATCTTTGGTGTTTCTTGACTTGTTTATGCATCACTCCAAACTTTGCCTCTGTTGTCACATAGCCATCTTCTCTCTGTGTGTCTGACTTTCTTGTCCTAATCTATATTGAAATAGAGCCCACCCTAATTATGCATGATCTCAACCTGATTGAATATGTAAAGACCTTGTTTCTAAATAAGGTCATATTCATAGGTATTAAGGTTAGGGTTTTAACAAATATTTTTGAGGGACATATTTCAACCCATGATACTCTGCCCTATGGTCCCTGAATATTCATGGCTCTAGAGGTCTGGGTCTATAGGAACTCTTCAGACAAAGGGAAGAAAGCCATGTGAAGGTGGAGGGAGACACAGGAGCAATGCTGCCATAAGTCATGAAATACCTGGGACTACCATAGCTGGGAGAGGCAATGATGGATCCTCCCCTAGAGGATTTGGAGGGAACAAGACAATATCTTGAGTTTGTACTTCCAGCCTCTGGAACTGGGAGAGAATAAGTTTCTGTCATTTGAAGCTATCCGGTTGGTAAGACATAGGATAGATCATGGTAACCCTAGAAAACTAATGTAGACACAAACTATGTGGAAGAAACTGGAAAAACAATGGGCTAGTAACTAGAATCTGAGGTGAGAGATGGTGAGAAACAAAAAATAATGTTGGTGTGTGGTGGTCTGTGGAAGATTATGTTATTCACAATTCATCCTTCCCTTGTTTCATTGATTAATTGCCTAGTTAATTTTGGGTAGAGTATACTTCTTTACCCTCTAATGTTGAGGTTCTCCTTGTAACTTGCTTTCACAAATAGGATGTGTGCAGAAGTAGCAGGGTACCAATTCCAGACTGGGGTTTTAAATAATTTTTGCAGTGAGGGCATGGTACTGGGAATTTACCACTGAGCTAAATCCCCAGTCCTTTTGATTTTATTTTTTATTTTGAGATAGGGTCTTGCTAAGTTGCTTAGGGCCTCACTGAGTTGCTGAGGCTGGCCTCAAACTTGTATCCTCCTGTCTCAGCCTCCTGAGTCCCTAGAATTACAGTTGTGCACCACCACACCCGGCAAGACTGGGGTTTTAATAAGCTTGGAAATTTTCAACCAAACCTCTTAGATCTTCTGTCCTCTAGTGTGTCCAAGTAGAAAACAAAATTCTGGGTGTATTTTGAGGAAGAAATCTGCTGTGTATGCTGATGAATGGGTTGTGGATGTGAGAAAAAAAAGAGAAGAGCAATAGGAAGAATGGTGCTGACATGTATTGAAAGAGGCAACTGAGGGAGAAACACATTTGGGCAGATGTTATACATAATGACGGTTAGACATCAAACTGGATATGTAGCAGTTCGGCAGCAGTCAAGTACACCAGTGTGGAATTCAGGGGAAAGATGTGGGATAATAATATTTGTGGAGAGTACTGACTTGGATCATGGTTTTTGACTGCCTTAGAGTTGTGGCTGTGCTTTGCCCTGGGGACTTTCTGTGCAAAGGTGCAGGATGAGATTTCCCAGGAGCTTCGGTAATGCCCTGCCTGAGGAAGTTCTGTGCAAAGGTACAGTACAATAACAAACTTGAACTTGTGCCCAGATGCCAGCTGCCAGGGAGAGAGAATTCTGAGCATAACAAGATGACCACAATATCTTCTAAGCACTACAACCTTCAAGCCTCCCTGCTTTGCAGAAAATCTGGACAATGGGCTTCCTGGATACAGCAGGATAATAACAGAATGTTCCTAGCACTGCAACAGTATAATAGTTACAAGAATGTTTCTAGTTCTGTAACTTTTTAGTACACAAACAACAATGTGCACTAACTTCCTGATTGTGAGACCCTATATAATAACCCTGCTGAGCTAGCTCTGGGTCATTGTTCTTCCATCAGAGGTTGGTGTCCCACTCGGTCCCAGCTTTCTCTCTATAAGTGTTTGTGTGTATTTCTTAATCTCCCATCACTCCTTGCCAGTTTCTAGCATTTGGCCATGCAAGTTGTAGCAAATATTAATTTAAGAGATGCCAGTATTGAGAAGTATTTGAAGTCCTTAGGATGAAGTCTCCTAAGGGGTGAGGACAGAAGTGAGCTCTGGGGTCTAACACTAGAGATGAGAGATTTAGAATGTCCAGTAAGGAGTAGTGGAGCAATTAAGCAGGGGAAATCTAAGAAGCCATGGAAAGGAGAGAGCAGGAAGACATGGTCAGATGTATCAAATGTGCTTCTAGATTAAATTAGATGAAAAATGACCACTGGCTTGGTTAAGAGGAGATCTCTAGTGATCTTGGCAAGAGCACATCCCAAGTGAGGAGCTTCACCTTGATTTGGTTTCACTGTTAGCACTATTACCCCATTGCCACCAGTGAGATCAAATCAGAAAACTGGGGGTTATCTTTGACTTTTCTGTCCCCCCTAACTCCTATGCTAAGTGACTCACTAAGTTCTTCAAGCAGACATCTTATATATGTCTCAGACCTGTCCCCTTTGTTCATTCCTATGGTCACTACCCTAGATTAGGCCACTGTCTTTTATCTGATGACTGCAGAAGCCAAGACTAGCCTTCCTACCCTCAGTTTGATTCTTCTCCCATTTTTCTCTTGTTCTATAGTCTGGGTGATGGTTCTTAAATGAAAAAAAGGATCATTTTCACTCTCTGGCTTCAAATCTTTCACTGGCTATGACCTCCCTCATAATGAGGCCTAAATGCCTTACCTCCTTAAGTCCCAGGTTTTTCTTGGTGCAGTCCCTGCTTGGTTCTAGAGTCTCTGCACTACTGTACTCCTCCTATGTCATCTTCCTATTTCCATTCCTACAATTCACCTGCTCTTTCTTGCCCCTAGGGTCTTTGCACACTCTCCCCTGAGCATAGAAGAGTTTGGCTCCCTGTCCCTCCCCTAGCCTTCGAGGTCTAATTCTTACTCATCATAAGTGAGATTTCAGACAGTGGCCCTCCTTACCAGACTAGGTTTTGTTCTTCTTTTGTGAGCTCCAATAACAGTATTTATTAAACCACCATTTAAATATTTATTTCCCCCCACATATTGGATACTATATGAGGGGAGGGACATGTGGACTCATTTCCCTCCTTCATGTTTATATCCTTGGAGCTTATGATAATGCCAGACACTGATTATGTATTCCAGAAATAGCTACTGTGTTTTTTATTATTACTTTTTGGGGTTTCATTTTTTTTCTACATCCTTACCAGCACTTGTTATTATCCCCCTTCTCTCTAATTTTTTAAATAATGGGTATGAAGTGTTTTCTTATTAAGGTTGGGATTTACTTTTCCTTAATGACTAATGATATGAAGCATCTTAATGATGCTTATTGATTGCCACTTAATTTTCTTTGAGGTACTAGAAAGTAGTACCTCAAACAGAGCTTCTATTTATTTGATACCAGGAATTGAACCCAGGAGCACTTTACCACTGAGCCACAGTCCCAGCCCTTTCTATTTTTTACTTTGAGACATAGTCTCACTAAATTGCATAGAGCTGGGCAGCAGTTGTAGCTCAATGGTAGAGCACTTGCCTAGCATGTGTGAGGCCCTGGGTTCCATCCTCAGCACTACATAAAAATAAAGGTATAGTGTCCATCTACAACTAAAAACCAAACAAACGAACAAACAAACAAACAAAAACTCTTAAAAAAATAAATTGCATAGGGCCTTGAACTTGTGATCCTCCTGTCTCAGCCTCCTGAGCAACTGGAATTACAGGTATGAGCCAACAGCATCAGGCCAAAAAGACCTTTTATTTTTTTTTCCCACCCAAACAGACCTTTTAAATTCAAAATGTGGTTTTGATGTCATCTGGCCTTCTGGTTAAGATCAAGTGTAGTATTAAATGTAGTTTTGATTTTAATATGAACAGATAAATAAAAATAACATTAAATTTTAAAGTACCAAAACAAAATTTTTAAAAATTAATGATGTTAAGATATAAATATATTCATGTGTATTAAGGTAAGTACAATACTGTAAAAGGTTTTTAAATTTTCCAACTGTAAGATATTCTTATTGAACATTGCACTCACCATAAAGAGCTCCTCTGGTGGCTTATTTCCATCTAGCTCAATGAGAAACTGGGGATTATGTTCAGCCATTACTTCCTGTAGACAACAGAAAAGAAAACATATATCAGGATTGTAAGAAAATTGAATACAAGATCAGAATCTTACTAACTATGAAGAAATCTGAAAAGCTCTCTTTGTTTACCTTAAACATGCTATAATGCACATTATTTTCTGTGCTGAAGACATCTTTTGCAAAAGCCCAAATTAGCCTTCTTACTACAAATTTATTTTATTTTATTTTGTTTCATGGTTCTGGGGACCAAATCCAGGGCTGTGCATGTTAGCCAAGTGCTTTATCATTGAATTATACCTCAGAGGAGCCCATACCATGAATTTTATAGGCTTTCTATTTTTTTTTTTTTGCTTTCTAGTTTTGATACAATAAAAGAGTGATTAAAATTTAAATTAAGGACTTTCTTCATACAGATATTAGCATCATTTAAAAATATAACATACTTTTGTTACTGTAAGGCACACTTTTCTTATAGAAAATTTAAAAGACAAAAAAATTAGAAGGCTAAAATATCTCTAATCCAGCTACCCAAGGTAACTACCACTGTTTTCCTGTCATCTTTTATTTATTCCATGAGAAAATCCTTTTGCATGTTTGTGACCAGAATATACATATAACTTTGAAGCTTACTTCTTCACATAACATCAAAATTAACTTTTATCTATACTTTTACAAGATCACTACCAATATAATTTTGAAGGCTTTATAAAATTAGATATTGTGATTATAGAACAATTTATTTAATATGTTCCTCTGTTTCTTGACAGTTGTGCAATTTATAATATTGAGCAAGTTGTTTCCAAGCATTTTTAAGTACTTTTAAAGTTTTAAAAGTTGTGTTCTTTTTTAGAAAACAAAACAACAATAACAAAAAGGGCCATACTAATTTCCATTCCTTTTAACAAAGCATAAGAGTGCTTTATCATATACTTGCTAGCAGGAGAAATTCTTATCACTTGTTTATCTTTTAAAATTTGATTATGGAGGGGCTGGGGCTGTGGCTCAGCAGTGGAGGGCTCATCTCTCATGTGTGAAGCCCTGGATTCAATCCTCAGCACCACATCAGTAAAATAAAGGTATTGTGTCCACTACAATTAAAAAAATATTTTAAAAAATAATTAAAAAATAAAATTTGATTATGGAAATAACATTTCATTATTTAGATGAACATTTCTTTATTATAGGTGACACTGACCATTTTTTCTAGTGGCTTATTACCCTTTTGTCTTTCATTTGTTAATTGCTCATATCTATTGTCCATTTATCTCAGAATGAACTTACAGGTATTCAGAAAATCATTTTTATGGTCTTTATATATATCAAATCAAAGCTTTAAATATTTTGTCATAGTGTTATGGTCTGAGTTTAATCAATATAGATTATAGATTATAAATTATAGATTGTAGGTTATGAAATATTAATAAATAGGATAAAAGGATTATGTGATATGTGTTATAGAATAAATAATGTTAAACTGCTCTAGTTATAAATTAGAAGAAATAATAATGTAACTGTAAGACATAAGATTTAAGTTGTTAGAAATAAGATAGAAGAGTGTAAGGTGATAAATATAAGCCCATAGGTTAATATAGTTACAGATAAATATAATATAGCCATGGTAACTCCATTTTTATGACTCCCATGTGAAACTGTTATATAAGCTGTTTCTAAGATGTTAAAAATTTTTTTTTACTATACTTCATATGCCCACAAATGTGCTCGAACCCAGGAAATGGTTGTCTGTTTTTGCTCTGCTGTTTTCTCAGCCTGTGTCTCCTGCTTGCTTGCACCTATGTTTTTGAGGATGTGGTTTTTCCTCTTATAAACCCCGTAGAACTGGGACCCAGTGCTGTTCCTGGCAGAGACAGTTTGGGTCCTGCAGGGAGCAATCCCAGCTGACTAAATAAAAGACTCTCTAATTCGGACAAAATTCGGACTGAGAGTGTTTTCTGGTGATCAGCCCACAATAGTGGGGAGATTTTTCAGTTTGTTTCTTTTAACGTTGAATGAATGTTTGATTAATTGATTTTCCAGAAGTTTTACATTTAATGAATTGAAGTGACTTTCTGGTTTCCTTTTTCTTTTCTTTCTTTTTTTGGTATTGGCAATGGTTTGTAATATATTTTATTGGTGCATTACAATTACACATATTAGTGGAATTCATTGTTACATATTTACACATGCACACAACATAATTTGGTCAACTTAATTTCCTAGCACCTGCCTTTTCTCTCTCCACCTCCCTTTCACTGGTCTCCTTCCTCTACTCTACTGGGCTTCTTTGTAATCTTGTCATTGGTTCGACTGAACATCTGTCAGTCATTTATCACTTCCACGCTGGAGGCACTGCACTGTGGATAGGATAAATGACCTAGCGACTCTTCTTGAAGAGACTGCCTTTGCATTTTTCCACTATGAATATCGTTTTCCAGTATTCTGAATCTGAGAAGTATGCTTTATTCCATACTCAGTGCTGGTGACTTAAGGAGTACTTTGGATACTTTCACTGAAGGAAGAAATTATATTATGTAGAGTCATTTAATGTACTCTTAGGAAATGTTTATGCTTCATTTTAAAGGCAGGTAATAGAAGAAGAGAGAAGGAGGAATCAAAGCCATATCTAAGAAAATAATTTGTTTCTCATTTTGGGATAGAGATGATGAGAAATAAAATAATCCACTCATTTGTCCTTAAAAAATATAAACATTAGGGCTGGGGTTATGGTTCCGTGGTAGAGCGCTTGCCTAGCATGTGCAAGGTGCTGGGTTTGATCCTCAGCACTACATAAAATAAATAAATAAATAAAATTCAGGTATTGTGTCCAACTACAACTAATTATATATATATATATTATATATATAATATATATTAAAATATATATATTAAAAATATATAAGCATTATAAACTACATGAAACAAATTATTTTAGGTCTCTATCAATTGGGAAGAGACATTTTTAGGATTGTTTTTTATTTGTTTTCAAAGTTTTGTTGTTTATCATAATATCTTCCCAAGTACACAAGTTCAATAAATGTTTTTGGTTTTTTTTTTTTTTTTGATACTGGGGATTGAACTCAGGGGCACTTGACCACTGAGCCACATCCCCAGCCCTATTTTGTATTTTATTTAGAGACAAGGTCTCACTGAGTTGCTTAGTGTCTCACTTTTTGCTGAGGCTGTCTTTGAACTCAGGATCCTCCTGCCTCAGCTTCCTGAGGTGCTGGGAATATAGGCGTGCACTACCATGCCCAGATCATTAAACGTTTGTTGACTAAATTTCCAACACAAATGATTATATTTGGCAGTCTTCCTTTAATTTTGAAAATATAAAATACGTTTTTCACATAATTGTAATCTCAGTAGTCATACTTTGGAATACTAATTATTTTAATTAAAACTTTTCTACTACTATATGTAATAGTCTTAATCATGTTTACATATAATCAACTGTGCATGAGATAACCATGGAAACCAATCTGGGGATAACAATTTTTTAGATTGCAATTTAACCTAATTAACACTTCCTTTTAGAATAAAAAATGCATGTTAAGTGACTATTTGTTTTGATGAACCCATAAATTATTTATTGAAAATGTTCTTACAACATAGTCTCTTAATATGAATTTTCTAGCCCCCATTCATAATTTTTCCTAGTGACTTTTGAATAATGCAGTTCATTAGTCATTTTTCAACAACAGAGTTGTTTGTAAGGGTAAAATAAAATGGTTGTGGGAAACAGCCTATGGGAAGGAAGCCTTTATCTAACAGCTTTATACCAAGTTCACGAGGAGAATCAAATGATAGTACATGAAGATGAAGATGGGGGAAAGCTATTTAATAGGGACAAATACCAAATAATCCTATTTTTATCTTGTTCTTACTTCTAAACAATTAAGGATTGTTTCCTTATAAAGTTGAATAATGTTTTCGACATTTTCCAAATAATCCTCAGGCCTCTGAACTAGATGATGAAGAATTTCAGCTGCCATCTGCATTTCAGCTATAAATGCCTAAATGGAAAAGAAAAAAAAAAAAAGCACAAACTATCTTTAAGTCAGTGGTTAATGAACTCTTAAGCCACATCCCTCCCTCCTTTGCCTACCTAGAGTGAGAAGCAGGGGGAAGGGGAAGATTAGAGACAGAGGGTTTTATTTAAGAGAGTCTGAAATCACTGAGCTGCCTCAACCAGCCAAAAGAACTACGAGGACTAGGTTGACTTCTGTATTTTCATAATCTCATTGTTATGTATTATGTGTTTAGTTTCAATAAAGCATTTAGACTGATGAGGGGAAAAAGAGAGACTGAACACTCTTAGGGGTCTTCATTAGATGAAACAAAGCATTAGATTGACTTGGATACTTACTAATTACTTTTTCCTCCCCAGTTAATAAGAAGAGTGGGGGTGAATGTCAGATTTTTTTAAGACAAAATAGAGAAACTGGACTTTCTTAGAATACTCAAGCTTGTAGTTCACTCATTCCTTCCTTCAATATTCAGTAAACATTTGAGTGCCTACTTTATTCCAAGCACTATTCTGGGAACTTGAGATACAACAGTGAACAAAACTGTTTAACACTGGGCTCACAGAGCTCATGTTGAAGCTGAGAGAGACAGCATAAACACAGTGGGCAAATAAATATAAGACAAGTAGTGGTAAGCACTGGAGATAGAGTCATGCTTCATAGAGTTTATTTTCATGGGGTAGATAGGATATAAGCTAGTAAAAAAATAAACAAAACTTCAGAAAATATAATTGCTATGAGAAAAATAAAGCAGAGTGATGGGAGAAGGTGCTGTTTTATATCAGGTGGTCACAAAAGTGATATCTGAGTTGAATTTGCAAGGAAGGGAGAGAGCCTCACAGATTTCTAGAGAAAGAACAGATCAAAGCAGAGGGAATAAATAATACTGTAAAAGTTCTCTGCCCTTGTCCTGGCACATAGCAAGTGTTCCATATCATACTTGGTATCATAATTAGTCATTCTTTCCAGTTTTTATAAACGCATACATGTACATATTTTACACAATTTGAATCACATTATCTATAGAAGCCATTTCATAATTATAATTTGTTTTAAATATTATTTTAATGGTAAAATAACATTTCCTCAAATGATTTAAACATGACTCTATAACAGGTCAACAAGAGTGTTTCAGATTTTACAATTTTATAAATAATGTTGCAATGAATAGCTTTGTAGATAGATTTCTATATTACTAACATTTCCCCTAGAATAGTTCCTAAAATTAAAACTACTGAACTTTGGGTAATACATTTCAAAGTGATTCAATAAACACTGTCTTTTTCAAAAGATGCTACCATTTGTCTCTCTCTAACACAGGGCATTGCTAGCATGCTTGTATTCATTCACTTAGTTACTATGACTTCATATTAAGCACCTACTATCTGCTAAGCACTGTTACTGGCACTTCAGATAAAGTCATGCTTTCATAGAGTTTATGTTCAGTGGGGTAGACAGGCTATAAGCTAGTAAAAAAATTTAATTAAACTTCAGAAAGTATAAATGCTATGAGGAAAATAGAGCAGGATAAGGACCGAGGCTAATGTGATCTAGTGTTATAGCTATTGACTACACATACCTATCGGGCACTTGAAATTTGGTCAGTGCAAATTGGAATGTGCTGTAAGTATAAAATATGCACCAGATTTCAAAAACAGTAAGAAAACAAAATGCATTATTCTTATCTGGACCGTCCAGTTAGGAAGAATTTCCATATTTGACTACTGAGCACTTGAAATGTGGCTAGTTCTACTAAAGAACTAAATTAAGTTTTAAATAAGTTTAATTGATTTAAACTAAAACAGCCACATGGGGGAGTGGCTACCATAGTGGACAGCGCAGTCCTAGCCTAAAAGTAGTCCTCACTCTTCCTGATTATATTCCTGGTGACATCACCAATTGTCATAACCCATTTGGACCCTGCAATGAATTGTGACCCCTGCATCCCACCATATAAGTGCCATGTTGGCTGTGATAGTATACTGTATTCATGCTAAAATCACATAACTTTTATCCCTATCTACTATGGGGTTTTCCTTTAAAACAGTCTAAAATAGGTTATGGTTATTATCTAATGACTTATCTGCACAGGTGAGATTATAGATTATTTCATTTTTTAAAATGGACTTTATTGTACTACCAATTTTTAAATGAAAGAAATATATGTCAAAGAGGTATTTAACCCACAGCAAGGGAAACAGCAGAATTACAAAGTGTAGGTATTAATAATCATTGAATAAGACTGAAAAGTTAGGCACAAGGCTGTTTAATATCCTATATGGCAATAAAACTGTGGCTTTGGGGGTCATCTTATTTATTAGATAAGTTATTTGAAATGTATCCATCTGTAAGTTAACTTTGACTTCACAGAGTCTAGGCCATAACAGAAATTGTCAATCACAGGTACATTTTACTACAGTATAGATTGGCAGACTATGACCCATCCCACCCTGGTGGGTCAAAGCCAGTCCATCATCTGTTAACAGATTTCTTACTATCAAATTTTCCTCTTTAAGTCATAGTAAAAGATTTTTTTCCATGCTCTATTGCATTATGTTTGGTAGTATTTAAGATTATTTAAAAAAACATGTATATGTGAAATTAGGCTATAGATTTCTTTTTGTGTGCTCTGTCAGAGTTTGGAATCAGAGTTGTGTTCATTTCACAAGTTGAGTTACTGCTGGGCTACTTTGTTCCCCCTATCACAGTTTGTCTTTTATTGCCCTAACTCCTTATTCTAGCTGGACTGACTGACACATAGAAGGTGACAAATTATCGTTGCTATGAAATGAAGCTTTCAGAATAGAGGGACTTCTATACTGACAGGAAGGTTAAATTTGACCTTAAGCTTATGTTCTAATGGTTCTTGAAAACAGGGGATAGTTTTACTTATGTCCTCCAGACCCAATAAAAATGTAATTTTCTCCAGTATCTGTTTTCTATTATCCAAACTATCATTTATTTATAGCAAAATTTTAAAATATAGCATACAGTAATGACCTATTGTGGCATTACCTCTTCCTCCTCTTGCTCTTCTTCCTCTTCTCCTTCCTCTTCAGTTTTTCCTTCTTTATGGGTGTCTTTCTTCTTTTTCCTATGACTCTCAATGACTTCAGGATCCCACTGATCTCTAGTGTATACGTACCCTGTATTACAGTGCTGTCTTTGCCCAGAAATTCTTTGGCATAAATCATAGTCAGGGCACTAAGGAAAAACATTATTATGTTACCTAAAATATTTTGAATATGCATTTAATACCTAATTTATATATTATTCAATACATAAAGTTAAAAATTCCTTAAAAACCTGACAAATGCAATATTGTGACCACAAAATACAATTTTCCTGCAATGTCAACATTTTTGACTGAAATTCATACGTGTGAGAAAATATCAGAAGTTTTAAGTTGAAGAAAGAGGATTAGAAGAACAGTAGAAAGAGTGGAGAAATAGAATATAAAATCAGTTTAGTCTGCAAAGGTTCAGATTAGTTTGAAAAGGCTGGTAATGGAGGAAAATGGAATATGCATATATTTTATTTTAGTATTTGAATATTTACATATTTTAGTATTTACGATCATTTACAGCTTTATGGCCAAAGTAGTTCATAAAATGCCAGTAATGAATGGGAAGGATCTAAAAGATCGCCTATTGTAGTTCAACCTTTAAATTTTGAAAATGAGGAAACAGTTCATGTAGTAAAAAAAAAAAAAAAAAAAAAGCACAAACCAAAGTCTATAAGTAATTTTCTTGTTTAAAGTGCTTTCTTTCTTTTTTTTTTTTAAAGAGATAAAGAGAGAATTTTTAATATTTATTTTTTAGTTTTCGGCGGACACAACATCTTTGTTTGTATGTAGTGCTGAGGATCGAACCCGGGCCACACACATGCCAGGCGAGCGCGCTACCGCTTGAGCCACATCCCCAGCGCCTGCTTAAAGTGCTTTCACATGTGCAGTTTGACTTAATTCTCAAACTAATCCTTTAAAATAAGTAATTGAATATTATGATTAAAGACATTTTGCAGATCAGAGACAGGTTAAGAGACTGGTCTCAGATCACAATGTCACACGGAGGCCTTCTGATTCATATAGTCCATAGGCTATAGATTTCTTTTCGTGTGCTCTGTCAGAGTTTGGAATCAGAGTTGTGTTCCATGCTCTGTGGATGCTTTATTAAAATAATGTGGGGCTGTAAAGCCTGCTCTGTATGATTTCTAGGATAACAAATGTCTAGATGATATTCTATAGCAGATTCTCAAACATTAGGAGACCTTGCTAAATAGATACATCTGTTTCCCCTTGTAATTTAGTAAGATTGGAGTGAGGCTAGGCCCTGGAAAGAGCATCCTCAGTGATTCTAATGCTGAGCACGCTTTGAGAAACAAAGGAAGTAAGGAACTGTGGAACCTTCCTTGATCATTTTCTGATTTATTCATGCCCCCTCCATGTGGAGATGGGATGTTTACTTATTTATGCAAGGCTTTTATTTGGGAGTCTTAAGTTTTCACCAAAAGGACTTCAACCCATTCGGTCATTTTAAAAACTTGTGAATTTACAACTCAGAGTCCTCACATTCTGGGTTCTTGACAAAGACTGTCACCTTCAGCTGTCTCCTGTTTTCACTTGGAGGAGGTAACTAATAAGAGGAGGAGGCTAAAGGATGTGCCCCAGATCAGGGGTCCCCAAAATTTAGCAGGTATTAGTCACTTAGAGGGCCTTGCAGCCCTGATAACTGGGTGCCACCCTCTCAGTTTCTGGTTCTTCGTTCTGAGATGGGGCCTGAGAACTTGCATTTCTAACAAGCTTCTGGGTATTGCTGCTGCTGGCTCTGAAAACCACTGCTCTAGTAGATTGCTGTACTTAACCATTTTTTTTTTTTTGTAGCACAGGTCCCTTTAGAATATGATAAAAGCCATAGACTTTTGCTTTAGGAAAATGCACATACACAAAAAATTTTGCATATAATTTCAGGAGGCTCCTGAATGCTTAGGGCTCATGAAACCCAGGCTAAGAACTTCTGTTCTAGAAATTCCAGACTTATCCCCAAGTAGAAATACATGGTCAGAGAAGTGTGTGTTGTGCTGAGTTGTATCTCACTCAAACTCTCTAATTACAATCTGTTTTCTTTGTGGAAACTATACCAGGCATTCAGTATGCCACTTACAACACAATGTGTTAAAGATGTCATTGACTACATTAGGTGGTCTCACATTAGGATCTAAGTAAAATATTTATCTCACTTTCAATGGAAGTTTTGTTTTTCCTGAGAAATGGCTTATCTTTTCACTGACAATCTTTAATAACTGGTCACATTTCCCTTTTTACTTCAGTTCATCAAATTTGGAACCAGATTTATTATTCAAATTTAGTGAGCTTTTGGGGCCTTCTGTCCTGTGTATCTTTGTGCTTTCTTTCCACCAGGTTTTAATTTCCTATTTAATCTGTATTTTCCTTGGTTTTGACTTTATATTTGATTTTATTTAGTTGAGATCTCCTCTCTCCACTATGCACATGGTCACATGTATGTCACATGTATGTCTGTTGGGCTTCTGGTCATGAGCTGGGGCTGGGACTGTACTTACACCACACTCCACTGCAAGACAATCTTTCTCTTACAGCTGAGCCTGGCACTCCACAGGGTCCCAACATCTGAGCTGACAACCATCTTATTTATTTTCAGCTGTCATAAACCCTTTGGGGAGCCAAGCAGGGTCTGAATACAAAAGCTTGTCCTTCATTTTCACATAAACAAGTAGAGAGCATCTCAGTGAATTCCCACCATGACCCCATGAGGCAGTTATTGTCATCTTTGTGAACAGAAAATTGAGACTTCTAAATGTGACCTACCAAGTTCCAATGGTTAATAAAGGAGAAACAGGGAAAGGATCAGCCTTAATCAACTTAGCAGTGTTCTTTAGTCATTCAAGTCCTTTGTTGTTACATCTTATTTAAATAGTAAACTTATTAAAAGACACTAGTAGCACATAGTGTGCTAGTTGATGTTTACAAGAATAAAACATGTTTTTTCTACCTTCAAATAAGAGAGTCTAAGAAGAAATGAACATTTACAGTGAAGTGGATAAAATAGGAAAGTAAATGAACAGTTATCAGACAAGCATTTAACTCTCCTGTGCTACATTACGTATGCATGGGTGGTGGGGAAGAAGGAGAGAGAAGCAGGAGGTAGGGAGGGTGTGGTTGTCAGGGAATGTTCTGAAGAGATGATGCCTGAACTGGCTCAAAGGGTGGCTGTGATTAAGCCTGGTGAAAGATGGAGGAAATGGTTCATACGGATGCAGTTGAAGGAACAAAAGGACAGGAGTGTGAGAAATTCAGTCTGTGACTGATCTATAAATTTTGAAAACATTCTTTGAATTAAATACGATCAAGATTTTCTATACTAAAGAAAAAAAAAGCAACTAATATTCTTACCCTAATATTGATTATAATATCAGGCTTCAATTTTAAATTTTTAATTAATTCTACTTGCTGCAAAACCGTCATGGCATCCTCTGAAAGTGATGGTATTTCGGTGACAATATAACCTGAAAAATAAAAATTTAAAAATTTATAATATTAATATGTGAGAAGATGGATTTATTATTATTACTTTATAAAATATCATATAGCTATTGATTAATATAACACAGGTCATAAAGTTATCTGTCAAAAATTTTGAAGGATCAGCTATGGTTATTGCCACTGAAGTATAACTATGAAAAATGGTTTTCTGATAATAAAAAAGAAATTAATGGGCTAGGAAGTGACATCTTTAAAAATTTCAAGTCAATTTATTCAAACAGATGAGATGCCTAGGGAAGGAAATTCCATGCTAGTAATTCCTTTAACTCATGTTAGGAAGGCTCATATGATGAAAGGTAAAGGTATATTATATGGGTTTCATGAGATATTATTTTCTTTATTAAAAATTTCATAATATAATTTATGTATATAATTTATAGGAAGTAATATAATACCTATGCATCCACCATTAAGTTTAAAGAATGGAACAGAACAGAATATATTTTGGCTTAGCACATCTATTGGCTTGTACTCCCACCCAGAAGCCTAAATCTCAATGACATTCACCCTGTTTACCACCCCTGCAATAAATAAATATATTTCTTTAATTATGTCACTTCCTCATAACATTTTCTCTTAACAATAAAGTCTCAATTCCTTCAATGGAAATTCATGGACTCTGACTTACATTTTTGCTTTTTTTATGAATATTTTTTTCTTGGAAGAACAACTGACAAATTACGTTTAAGCCTTGGATATTTGGCAAAAATCTTATAAAAAGTAAATGAAGTATGTCTCTTACTTCAAGGACAACAACTGATAATGGTTGTTTCCAAGCATAAAATTTAAGTGAAAATTTGAATTTTAGAAAACTTGTTTCCACTGCCATAAGCTTAACAGCTTTTTAATTCTTACAGTTTTCTGATAAGATTGGTGGTGACATTAACAAATGTGATTTTTTTGATATTGTATAATGAATTGTTAACATTTTGGAGATCTGCATAATTCAGTAAACATGAATTTTATAAATGACTAATTCATAGGCTATAAAATTATGTATAGGAAAGAGATTCATAACAAGTGCAAGGTAAACCAGGGATTTAATGTAACCAAGTTTGAAAAGTTCACTGATGTAGATTCAAATGATACAACATAATTAACCTTTAAAAACCTTCCAGTTGTTGAGTTTTAATGTAGGATTAAGAATATTCACAGTTATTTCAAAGTCAATTAAACACTTCCTTTTTCTAGCTACATAGCTATGTGATGCTGGATTTTCTTCATGTACTTTCTTGAAAGCAATATGGTTGGGTTGTGGGAGGAGGTGTGGGAGAGACGGTTATGGCATTTAAGATTGACTCACCACTGCAGATGTAAAGTGGGATTTCTTAGTCCTCTAGACCCAATTCTGGGAGGATCTCAGAGGAATACAACAAGTAAATAACCAGAGCCGAGCAGCCTACTGTCAATTTTCTAAACTCAGAGATATGTGTGAAGATGGAAACATAGATGATGAACTCCCCCCATCACCACCCAAACTTCCTTGAGAGCATTTACTAAAGCCTTGCCCTTCCATGCTGAAGATGGAGGGATGGTAGACTCCATGCATGTACTAGCACAGGCATAGTAGGTACTTTGTAGGTACTATCTGGCCTACATCAGAGAAAGCGGAAATACTGTCTAGTCCACCACTCAGGTGAAATCAGATGGACCAGGCCCACGTTTTAACTCTGTCCACATTTCTTGGCACAGTGGGAAGCAGGAGGTATTTCCTAGTTCCATAAAACTGACAGCACCAGGCTACTGCTTTCAGATTAAAGTGATGAGAGATACAGAGACATCAGACAGCTTTGTGTCCAGCCAGCCTTGCTATTCACTAAACCTCAGGCCAGCATAAATGGACACACTGGTGATCAATAACTTGCAAGACCATCTAAAATGTTATATACCTGAAGCGTCTAGACTAGGGCTGATCATCATTCACTGGGGAAAATGAATTTTTCCAGAATATAGAAGCAAGTAGCAGAGAGGGGATTTTCTGGATCCTCAAGCATAGACTATACTTTTTTTTTTTTCTTCTCTTGGGTGAGGAAGTTATTCCAAGAAGCTGATTTTTGTTGACAGCCAACACAGCATGATGGACTGTTAATGAAAAGATTATAGATTGTGTAGGTTCTTTGTAGTAATGGAAGCTTCAAATATAGAAGGGCGCTGGTACAGAAAAAATTCAGATTGAATTTGGCAGTGCTTTACTACAGTGTCCCTGGAAGCACACATCTCTCTAGGAATTTTGGATTCATCTATTTAGCCTTGCCTGTCCCCTGACTCAAGTCATATATCTGTTTCAAAATCACTTTACTTCCAATTTTACATCTACCTTCTACCGGGCTACTGGTTAAGATCTAACACCAGAATGAGAATCCTTAATGAGAATTTGAGGAGACTTTCAAACTGTGTTTAGCAGAGTGCTAAGGTTCCCAAAATATTTCTTTGGGAATGTGACAGGGTAAGAGAAAACTGGGCAGAAAGGGCTCTAGGTCCTGTCTTCACAGCAGCCTTTAAATGAGCCAGTTGTGCATCCCTAGAATATGGCTATGAAAGCAAATGGTGAGAGTGTGATGCTCAAACTGAAGAAGTAATTTATACCATTCTTACTCTGCCAGCTCCTAAGACACAGAAATCAATTAAATGATATGAGATGATGAAATCAGACAAACCCATAGTGTGGAAAACTCTACAAAGCAAATAACTAATTTTTTCAACAAAGGAAACATGAAAAAAATAGAAAGAGGTAAGAGGTAAGGAAAACCTTAAAGATTAAAAGAGATTTGAAACATACCAATCAATTAATCAGTTATAATATGTGAAGCCTGGTTGGATCTTGCTCCTACCTGTGCCACAAATACTCTTAAAAAAAATCTCAAAGGCAATTAGTGGAATTTGACCTGACTGGTTAGTTGATGGTGTCCAGGAAATATTATTAATTTTTTAGGGGTGATGATGGTTAAGTGGTAATAGGTTTAAGAGTCCTTATCTTTAAGAGTCACATACTTAAAAATTTATGAATGAACTGATATAATATGGATTAGCTTCAAAATGAAAATAGGTTGGGAGACAGGAGTAGACAGAGATATAGATGCAACAAGATTAGATAAGAGTTGTCTTGTGAAAGCAGGGTGATAGACTCTTTTGTGTATGTGTGATCTTTATATCAAACTTTCTGTGTGCTTTTGCTTTGACTTTTCCCTAGTAAGAATTTTTAAAATTTATGAACTGTGAATGACACAATTAAGTTTCTCTTTTTATTTTTCCCTTTATCCTATTGCCAGTGTTTGTAATTTAAGCCAGATTTTCTATAGCCATTAAACCACTCTACAATTTTCAAGAGGTGAGTAAAGTATAAATAAATATTCACTTATATACATATATGTATGATACAGTTTCAGTTACTATTCTTTTGGAGGTCATTTATTTATCTAATTTCGAATTCCATGATTATCCTTTTTTGTCATTTCACTTGTCTAATCTCCTACAATCTGGGTATTTTCCCCAATTCACCCTCTTTATCACTGATGAAGTATAGACATAGACAGTTTATAAATAAATGGTAACTATTTATACTATAATATATTTATAATACCTATGTTATATAACTTATAATACAAGGTTTTTTAAAAATGGAGCTTATTCTATTTATTTAGGGCTTAAGATCAGTAAGAGAGGGAAGTCAACTTCACAATTATCACAATGAAATATTTCTCATAAACCAATAGTCCCTCTTATTTTTGCTCATTTCAATTCTCTACATGAGATTCTATTTTTAAACTTAAAAATTTTTACTTAGTATAGTTAAATACAACCAGCTTCAAACAGTAAAGGAACACCTCATTCCCAGCTCCATTCCTATCTTTCTAAATTTTCTAATTATAATTATTAACATATATAATCTATACATGGTAGAGATTTTTGTATGGATAGGTACAGTTCATTCTGTACATCATCTACACATTCATATTATTGATGTGGAGAGAGCTCTTTCTGTCTGTAGATACACTCAAAAGATTTGTAGTTTGTTTTGACAAAGCTGCTTTCGCTGTTTCCATTATTGATTTGCTTTGGCAGTCATGGTTTTTACTGTACAGAGCTTTATTTTTATCTTTGTATTCTTAATAGCTATAATGTCCTCTCATAACTTACTGAAAGCTTTCTGTTTTATATTCTCAGTCTGTTCTGCCATTAGAGCTTTGCCTGGATGTCGTTTAAGACTTTCCCTCCTAAAATAGAATAAATTTTTCTTTCCTTCTTTCATTCAACAAATCTATTTCAGTGGATTATTTTTTCCTAAGCTCATCTTTCTTCTTCTTCTCTTATTTTGCAAATGTCTTAGAGTTTTCTCTTTTAATCAATCTAAACTTAATCCCTAATCTTCAGTGGTCTTTGCCATGAGAAATTTTAGACACAAAGTCCTTGCTCAGCATGCATTTAAATAGAGGGAGATTTTTCCATTCCACACTCAGAGCAGACTGGATGAGGTTCCAATACCTGAAGCCAGAGGGCAAGCTGGTGCCATTCCAGTTTCCATTTTTGCTTTGCAAATGTGGACTAATGCAGAGAAACCCAACCATGGACAGGAGGACATGGAGATAAGACTCAGGGTGAACAGAAAAGCAGGAAGCAGAGGCTAGAGGCATTGCAAGACTGGCTACAACACATTTTTTGATGCTTTGTTAGACTGCACAATATTAAATAAGATTGGGCATATAAACTTATTATTATTGCTATTATTTTTACAAATGTAGAATATGGGGAATAAAAACAAATAAACAAGCAAATAAAACTCTGAGTTTCTCAATTGGCTACAGACACTAAGTTTCCTGTGCTAAGACAAAAAGAAAGAGCAACCCCAGAAATTATTTGTGCCTCAACATACCAAAGTGAGAGACTTCTGAGGAGTTGAGCTTCTCCAACATTAGCTTTGTGACAAGTTCATCTGGAACACTGTTACCACTGATCAGCATTGACCGCAGCTAAGAACAAGGACAGATATAATTCACTACTGTATAATATGTCTGTGGTGCAGACTTTTTTATAGTAATCATAGTAACTTGGAAATTTAGTTCTGCTTACCATAGCTCCTGATTCAGATTCAGTAGCAATCATTTCCTCCAAAACAGGTAAAGCTAAAACATGAATTCAAAATATTAGCATAAGTTGGTATTACGATTGCCAAAATAAGAAACACATTTGAGTGTCTTCTGATATCAAAGGTTAATATTTGTATAGCACTTAGAATTCACAAAGCATATTTGTGCACATTATGTTATTTAGGCCTAACCAAAGTAGAGGCAGCAGAATGTATTCTCTTTCTTTCTTCTTCTTCTTTTTTTGTGGTGCTGGGGATTGAACCCAGGACCTTGTGCATGTGAGGCAGGCACTCTACCAACTGAGATATATCCCCAGCAGAATGTATTCTCTAGAGAACTTATTTCTCCCCTCTGCATGTTAATGAGTCTTGGGGAGCTAACTTCTTTTTTTTTAAAAATATTTATAATTTATTTATTTATTTTATGTGATGCTAAGGATCAAACCCTGCGCCTCACACAGGTAGGCAAATGCTCTACCACTGAGCTACAACCGCAATCCAGCATTTTTTTTTAGAGAGAGAGAGAATTTTTAAATATTTATTTTCTAGTTTTCGGCAGACACAACATCTTTGTTTGTATGTGGTGCTGAGGATTGAACCTGGGCCGCACACATGCCAGGCGAGCGCGCTACCGCTTGAGCCACATCCCCAGCCCGGAGCTAACTTCTTAAACATCTCTGTATCTTAGATCCATGTGTCCTGTGTTGTATAGAAGATAATGCAAGGATGAAATGAGGTGGTATATATGACAGTGATTTGTGCAAATTATAATGTGTCATATAAAAGTATACATTTAAGTTATTAGTCCAGATTCTTTTGTAATCATACAGTTTTATATATATATATATATATATATATATATATATATACACACTGGTTGTATAAAAGGGAAGTATGCATCAAGAAATATTAAAAGTGAGAAATGAGACTAAGGGGAGACTCAAGAGCTTAATTGTGTCACTAGTCATTAAGAGTCTATGGAATGTTTGGTTTTCTTCAAGATTTCCTAGAAGTGAATTGTGTGTGTGTGTGTGTGTGTGTGCTTGGAATCAAACCTGGGGCTTCACACATCCTAGGAAATACTCTGCTGCTGAGCTATCCCCCAGCCCCAGAAATAAAATTTTTGATCAAGAAAAAAAAAACAGAGGAAAAATTATCAAAGATCTCTCTCTATTATAGGTTACCAAATTGTTCTTAAAAACATTGTACCAGATCTCAATTTTACAAAGAGCCTATAGATTGCCCATTCCACAGCACCTTTGCCAATTACAACTGTAATAATTTTAAAGAGTCACCGACAATTTGATAGGCAAATATGGATCACTGTTTTAATTAGTATTTCTTTGAATAACAGTAAGGTTAAACTTTTTCTTATACCGCCTAGTTCTACTTTTATAAGTTCCCTGTTATTCTTTTCCTTATTTTTCTAATAGGACACAAATAGTTTCACTGAGTAAAACAACGAAGGTGGATGTGTATGTGTGTGTGTGTGTATGTGTGTGTATCAACCTATTGTCATATATTGTAAAAAAATGTAAGAAATTTTATACATAAAAATAAAATTTATCAATGAAGGTAATCTGGAAAGTGCTCCCAAGAAAAGCTTTGAGAGTTCCTTCTCTTCTTGTCTTTTGTAAGAAGACACTAAAGACACATATCACAAATAGCTCTAAATTATAAAGTTAGAGAATTGGGGACAGTAAGAATGGAGTCAAGGACATTCCATACACTCCTAAATTATATAAACAAAACTAGTAGTAATCGGTCAAAACATGACTGGATTGCTCTATTATAAAGCTAATGCTTACTGTGTTAAAGGTAGACAGATGTCCAATAAAGGAAATATGGCAAGATGTTAATTGTGGAATATAGATGGTGGGTGGACAGGTATATGGGTGTTTGTTGCACAGTTCTTTCCATCTCATGCATATTTGAAAGTTTTCAAAATAAAATATTGGGGGAAAAAAGATAAAATTACCTTCAACACGAACACATTTCCATGTCTGTGCTATCTGATTGGCTAATGTTGTCTTCCCAGCTCCCTTAAAAAAGAAATATTGTTTAAAACTCAATAGAATAATCATTTGACAGTGAAACAAAATATGAGTTTTTAAATATTCTATTACTTCAAGTTTTTCCCATAAAAGTGAAGACTGTACATATTCAATGGAATATTACTCAGTTTTACAGAAAAATGAAATTATGGCCTTTGCCAGTAAATGGATAGAGTTGGAGAAAATCATGGTAAGTGAAATAAGCCATTCCCCAAAACCAAAGGCTAATATGCAGACGCTAATTCACAATAAGGTGGGGGTGGGGTGGAGGGCCCACCTAGAGAAGAATAGGGTTACCTTAGATTAGGTAGAGGGAGGGTAGGGAAGGGGATGGGGGATAGAAAAGATAGTAAAATGAAACAGACATTATTACTTTATGTATACATGTGACTGCATAACCAATATGATTCTACAACATGTACACTCAGAAAAATGTGAAATTATATTCCATTTATGTATGATATATCAAAGTGCATGAATGCATTCTACTGTCATGTGTGACTAATTAAAACAAATAAAAACATTAAAAAATAAATGAGAGCGTATTTTACATACTATTTTTCTCTGCTAACTTTTGCATATGCCACATCTCCTAAATTGATTTAAATACTTTTTTAAAGTATGAAAGTAACCTTGGAATCAGGAAGCTACACCACTGTTGCGTGCACTCCTTTGTCAAATTACTTGATTATGACTATAAATAATCATGATTATATTGAGATTCATTATTTTATTTCCTTCCTAAAGCAAAATGAATGTTCTAACAGATTTCCACTTAGTCATTTTTAAGAGAAAAGAAACCCTTCTTAACTGATATTTTTGGAAAATATCACCTATTAAAGGTCAAAGGGCACTTTCACACTGAAAAATTCGCATCTGCTTGCTGTCAATGTTGACTTTTAAAAGTGTATTCTGTTTTCAGAAAAGTAATGAAAGTTGTTGGAAACATTTCTTGGTATCTATCCGTCCCAGGGTTCCCACAAAACTAAGTCAAGGATGGGCTCCAGCTCTCATTCTCTTGCTGTTCTGGAAAGGTTTTCCAGCCAACCAGCTCAGACCTCTAATGGTAACTACTAACTAGCTCACTGGCTGAAAATGGCTCTTCTCTAGAGGTCCTCAATAGAATTACCTAGAAAGGTGAACAATTTTATAACAGCCACTTTTGGTTTCTTCTGTTTGTGGAAAGATAATACAGAGGTCCTCTAACACACTGTAGGTAAAGACTGAGGCATGTTGCTCTCAGGGTCTTTGGGTATTAATAGGAGAATCTCCCAGAATGTCTTGATAATGTCTTATCATGGCATATACAGAGAACCTTGCAACAAATAGTTTAAGAAATTCTTATATGCAAATCAAGTCTGACATAATTTAAGATTACACACTACTAGGTTATCATGGTGCAATGTTTTGATAAGTTAATTTCCTCATAATAGAAAATGAATATAAATACAATCTGGTTTCTTTTTCAGCTATAGTGTAGCTGAAAAAGGAGAGAAAGTTTTGAATTTACCAATAGGATATAAGAATTTAAGTGATACAATGAAAACCTCAAAGATACTCAACAAATTAGCAAACTATTTGGTTTCCATTCTTGTGTGGTAACTTACAAGACTGTGGTTTTAAAAAATTATACTAAATAATAGAGGAGAGAACTTACTGGTTTCCCAAATATAATGAAGCAAACAGGTTTGGACAACAAAAAATCTTTTTCAGTTTCATCTTCATCAAATATATCTGCAAAAGGATGCTCTTCTGTCTTCTTTTGAGAAATCATAATACAAAATACTACAATAAGAAAAAGTAGAATTGTTAAAGTGCCCAATTTGATTGGAGCAGGTAGTCTAGGGAGTGCTGGAATATCCAGAATTTACTTACTCCAGGAAGCCATTCTATACTATTACTACATGAATTTTGTCAATAATTGCAAAGAAATTAAATTTAACTATTAAAACAATAATAGGGTCTTTAAGAAAGAAACAAAATCTAACTATAAACTGTATAAAAGGGGGTTCAAATAAGAGTTTTCCAAGGACTAATTTAAGGAAAAATATACATGTATAAAGACACATGTATCTGCTATAATATGTATATTAAAGATCAAATTAAAGTTCAAAATTATACACACATGTGTATAAAATTTGCATATAAATTTTACTGGAAATATAAAAAGTAACACTGGATAGATTTATTAGATTCATTTTTTCATATTTTAGGAAGTCTTGGCTGAATATATGCATAGAAATTTTACAAAAGTAATGTAGTTTTGTTTTTCCACTTTGTAATACTTACAATGTTTGTGAGAACATATAATGTCTATGAGAACATATCTTTATTTTAAAGCTTTTTTTAAAAAAAATTTGCTCTCTTAAGCTAGTTGTTAAGTGGATTTCTAAGCATAGAACACAAATTTTAAAAAATTATATCTACATGGAAGAAGAGGTTCATTAACCAACTTATAAATACATGAATTGTTGGATTGAAAAAATATATATATCTAAACAAACTACGTTTTCTTTTTTTTGGTACCAGGGATTGAACTTAGGGGTACTTTACCACTGAGCCATATCTCCAGCCCTTTTAAAATTTTTTAATTTAGAGACAGGGTCTCACTAAGATGCTTAGGGCCTCACCAAGTTGCTGATGTTGGCTTTGAACTCTCCATCCTCCTGCCTCAGTCTACCAAGCTTCTGTAATTACAGGCGTATGGCACACAGCCTAAGAATCAAGTTTTAAATGTATATTGGTTTTGTTGGATTGAATCAGAAACAAATTAGGTTAATAGTTCTGTATTTGTGCAAAGAACATGTCTTGTTTCTAAACACCTATTGACTATATATTTATACTCAAAATATTTTACATATACTCATAGAATATTTTTATCATGTAAATAGTAAAAATTTCTTGACCCAAATGAAGCCATGTAATAATATTTAAAAATATTTTTTTAAAGTTCCTAATTTTAAAATTTTTAATTTGTAATTATACATAGTACTGGGGTTCATTTTGACAAAACCATGCATGTGTGGAATTTGATTTCAATCCCCATTCACCCAACTTTCCTTCCTCTCTCCCATTCCTCTGTTCTCCTTTCTTTGCTCTACTGATCTTCCTTTCACTCATTTATTTATTTATTAATTATTAGTACTATTTATTTTCCATTAGTACTTTTTTTTCATCATACATAAAGATGAAATGTCCCATGGTATATTCATATATGCATATAATGTGATTTTGTTAAATTCATAACATATTTCCTCCCCTTCCTTGTTCCTCCTCCCTCCCTCCCTCCCTCTCAATCTCTTTATTCTATTTCAGTGAAACTCCCTGCATCTTTGATATCTGACCCTCCCCCACATGCTGCCTTTTTCTTTTATTTTGCTCTAGTAAAAGCTCCTAATTTTTGAAAATTAAAAAGAAAAAAACAACAACGTGTCTCTAATATTCTATATCAAAGAAAAATTTAAATCGGAAATTATAAAATATGAATGAAAGAATGATACTATTATTTGTTAGGACTATTAAACACAGTATTTAATTAACATCAGATAGTGAAAATATTTTTTCATAAAACCAAAAATTTTCTTTTATACAAACAATAACAATAACCTCACAATTACACAAAACCTATAAAAAGGGCATGAATAAATTTAGTTAGGAATGTACACTATTGAGGGAGGGGGGGCTGGGGTTGTGGCTCAGTGGTAGCGTGCTTGCCTAGCATGTGTGAGGCACTGGGTTCGATTCTCAGTAACACATACGAATAAATAAAATAAAGGTCCATCAACAATTAAGAAATATTACAAAAAAGAAATGTACACTATAAAATTTTGCTGGTGGATACTAAAGAAGACCTCATGAAGAACCATGATATATTTCTGGATAGAAAGATTTACTTTGTACAGATGTTAGTCGTTTCCAAATTAATACATAAAATTAAATTATTATTGTGATCTGCCTTTTTTTTGTGTGTGTAAGTATAAGAAAGAAAGAAAATGGCCATGCATGAAGGTGTTTCTTATATGCTAACAAATGAATAAATGAATATGAATCCGCTAAGAAAGAAATCAGGAAAACAAGTCCATTCACAATAGCCTTAAAAAAAAACAAACACCCTTGGAGGTTTCACTACGGAGGTGAAAGACCTCTACAATGAAAACTACAGAACATTGAAGAAGGAAATTAAAGAAAATCTCATTAGAAGACAGAAAGACCTTCCATGTTCATAGATAAGCAGAATTAATATTATTAAAATGGTCATACTACCAAAAGCAATATATAGTTCCAATGCAATTTCCATCAAAATGCCAATGACATTGTTCACAAAAGTAGGAAAAATAGTCCTAAAATTCATTTGGAAGAAAAAAAGACCCAGAATAGCCAAAGCAATTCTTAGTCAAAATGTTGGAGGCACCACAATACCTGACTTCAACTTATACTACAAAAGCCAAAGTAACAAACCCTGCATAGTACTCTTATAGAAACAGTCACATAGACCAATGGTACAGAATAGAGGACACAAGAGACAGACCCACACATCTACAGTCATCTGAGCCTTGGTAAAGGTGCCAAAAACATACATTGGAGAAAAGACAGCCTTTTGAACAAATGGTGCTGGGAAAACTGGTCATCCATATACAGAAGAACGAAACTAAACTTATGTCTCACCCTGCACAAGAGATAATTCATAATGAATCAAAGACCTGGGATTTAGAATAGAAAATATGCAACTCCTAGAAGAAAACATAGGGTCAACACTCCAGCTTATAGGCACAGAAAAAGACTTTTTCAGTAGGACCCCTAAAGTTCAGGAAATAATGCCAAGAGTTAAGAAATGAGATGGCATCAAATTAAAAAGCTTCTGCACAGCAAAGGAAACAATTAAGAATATGAAGCGAGAACTTACAGAATGGGAGGAAATTTTTGCTAGCTACTCTTCTGACAGAGGATTAATATCTAGAATATATAATGAACTGAAAAAAACCTTAACACCAAAAAATAACCTAATAACAAATGGGCAAATGAATTAAACACTGCTCAAAAGAATAAATACAAATTGCCAATAAATATATAAAAATGTACAACATCATTAGTAATTAGGGAAATGCAAATCAAAACTACACTGAGATTTCATCTCAAATCAGTCAGAAGGGTGATCATCAAGAATATAAACAATAAAAAATGCTGGAGAGGATGTGGAGAAAAAGGAAGTGGCCAGAGGACACCCTTTCATTGAGGTCAGAAGAAATGAAGTTAAAACTCATGGAACTGCATATCTGCTTTGCTGACCCTGGGCAAAATAACTAGTAGTAAATCACTCTTTTTTTTTTTTTTTAAATATTTATTTATTTATTTTTTAAATTCTCAGCGGATACAACATCTTTGTTTGTATGTGGTGCTGAGGATCGAACCTGGGCCGCACGCATGCCAGGCGAGCGCGCTACCACTTGAGCCACATCCCCAGCCCTAGTCACTCTTAACAGGGCTACAGAAAATGATTTAAAAGATGTGTTGACCTTTTTAATTACAACAGATGGGGGTAGACTATTGTCAATTGAATCAAGTGGTTGTCAATTGAATCAAGTGGTCTGTCATGCAGATGAGATCTTTGCTAGATTGATACAGTCTCTCATATGTGGTATGTAGTTACAGATTTGGCAAATGTATACATTCTTTTCAATCCTTATCAAGAAAAGAGGAATTTGTATTCACTTAGAACAGTCAGCAATGAACATTCAGTCTTATCCAAGGACTGTCCTGCTCTTTGTGACAATATGGTATAAAAGAGCCTTGTCGGTTCACAGTATCAGACGTGGTCAAGCAAGAAGTGGCAAGTGTCCTCGATTCCCTCATAAAATGCATCTTCAGCACAGAGTGGGAGATAAACCCACAAAGATTCAATGACTTGTTACTTTGGTGAAATTTTAAAGGCCAGTGGTCTGGAATATTCTGAGACTTTCTCTTCAATGTGAAGGGCAAATTACTGTACCTTGCACTGTGACTTGTTATGATTTGGATCTGGAATGTCCTCAAAGGCTTATGTGTTGAAGGATTGGTCTCCAGTTTATCGATTTCAGTGGTGGGGATTCCGGGAAGTAATTGGATAATGAGGGCTCTAGCTTCATCAATGGATGAATGTATTGATGGATTCATAGCTGAATAGATGTCTGGGAGGTGGTGGAAATTGTAGGAGTAGGGGGTACTTGGGTGCATGCCACTGAGGACTGTATATTATCCCCAGTCCCTTCTCTCTCACTCTCTTGCTTCCTGGCTGCCATTACGTGAGCAGTTTTTCTTCTGCCACATCCTTTGCTATGATGTTCTGCTTCAACACAGGCTCAGAAACAATGCAGCAAGCCAAAATGGACTGAAACCTTTGAACCATGAGCCAAAACAAATTCTCCTGTAAGTTGTTTCTTTCAGATATTTTGTCAGAGAGATGAAAAGTTGAGTTAACACAACCTCTAAAAAGAGACACAGTACTTTTTAGGTCTCCTTAGTTTTTGGAGAGAACATGGAATACTTGGCAATACTGGGTTTTGACCCATCTACTGGATAACTTGGAAACCTATTGGTTTTAAGCAGGGACCGCAGCATGAAAGATTTCCGAGCAGTTTCAAGCTGTGGTTCCAGAGGCTTTGATTCCTAGGTCACTTATCTGGACAATCCCACATGCTAAAGGTTATCCGTGGTGAATAAGAATAATTTTAGAGTCTCAGAAAATCCACAAAAGGAGATTTTCAGTGTAGATTCTTGTCATTTGCATTAGAGAACTATTCCTCATTCATAAAGCAGCTTTTGCATGCCCCAGGCTATTGTAGAGAATGAATGCTTGGTCAGGGGATATCAAGTGACTCTGTAACAGGGAGTCCCCATCATGAGTGGAGTATATCAGACAGATCAAGTCCTAAGGTTGGGCAAGTGCAGTAGTAACCCATTGAATGATAAAAATGGAACATGAGGATCAGGTTCAAGCAGGACTGGAGGACCAGGAAAGTTTTACAAATAAGCAACCCGGGGAACTCCTGTCACCTGTCTCTTGTGCACCAATGTCTCTCTTTCAGTTTATATCTCATGTGGAACTCCCTAGGAACTGCTGATGGAAAACAAACAAAAAAAAAAGGGGGGGGGAAGAGAAAGAAAGAAAGAATCCAACTATATTGGGGCAAGTTATAAAGGGTATGCTTCCAGGCTTTAGTCCTACTCACAGAAAGCCCTAAAAAAAATGGCAATTAGGGAAAATTCTCCTGACAGAGCTTTAAGCTATACTCATAGGTCCTCAAATCAGAGGACAATGTGGAATAGCTTCATCAAGGGCCTAGAAGAAACAAGATTAAAAGAGAAAGAGTTCTGGAGAAGAACCTGTAATTGGAAAGTGATTTGGCAGACACACCCATGGTGACCTCCAATGAGTCACACTCTTGAATAGTTCTCTTCCCTTGAGTACAAGTGAAATCTGTGACTTGCTTCTAAATATAGCAAAAGTGATAGAAATATTATCCCCTGGCTATGTTGTCTAAAGCTTCAAATTAGCAGACAGGAGAGACTTCCTGTTGTGCACAGTTGTGAGAGGACCACACGACAAGGAATAGTGAGTAGCCTCCAGCAGCTGAGAAGATCAGTAACCAACAGCCAGTAAGAAAACAGGGATCTCAATCCTACAACCTCAAAAACATGGATTTTGCTAATAATGTGATGAGGACTCCCAGTTACAGAGTCATTTGATATTCCACTAATCTGTGGGAGTACATTTTCCTTATTCTAGTCTCCAGATGAAAGCATAGCTCAGCCAACACCTGACTGCAGAGGAACTGGCTGAGGTATGCCAGGACTCCTGGACATGCAAACTGTGAGATAATTCATGTGTGATGTTTTAAGCCATTAAATCTGTGGTAATATGTTATGCAGCATAAAAAGCTAATACAAGTGGGCAGAAAATATGTGCATCTTTGTGTCTCCCAAACCATCTACATCAGAAGAGACATAAGTAATCAATCAGGTGGGAAAGATGATTATCTAATAGATGTCAGCCAGTCTTTGTTCTTGGTCCCTTCAGTGCTTGCACAGTGAGCTAATAAAAGAAGAAGGTATGGTGACAGGGATAGGGGTGATGGAGGCTATGCATGGGCTCAACAACAAGGCTCCCCTCACTAGACTGATCTAGCTATTACTATTGTTGAAAGTTCTACCTGTTCACATCAGGGACTGATGTTGAGCCCTTACTATGGTGCAATCCCTCGAGGAGACAGAACATCCATTCACTGACAGATTCATTACACAGGTCCCCTTCACCTTGGGAGAGGCAAGTGATGTACTTCTAGTGTGAGTTTGTCTTTCCTATCAATAGTGCCTTGGCCAGCACCACTAAGATCATCTCACTTATCATCCTGGAATCTCATGTAATGTTGCCTTGGATCAAATGATTCTCTTCACAATAAAGTATATATGCTAAGAGGTATGTGAACATGGGATCCACTAGACCTACCACATTCCACCTCACTTAGAGGTCTGATAAAATATCAGATGGGTTTCTCAAAGTTATAGCTAAAGCACTAGTTTGGGATTATGGGAATTGAGACAGTGTACTTCAAGATGAAGGCGATGCTTTGAAGCAAGTGGTGGAAGTAAGAGTGATCCCTCTCAACATCACTGTGTTGACCTGGACAATTTGTGCCTCCCTTTCTCACAACTTAGGCTCTGCTGGACTGGACTTGGTTAATAGGAGAGATGGTTCTGTTAAGGGACTCAATAAGAGTTTCACCAAACCAAAATTATTGCTTCCAAAAGGCTATTTTTGGCTCCACAAAACTATAAGAAGTTACTGCGCTGCCCAGTAGATGTTTGCTGCTACATAACTGGAATTGGTTGTATGTCTTGAACCCAGAGGATCCTCTGAGACACATCTTGATGCATTCATATTTACATTCATATCCATGAATGGTAACTGCAGCAATCACAACCTGACAAGGACACAATAACCAGGGGCTTACAGTCCTCAGGATGAAAGCTGATTATCTTACTGGGCACACAACTTAGACCAGCAGAAGTTTCGGCTACAGGTAAGGATGAGTGGTAGAATAGGAAGATGATAAATGACTCATTACAGACCTACCATTAATCACAACAGTGGGTTCTGTGGCTTATCCCATTGATTTTCTTTCCGTAAGTTCTTTCCAGAAAGAAATTCAGACTAGCCACCATATTAAAGGATCAGTGATGGGATGGTGTGAACTCATTGTGAGTGAGGAGTGGATATGAGTGGTTCAAGGGGTGGAATGTAGCAGATGATACTAGTGCCCATATGCATTTGACATGTACCCTTTCCATATACAGCCAACTAGACTTCCAAATGCCAGCAATGTGTCTTTGTCTACTGGCTTTCTCCAACAGGTCAGACCCTCTGAGAACAGAGCACACTGGAAATTCCAAGGAACCAATGTTCTGCTATAGCAGCCTTCAAACAATAATTGATGGGAGTTGACTGAAAAAAACCGGAGCTCCTTGCCCCTTAAGAGGGATAGCTTTTAGATATGAAATCCAAAATTCCCTAGCGAATTCAGCCCACAGAGAAATTTGCTTCATAATATTCTCTTTATCAAGTTCTTTCCCTTCCCTGCCTGACGTTTCCATATGAACTGCTTGCCTCAAACTTTTTTGTTTCAGATCTATTTCTAGGTGAAACTAAGATAAGTTCCAAAAGAAACACATTTATTATAGTATAACATAATAATTGGAGAACCAAATATTTGAAAACCAGAATTCTACAGATATTTTATGAGTTGTTGCCCTAAACAAAAACATTGTGCAAATATTTAACTCTTCTCAAAAGAGTTGGTTTCCATTATGAAATGGAAAGCTAAGTATTTTTCCCGGTTAAAAGATACAAGTCAATGTAAAAATGCCAGAACTGGCATGGTCATCTTTCTGGTTCTTAATAAAATATGTACCAAATTATGAAAGAAAATTAATGATATATAATTAAATGTAATTTCACAATTTTGAATTTACAACATAATCTCTTTCACATTATGTTGTGTGTCCATGCTATGAAAATTTTAAAAAGTTTTATTTACACTTCAGTAGTTGAATCTAGCGGTGGATTCTGAGGTTTAGAGGGGTCACATCTCCTGGGAAACCTAGCAATTCTGCCTAGTTTAGCCTAGAAGCCACTCTAGTACGTCTTATACTCTTGTGGGTGTTAAGTATTTGTGGAATAAATACATTAGTCGTTGACTCCAGGAGAAGTGCTTTTAGAAAGTGGGTCATGAAGAGATCTCCGAAGTTTAGTTTTGCAAGAAAAGGAACTGGTCGGGGTCCCCGCAGGAGGTGGAGTTCTGTGCAATGATAACAAAATGCATCCGGGAAGTGGACAATAGCTCCTCTGGCCGCGGTAAAAAGGCTACTTACCTGGCCGCAGGGGACCCACAGTCCGGATACCGGCCGCTTCTGCAGCCTCCCAGGATCTGTTGGTGGGGTTGCCTGGGAAACCTGTGGTGGCAGCGCGCGCGGCCCTTTGAGGGCGGGGCCTCGGGAGGTGGTGCAGTAATTCGCTGTGATTCGTTATTCTAAGCAATTGCATTCCTATCAATTTTTGTATTCATAATTATAATACGCTTCTTTTTACAAATGTATCAGAGAGGGTACGTACATTGTTTATTTATGTTCCCACACTAGTGGAAGAAACTTTATTTTAACCTAGAACAGTCAGACTCAGACCCCAGTGCTCTTCCACCCATTTTAAAATGTACAAATGGTTAGTTTACCTTAGGCACAAAAGGTGGCAAACTTCAAAATTTACACTTTTAGGTGATTTGAAAAATTTTTCGTGGATCATACATCCACTGAACAATATGCATTTTTGCCGACTCTCAAAGGATAAAATAGGCAATAATCAGAGGAGCAGGGGAAAAAAACGACACTCGGTGAAGGACCACCTGATAGCAAGTTTCCAGAAAAACAAGAGCAGAAGTAGGCGGGGGGGGGGGGGGGGCAGACTAATTTGGGAATGGATCTTCTCTGCAACTCGGAGAAGAGGAGTCAAAAGAAGCAACCCAATCTCAAACCCTCCCACTTTTCCAAAGAGACAGGATAAATGGGACTCAACTAATCCCGGAGATCTTTTTTTCCACATTTCCCTTTGCCCACACCAAAGATGGCACCTTTGGCTTCCTCCCTCAGCAGTACGCAGGTTATGGGAATCTCTGCACACCCTCTCTATGGTATTTCCTCCAATTCCGCCCCCTTGGTGCCTAGGGTGGGACTTGACTGGAGGCGGGGCGCAGGAATCCGGAAACACCTGAGGTGTCGCCGGTCATCTAAAGCTTTAGTGGTCAGTTTTTTCTCAGCTGGACCTGGGGTCCAGGGTCAGAAGTATCTTCTCGCCGGGTCTCCTCGAGCCGTCCGGTGACTTCCACGACCTGGGCCGCGGCCTGGTGCCCTGTCTTGGGGGCCCCATTTGCTTGGGCCATGCCCACAGCCGCCGCCCCCATTATCAGCTCAGTCCAGAAGCTGGTTCTATATGAGACCAGAGCTGTGAGTATCCGGAGGCGCCGGGTGCGAGCTGGAGGAAAGCAGCAGGCCGGGTGGAGTGGGATCCTAGGGCAGAGGTAGCACCCGTCTTTCCTCCCTCCTCAGTTCCCCGATCTCGGTCAAAGACAGCCTTGGAGGAAGCTAACCGTTTTGGCCTGTGCTTGGGGGTCATTACCCTGTTTGCATACCCAGGACACTGCTGCGTTTGCATATACATACTTCCACTTACAAGCCCTGGCTGGAACACGTGCTAACAGGTGCCTGAGGTATCTCAGGAACTGGTGACGAGGTTCTGTACGAGTTACTGTATTCTCATCTTTCAGAAAGTCTGTTAAAGTTCTCTAGTTCACGAGTTACTGTAGAGGCAGGGATACGAAAAAAAATTTTCGATGATGACTCGGTAACTTTTCTACTTTCCTATTCCATGGTACATCATTACTGTGATTGATGTTAATTACATCCACTTTTTATTGCTGGCTTTTTGGTGTTCTCTCTCTCTCTCTCTCTCTCTCTCTCTCTCTCTCATTCAAAAGGAAAGAAACTTACTTTTGTGTGCTAGTTTGTTTCTATAGCATTATCTTTCTTTTCACTTGACTTTATTTCCATTACTTACAATGGCCACTAAACACTGAATAAGATCAGTGTTTTTACAATTAGGTTGCTAGTTACCAGTTTAGGGGATGGCGTTTGTAGAATTTAATACATAGTTATTTCTGTGGTTGGAAAGCAAAGTTGATAACAGTGTAGATTTTCTAAATTGGGGTACCACAATGATATTATGGTCTGAGTTTAAAATTACCCACCTCTTCGGGACAGTATTGCATATGCTGAATACTTGTTCAGTACTCTACACTATGCTGTAAAATGTCTGTAAGGTGCTTTCCTTGAACCTTGTGTTGTCTCCATTGGAAGAGTACAAGAAGTTACTTACCTTGAAAGTTTCTCAGTTATAACACAAGTCTAATAATATGCTTACCTCTGGTCATGAGTATAGACTCATTGATTCTAAAGTATTTTTTTCCTGACTACTTCATTTGATTAGAACCAAACCAGAAGATGAAATTATCTAATATACTGTATTTACAAGTATCTTTAGTTCTCTGAGGAGAGTCATGAAGAAGTATCATTTTGACATTTGTTTTAGGCAGCTTTATCCACTGCCTTGACTAAAAGATCAGACCAGAACAATTTAGGAGGAAAAATTTATTTGGGGGCTCTGGGTTTCAGAGATCTCAATCCATAGACAGCAGGCTCCATTCCTCAGGGCCCAAGGCTGGCATCATGGCAGAAGAGTGTGGTAGAGGGAAGCAGCTCACATGATGATCAGAAAGCAGAGAGAGGGGCTCCACTCTCTAGATACAAAATATATACCCTTGCTGGATTTGTGGGTCAGTGGTAGAATGCTTGCCTAGCATGTGTGAGGTACTGAGTTCAATCTTCAGCACCACATAAAATAAATAAAGGTATTGTGTCCATCTACAACTTAAAAAATACAAAAAACCAAGATATATAATATATTTAATAATATAATGTATTTAAAATATAATATATTTAAAGCTATAAATGTAAATTTAAAAATAGTCAAAAATCAGGGGTTTGGGTTGTAGCTCAGTAGTAGAGCACTTGCCTCACCTGTGTGAGGCACTGGGTTCAATCCTCAGCACCACATAAACATAAATAAACAAAACAAAGGTATTGTGTTCATTTACAACTAAAAAAAATATATAAAACAACAAAAAATAGTCAAAAATCTAATGACATATGGGGAAAGTATTAGTAGCCCAAACAACAGATAAAAATGCAAAAATTTAATAAATAGTCTGAAAAATAAACCCCCAATGTAAATAAGGAAATGAATAGATGATTCACCATAAAAAGAAGTATGAATTATTCAGTTTACTAATAGTTAAAGCAATAAAATGAAAATAGGTTCCCATTTCTTACCTATATTAGAGGAAAGATGAACTAAGGTAATTGGCAACATGTATTTGAAAAAAATGGGCATTCTCATTTTGGTTGGTGGAAGTGTATTAATTTGTATTAATTGGTTATGAAGGAATTGGGAGATGCATTAAGGAATTGAAGAAACAGTGGGCAAGATGGCTGTTTCTCATTCTGAGCCTTTATTTGGAATAATAATTGGGTTCATATGCTCCTCCTGAGGTGACGTTCAGATGGTCATTGTTACCTGTGTTTAGAGGTGAATTTTGAGGAATATTTGGAGTGGAAAGGAAGTAGTTTAGTAGAGAGCATGCAGGAGGTATAGTTCTGGTCTGTGCAGGACCAGTCCCCTCCCAAACTTAGCTGTTCTCTCTGGTACCAGGCACCCTCATACTGCCCTTTGGCTCTTGAGACCCTGCCTTGGTCTTTATCTGCCTTGTAGCCCAGCCTAATTTAGCCTGGACCCTCATATAGTTCAGTGCAAGTCGGAGTTGTCCATAGGAGATTTAGCAACATTAAGTATCTTGGGTAAAATGGCAGTTTGCCTTAGGTGATTTCCAGTTTACAGGTGCTCTCTTGCTAATATGTGATGCTGGAAGTCTTATTAACACAATAAGTGACCATTTCATAACAAATTAATTTATAGTGATTTACTTTAAAGTTGGTAGCCTAACAGAATGAGGGCTATGTGTATCTCTGTGTTTTGTCAGGGAATGTTGTTAGGATAATCTTGACTGTTATAGTTCAGAATTGTTTGTTTGTATATATTTATTCCTGCCTTATTCTAACAGATTTAAGAAAATCACCTGCATCACACAAAATAGAACAAAATAAGTAAGAACCATATCATGAGAAATGCAACTTGCTTAATTCATTTTGAATGTATAATTAGGGAACAAGAGAGAACAATGCAGACCATAGTTGATTGAGAAATCGAAACAGGATGTCAATTGGGAGAGAGAAGTGATATAGCAGGTTTAGAAGATGTGGTCGAAGGTGACAAAGTTTCTGTTTCTATAGGGGCTTTGAACCATTCCCATCAGTAAAGTTCTGACATTCTTATTTGTTTATTTGGTTATGGGAGATTGAACTCAGGGGCACTTGATCACTGAGCCTCATCCCCAGCCCTATTTTTGTATTTTATGTAGAAACATGGTCTCACTGAGTTGCTTAGCGCCTTGCTTTTGCTGAGGCTGGCTTTGAACTCTTCATCCTCCTGCCTTAGCCTCTCCACCTGCTGGGATTACAGGCATGTGCCACCCCGCCCTGCTAAATTCTGATATTCTAACAGGTGCATCCCTTTAGGCTATAAGTCTCACTTCCCCTTTTCCAGATATACTACCCATTATTGGGATTGCTGGATTAAGGAAGGCAGCAGGCCTGCGATATTATGAGACTGTGAGAAGTAACTTCAAGATGTTCTTTAAAAATAATATATTTAATCTGAAAGTTCACATGAAGTTTAACATCAATTGAAGCTGTCATACAACCTAAAATTTCTTCCCTTTCAAGAAGGCTGATTTTTCCTCCCTCAGATGAAAAGTGAATGATTAATTAGCCTGTCATTATAAAAGGAGGTAATAATGTTAGTAGAGTCTAAATTTCCTGTTAAATGGGTTACCTATTATATTCCATTTGGATTTTATGTATATATTTTAGAAACACATTCATCTTAATACCAATCACCACTGTTAAAGTTACATACTGATATTTTAAGCTTTTCCAGAAAGATGACACTCAACTTTTAGAAAAGAGCCAGCTCAGATCATCTTCTATCTTAATGTGTGTTTTAATGTAGACTTTTTGTTTGGTATTCTAATTCTCTACCCCGACTGCTCTCAAACCGACATGCCCCAACATATCTATAAGCAAACATTTGTTCCAGTGGGTTGATTTCATTTGCTTTTGTTTGTATGATGAATGCATTCAGACAGATGCATGCCTTCATTTTTCTGCTTTCTTTCCTTCCTTGTTGCTCTTGGGCATTTTATTTATC